AAATAAAAATAGAATACTATTACTGCTTATTACTAAACTTAAGGATTGCCTATTTAATAAGAAATAGTTTATAATACTTAATCTTAAATCTGCTTATAATCTTATTTAAATTAAAGAAGGTAATAAATAAAAAATAGCCTTCTAAATAAAATATAAATTATTTAAATACCTAGTTATGCCTTTTAGATTAATTAATATATCTGCAGTATTCTAATATATAATTATAAATATACTTTAAGAATATCTTAATATCTTTATAGTTTACTACCTAAATAATATCCTTATCTTCTCTAATACAGAAGAAAAGTATATAGAATATATCTATAAGGTTCTTAAAGCACTATAAGACGCCAATATACTAATTAAACCTACCAAAAGTCACTTCTATTAGTCTTAAGTAATATACTTAGGATATAAAATCTCATATAATAAAATCAGAATAAATAGATAAAAGATTATAATAATTACTAAATAGAAACCACCTATATTAGTAAAAGAAACCTAATCCTTCCTAGGATTTGCTAACTACTACCGATAATTTATTAAAGGCTTTAGCAGAATTACTATCCCTCTTATAAAAATTACTAAAAAGGATAAATAATTCTAATAAAATAATAAGATATAATAAGCTTTTAAATAGCTTAAGTCAGCTATTATAAATAAACCTATTCTAGTTATATTTAATCCTAACCAGTAAGTTAAACTTAAGACTAATACTTCTAACTTTGCCTTAGAAGGATAAATAGGATAATAAAATAACTATAATATATTATATCCTATTGCTTTTTATTCTTATAAGATATACAAAGCAGAACTTAACTACCCTATTTATAATAAAGAATTCCTAGCTATTATTAACTGCTTTAAGGAGTTTAAATACTACCTTAGAGGAAGTAAATACCTAATAAAAGTCTTTACTAATTATAAGAATATAACTTACTTTATAATAATATAAAAGCTAAATTAATAATAACTATACTATATAGAATACCTATATAAATTTAATTTTACTATAGTGCACTATAAAGGCATAGATAATAGATATATAGATGCTATTAGTTAATAACCTAACTTTAATATAGAGACTATAAAAATAAAAGAATAACTCCTAGAATTTAACCTTAAAGGAAAATACCAGTTTACTTAACCTATTAAAATAATTATAAGAATAATAAAAGGAATAAAATTCCTATTAGATAAAGAATATAACTTCCTTTGCAAATATTATTTATATCTGCTATATAGATACTAAGGTATTAAGAAAATAGTAAAATAACTATAAGACTAAGGATATAAGTTTATAAAAAGAGATATAGAAGATATTATTAAATAATATAACCTCTATATAAGAATAAAAGCCTAGAGATATAAACTATATAGATAACTATAACCACTACCAGTAGTATAATGACCTTAGGACTTAATTATAATAGACTTTATTATAAAGTTACCCTTATTAAAAGAACCCTTAACTAGAATCTTCTATAATAATATTATAGTTATTATAAATTAACTTATAAAATTTTCCTACTATCTACCCTACAGAGAAGCAATAGATGCAAAAGAACTTTCTTATATTTTTTACTAATATATTATTAGTATATATAGGTTACCTATAGAAATCCTTTTAAATAAAGGACCTATATTTATAGTAATATTTTAGCAATTACTTATAGCATAACTTAGATTAAATCACCGACTTATAATAGCATTTTAACTATAAGTTAATAAACAAACTAAATAAATAAATCAAGTACTTAAATAGTACCTATAGTATTATATTAACTATAAATAAAATAATTAGGTTAAGAAACTACTAATAGCTTAACTTGCTTATAATACCGCTTATAATAAAAGTATAAAGCTTATATTAACTTATATTAACTTTAGATTTATACTAAATATATACTATAATATATAATAAGAGAAATTAATTAACCTAGCTATTATAATTAAAAGTAATAACCTTAAAAATCTATATAAAGAAATAAAAATAGAACTTAAATTTATTAAAAAATATATAAAAAACTACTATAATCTAAAACAGTTAAAGAGACTAACCTTTTCGGAGGAAGATATAGTCTACCTAGCCATAAAAAACATTAAAATAGATTAACTAATACATAAATTAGACTATAAATTCATCAGACCTTATAAAGTACTACAGAAAATCTTAGAAAATAACTATAAACTAGACCTACTACCGAAAGTTAGGCTCTATCTAGTCTTTTACGTTTTATTACTTGAATTAGCAGCAGATATTATATAAGTCAAAATAGGTAATAAATTATAATAAATTATAGGATTAGAAACCTATAAAGTAGAAGTAATTAGGAAAATAAATATAATTAATAAATAAAGAATATACCTAATTAAATAGAAGAACTACCTAGAAAGCGAAAATATATAAGAATTACTAAAATATCTTATTAATACCTAGTAACTTCTAAAAAGTTTTTACTAATTATAATAAAAGAAGGGTTAAAGATAATAGACTAATTAATAAGATTAATTATATTAGCCTTAACTAACTTAACTATCCTATTAGAATTAGAAACTAAGTTCTCTGCCTTTTTATAATTATCTATTACAGTAAAATCCTTTTCTAATACCTATAAACCCTTTACCTAAATAAGGCGCTTCTAATAACAAAGATATATAAGCTTTAATAAACGCTTATTTAATTATTTTTATAAGTTAATAAGCTCTTTCTTAATAGCCTCTTTATTAGCCTTAATTTAGTTCTTCTCTTAAACTAAGTAATTAGCTAAAAAGAAAATTAATAAGATAAAAATACTTACCTAAAGAAGGTATAATAAACCTTTAGATAAAGAAATGCCCTTCCTATTATAAGAACGGCCCTAATAAATATACTTAGAATAATTCTTTTAACCTTTCTTTATTATATATCTCTTATAATTCTTAGCGCAAAAAGAATAAGGCATAATTTTATAACCTATAAATATAATAAGTTTTACTTAGGTAAGATAATACTAAGTTTCTAAAGAAGATATAATTAGTATATTAAGGGAAATAATTATAAGAATAAGTTAGGACTTATATAGGGAGGAAATAATATACTTAAGGTAAATAAGGTCTTAAGGGCAAGACTAGGAGAGAGGAGAAATTATATTATAATCTTAGCGGTTATATTATATATATCCTATATTTTTTACTAATTACATATAATTATTATAGACTAAGAGATTCTATTTATAACCGCTAAGATCTGGTTATAATAATCACTTTAAAAACACTAGTAATTCTTAGAATTACATAGTAACTATATAAATCACTTTATAACTACCTTAAGTATATAGATTATATTTATTATACTTCTATAAAACTTATCTTACTAGCTATTAATAAAACTTCTTTATATTAATTAAGCCTAATATGCATTAAATCTACTATTAAGAGACATAATACTTTAATAAGCTTAGTTATATACCCTATGCAATCTGCCAATAATAAACCCAAGCACAGCTTAGTTTAATATAATTGGACTCTAACCGTCATAATAAGGTACTTTAGGCTATTAAAAAAGGCCTATAATTAAGAAATAAAGTATTTAATTAAATACTTTATAACCTATATTACTAAGACTAAGTTCCTTCTTACTTTTTATATTACTTATTAAACTACTATTATAAAAAGTAATATTAAAGGTAGTTTTAGAGGAGCTAGGTTTACTTCTTTTAACTTAAAGAATATTATTTTAAAGCTTAATATATAATTATAAACTTTAATACCTCTTATTAAGGTTATAATACTATTAACCCCTTAGACTTTAAGAACCCTAAAGATAATAATAAAAGCCTAATTATATTTTAAATATTTATAAGGAAAAATTAAAATATATAAAAGTAGCTCTCCTAAGTTAATAATTTAAGCTATTAGGTATTTTAAGAAGTTAATAACTAATTTTATAAATTAAATAGCCTTATTATATAAAAGGAATTAGTAATTTAAATAGTAAAATAAGATAATAAGGTAGTATTAAAATAAAAAAAGGATTATAATATAAAAAGAAAAAGCTTTAGTTATAATAAAAGTATTATAAATACTTAATTAAATAGATATTAATATATAGGTAATAGTTAAAGCCTTAAGAGGTAATTAAGAAAGGTTATAAGGATTAAAGCCTTAGTAATATAGTATTTATAAAAAAACTAGGTATACTATAAAGACCTATTAAGAGTTAATTAAAGTTAATAAGAAATAATTTAATAATTAATTTTAATTAATTAGATAGGTTATAATATTTTAATTCCTTTTTTTAAGTCTTTAAGTATAGATTAGTAGAGCACTTGCTTATCTAGAGCACTTGCTTATTATATATATTAACTTCCTTTTATTTACTTAGGTAATTTATTAATATAATATATTTATTAGGTGCTTATTATATCCCCGATCCTTAAGTCAAGAGTCTAATTCTCTCTATATAGCTCTTAGGTATTTTCTTGGCTATCAGCTTACGTAGGTGCCCATAAATGGGTTGGGCACCTCATGGTCTGGAAAATTTAAAGCCTGCCAAGTTTGGTCCCATATTTTCAATCCTGCCCCAAGGTCCTGGAGGGTACTGGGGCTTCTTCATAGAACGTGCGACCAAACCTTTGCTTTTTCTAAGGTAATTGGCCTGAATTCTTTTTAAAATGGACGCAGTAGTTGTCCTCAACTTATTTTAGCTCTTTCAACTTTTCTTCAGGGCAGGCACTGCTCTTCTCTACCGCTTCTTTAAATGACCTGTTACATGTGATTCCACCAAGTTCTGCAAGCCATTAAAGATATTGTCTTCAAAAACGATACAATGTAACTCTACTAAGTTTTCTATTCCCTTCTATTGATCTTGAGAGACATAAGAAACTTCATGCAGCCTAATGAGTTCAGGCGAACTGATTTATAATCGGATGCAGTCCAAAGTTGAGCTTAGCAAGCGTGTCTGCATATTTGGCTCTTGTAAATAGCCCAGCTGAGGTTTGAACGTTGAGTAGAAGAACTCATCTGTACATATAAGGTAACGCCGAGTCAAGTTCTTGATCCCCCGTATAGTTATCATAGTAGTTGTTCTGGAGCTCTAGACACTGTTGCTGGACTTCAGTCATCCCCATTTTTACCACAGAAATCTGCTTAAGTATACCCCATGGATCATAAACCGAATCCGAAATGCCTCTATCGTTGAGCGGTTCCAGGTATGCTGGGAAGCTAGTAAGGGAGTAGGGCATGGCCTGTAATTCGAAGACTCCCCCAACCGACCGAAGATCATAAGGATTCTCGATACCGAATATTGGCGTTGGAGAATCTCTGGTAAGAGAAGCTGAAGTTGAGATGGGGATGTAGTTAGAAACGTTGGGCATATGATGGGGCATTTGGTAAGGATCCGTAGAGTACCGGTGACCGCTGTATATTCGTTCTGTCGTCATTTTCAACGCAGGCTTTTTGGTGCCGGCAATCTGTTGGTCTGAACCCATCTCAACAGGTTTGTTTTCGAATCGATCCTCGACAGAATCGAGAAGCTCCGGAAGCAATGATAACAACTGGTCCGAACTAACTGGCATACCTCGTGTCTGAATATGCTTCGACACAATCTGGTCACCGTCTCTACTCCAGATGTCACGAATTATACCCGTCATTTCCTTCACAACACCATCCAAAAGCGGCTTCGGCGTAAAGTCCGACTCCCCAAATAGAAGCAGCCAAATTTCATGCCACTGATCCGTGGATGACATGCGTCTATCGGAACGGAGCTTAAGGGCTTCCAGAATTTGAGGAGGGATGCTATCGAGGCCCTCCGTTTTGCCTCGTGCACAGCTTCCCTTTGTGTTATGGTCCCCTGCCACTGTTGACAATGCAAAACCCTCCCGGTACCCCAGTCTATCTGAATCTGAATTTGCTGCATGCCGTCTTTTCAGGTGTTGTTTGACGATGGATATAGAGACCAGTCGGAGATTCATGCACTCAAGAAAACGCACCGGGTCTTTTCTGTAAAACGGACACGCAAACTTCTCTTCTTTCTTGTCTTCAGCGCTGCTATGGCGATTATCATCATCGCCATCAGCTTCCTCAAGGTCGTTATGGCTTTTTGCTCGGCGACTCTTCTTATGAGGTACGCTGCTGCTCTCGGCAGGGCTTTTTATCGACTTTCCTGAAGCTTGAGCCCCTGAAGGAGGGAGTTCCTGCCTAGCCTCTTCTTTGTTGTGTTGTGTTGAGTGATTTGCGTCAGAGTGTAGTTGAGCACTTGTTGAACCACTGTCAAATACATTTAGTGTTAAATCCTGGTTAGGTGAATAATTTGATACCGAGTAGCTCGTCTTTGCTGAGGACAGCAAGTTGTTTGGTAGGGACGCACGCCGAGAGCTTGTTTGATCAGGAGACATGAGTCTCCCTATCCTTCGCTCAGAATAACCATTCTTCTGATCATCTAGAAACTTTACTTGATGCTCTTGATATTATTAGCATCGATTTTGAGGGTTTTTCTCGGCACACAGGCTTTCACTTACTCGGGGCTAGTGGTCTTGGTTTTAAATCCAGGTTCGTGCGGTATTCAAGTGCTCGTTTATTGAAGCTAGATTGCCCCTTCTCCTTCATTTGTGTTACATTCTGTGTTGAAGGCCTGGCATATCTGTGTCCGTTCTTCTCCGCTTGCTTGGGATGCCCGTCAACCAGACCTACGGACTTCGCAGTCTCTATATGGCCCCCGTCCGAATTGATGCATTCACTCCTTTGAGAACACGGTGCAACCGAGTCTGCAACACCAGGATAGTATCGGACCAGCATATCCTATATCTCATGTAGTCAGTATCGTCGGTTGGGTATTTAGCCAGCCACAGCACCGGATAGCGCGCATAGACCGATCTCGCGAAGAGACAACGACTCTATATCTTTCAGCAGTCACAAATTACAAGAGGATATAACTGACATTGATTTCAAGTCGAACTGCTCGACACTGATGGAAAAGAACGTGGGCGGTTACTTTGGTCGAATGGGTTGGTGGCCATGAAAAACATCACAAGGCATCCAAGGCAACCTGGGGGGATAAGCTAGCTATACCGTTTCAACTTCCAGTGGGGCTCCATCGGCCTAGAGCATCGGCCTACGTCAGGTAGGGGGCATGCATTTGCTGCGCCTGCTACATAGAGGTACAACAGGCACAAGACTGATAACATGTTTCATTTGAACACAGTACTATTATTACTATTGCACTTTCTGTGGTTATGATCCTTATGCCAACCACCGCAGTCGCACAGATAATCATGCTTTCCAAGGTGTCGCACTTTTGATAAGCCTTAAAACTTTGCTTTGGGGTCCTTTGTCTTGGGCCGGCCTGTTTTTCGAGGAGTTGGGGGCAGTGATGTTGGTTCTCGTTGGCTGTAGCCCCCTGTAAGCAGCTGTTGCTGAACGTCGAGGCCCGAGTCCAGCAACCAGTCCTTTATGCGGTCATCGTATTGCTTGTCCAAGACTGATTGACTCGATTTCCTGCAGGTACATTCAGTTACTTAGTCTTTCTTCTCACGTGGAAGTCTGCGCAGATTGAAGAACCTTTTCGAACATTGTGTGCTGGCAAACATGATGATCTGGGCTTGTATTCTATGCAGATCGAGTTTCAACTACCAGAACTTGAACCCGAATTATATACTATGACTACGCTTCTCTTCCACAATCGTGTCTGTTCAGCTTCACAATGTTGATGAGGCATGGTTCTCTTCCACCGCCGTGAATCTCTGATGGATTAAACATAGGTCAATGAACAGTGACCCTCTCAAGTGTTGAAGGTCCTGATGTACATGTACCTAATGATGGCACACCACTCATATGCCAAGGCGGATTCGGGACATGCGGTAACAGTCGCAGCTTTACGGCACTGTTGATTCTTATTAGATTAACTTCCTCGTGAGCTCCCCTCTGAGATCTAGCCATTTCAGCTGCAGCCAATCAAATTCTCCAGTTCCTTAAATCAGTTGATAACCTTCCACAATCGTGGAAACCTGAACCGCCTTGTACGGTGGAGTCCCAATATTTCCCCGCAACTCCCACATCTGTGGAGGATCATGTCTTCAAAATGAGGCCTCCTGCATTGCATTCTCTTTTGCGAACCCCCTAACTCCTCCACATCGGTGCAGTAAACTCTGCAGCTACACTCGCAAACCCTGCTTTTCTCAACAATGGCCCCCAAGCTTGCACATTCGTGGGACCCAGCCGCCCGGCTACTATGGTTTACCGCATTTCTTGATATCTTGGCATTGGATCTATTGAACTTTAATCACCCTGATATCATATCTTTTCTCGTTTTAAACCCTTCTAAAACCCATTGCTGTGCGACGAAACAGGCCAGGGTGCGTACGCGCATCTTAAGGATCTGGCTAAATGCAATGGGCCTGTTGTTTTCTACACCATGCACACCATTGTGATGAGGCTCTGCGGTTGTCTGCCTGTCGAGGCCATGTTCATGCGATGCGAACGCCTACACAATGGTGGATGAGGCAGATACTTGGCGTATAAGAACAAAACCAATAGCCAAACAACATAACTCTTACAAAACAATTGACCTTTATTTAACTTCACATTCTTAACAAGTCACAATTGAATTCTTTATACTCTTGAGGACCAAAGGGATGAAAGACGCGGCGTCTTGTTATTGACGCCCTGAAACCCAATAGCAGCGGGACGATGCTCTCTGCATTTCCAGTGCCCCGCCGTTGGAGGCTGTCCGCCAGCGATAACGATGGATCGTCTTGCTCGGGCTCGCACAGGCGTTCCACCAAACGCCTCTTACATTTTTACAGACGCAAACGAAACAAGCCCGATGTCAAAGATATCGAAGCCAAGCAAGCATGTGCTGCCACACCGATCAATGGAAACGATGATGACCAATCAATTGACCAAGAGGTCCGGGATAGGACTTGTAACCCCCTGATCCTCCTGTTGAAGTCAGGTTACCCTAAAGCAGATATCCTGTCTCGGGCAAGGCTGCACATTCAGCAAAACGGTACATAGTAACTTCGGCTGCATCGAAACTGTTATTGACTTCAGGTAATTAGTTCTCAATCCGCACAGTGGCCATCTTGGTGCTTTTGGGCCAGCCTTGCGCATCGGCCCGTTCCCGACAGACCCAGTACCCAAGCTACGGATAGGCACCTCTAGCGACGATCATCGCGGGGCTACTAAATGCGGTTCCAGCCAAAAACGCCCCTCTGGAAGCCCTTGCAAGTCTGGCAGCACTGGCAAAAAGCCGCGCAGGGAAAGCAAAACTTCCGACAAGGCCCAGAGTGACAATGGTAGTGATGATAATGGGGGGGAGGACAAACGTCGCAAACGTCGTAAGCGCCGCAAAGACCATGACGGACCACGTTTTCCTTGGCCTGAGAACTCTTCCGACCGTAAAAGCTTTGTATGCCCATTCTACAAGGCCCAACCAGACCGGTATTGTCTGTGCAAAGGACTCCGTATCACTTCCATCAGTTATGTTACTCAACATATTGGCCGATGCCATGTATTGAACCATGTTACACTGGATGTACAGGAAACCGACCAATCTACGGACGACAATGCGACACACCCAGGAACGACAAGGGACCCAGATAAAATAGTTTTCTACTGTTGGAGATGTCGGATCGAGTTCCATGGCCTTGGCGCCGATGAGAGATGGGATAGTCATACAAATACAGGCTGCGATGAACAAAGCATTGCGGAGACGGGGGTTTTGCTACCAGGCGAGTTTAAGAAGCTCAAAGGCGCAGTCGCTGCGGTGTCTGGCGATCATGAGAAGTGGGAGAAGATATGGACCACATGTTTTCCGAGAGAATCTACCCAAACCCAGTATAATGAGGCAGAAACTACGGATAATGTTGCTCCAATCGGTGGTGGTACCCAGCCACAAATGCCGTACGAAGGCGCCGTCAATGAGATTCGCCGTCCCAACCATGACCCTCCACAAGTTTTGGCACCCCCGATCCCGGATTATACACGAGACCCAAATATGCTTTTCAACCTCTTTCCTGGCCCCTGGGATATGGCGGATAATATTGGAAATATGAATTATGCCACAAGCGACATCCCAAATGCTGCACCTACTGTTTTGCGAACAATGAGGCCAGTGCGGTTCGAGCCTGGTCTCGCACAACCCCTCACAACGTCGACACAAAACCAGACATTTGCTAGTGATGATTGGGCCACGAACAATTACAACGGCGCTCGCTAACCAGGCTGTGCGAACCATGCGATTTTCCTTCGATACTGTCTTTCATTGGGATTGTTTTGCCCGTTTTCTTGGGTTTTGGCGTCTGGAAGCGAGGAGTGGAGCGGTTAAACAAAATACATACGGGCGTTGCCGTAAAAAAAGACACGGGTTCATGATACAGGATTGGGAAAATGAAGCATTCATGTCATCACTAATGAATTATGAAACCTGAACTTCGGGCGAAAATAAAATACTGCTGGCAGGAGTAATTATCATGGCAAAAATGAGGCTGTGGCAGCGTCTTGACAGGATTGCGCGCCATTTAGAGCGAGAGAATCCACCAAATGTCCATGAAACCACCATCACGCCACTAATCCGTGCTCAGGCCAGGGTCTTTCTCAGAGCAGAATGACGACACTCAGCCAAAATGTGAGATGACTTTTGGATCATGTGAATTTGAACTTCTGGGGGTTCCCCCGTACCCAGCGTATGGAAATCAGCAGCTTTCGGCGATCAGGCCACAGCTTCGTAGCAGCACCATTCGAGTTTATTCTCGCGAACGCCCATGATCTCAGCGCAAAAGACCAAATTATCGGGATCAGCCGGGTCAATTGAGGATAAAAGAGAATTGGACCGCAACTTGTGAGTAGCATTCATCGAACTAATTCACTACTCATCCAATTGAACACTACTCAATTACCACTGAACATCCAAAACATTATTATTGGATAAACACAATAATCATGACGACCAATTCATTTGGCTCAGCGCTTCCCCGCTTCGATTTCCCCCGCCAACCCGCTGCTCCAAAATTCACAGCCCAGGCGGCTCGCGCATTCCCCACTGTCGCCATTGTCGCTACAGCTGGTACGTCTCCAACCCAACCTCAACTTCAATTGACAAATACTCACACTCGTACAGCGGCTTATTACTACACATATTACTACGCTCCCAGCCGGGAATATCACATGTACACACATTTTTCGATACAGAATAGCCAGATGTTCCAGAGCACAAGGAGTACAAAGCCCAAGGCGGAGATAACGCCTTCGCAACGGATGGAAGAGATAGGGTTATGGTGGACGGCGTATTAAATTTGAAGATACCTATCGTGAAGAGGAATATTGTTTGATAGTAACGGACGAGATACTTAATGAATTCCAAGCCTGACATTGGGCACCATAACATTTCAAAGGTCTTCTCGCTTTCCACTATGCCTATTCCATTATGATACATAATTACCAAGGAGTGCCTATTGTCAATCTTGGCTGTAATTTCTAAGATTCCTCTCGCCCTGTATTCTCCAATGCTTTAGAAAACAAGGTCATCCTACTCAAGAGTGATATAGGAGACTACCGTAACCTTCGTAACAGAGCAATAAAAACTAATCACCATTCTTTAACTACCAGTCCAGGAAGTCTCTGACTCCAAACCCTTCCTAGTCCCTCCCGTTACAGTTCTCATTCTCGCGACCCTTTCTTCTCGATAATGATCCCTCGGCTGTTTGGGGAATGCAGACATGTAGCGCATCAAGTCCCTAGCGTCTCTCGTATCGGGCTCGTACACTTCTCTATTCTCAAAACCAACGTCATCCAAAGTGAGTTCCCTGAGGGCTCTAGAAAACCATGGTTTCATTTCCTTTGATACCAAATGATCATAAGAAGCCACGTCGTGGATATCGTGTGGAAGCTCCATCCACTCAGCCAGTTCCTCTTCTTCCTCTTTCGATAGCCGCTGATGTAGGAACTCCTGGAATGCATCCGAACGAGCTTCACTCATTATCTCCGCGTATATTTCCGGCGTGATTTCCGGCTCGAGACGCGCAAAAGCGGCTGGGCTATCAGATACCACTAATGCCTGAGCTACAAGCTGCTTCAGCTCGGGGATCAAACGCAGCAGCTCCAGATAAGTTGTCCGGTTAGCTGTCTGCGGATACCATATAATACGCGGCACATCTTCTTTTGAGAAAGGCCTATCGTTGTTGAGCCACGACAGATCGTCATTCATGATGAAGCGCGCATGAACAAACTTCTGAAGCACGGCCAGGTCTGGTTGTTCATAGCACCACTTGGCGAAAAAGGTGTTGTGGTAGATACCGCGCACTATGCACTGCATCTCACCATTGATAGGACGAGGTCTTCTTAGTCGGACGTAACGATCAATGTTTCCAGTAAAGGCCGCCATAAGAATGAGGATGTCTTTTTCAACTGAAGGTAACTGCCGTGGCAAGGGAGCGTAGAGGAGACTCAAGATGTCGCTTGGAATAGGCCTTTCTTCCGGCCGTTTCCCATCAGCAGCCAAGCACCAATCTTCAGTGATGTCAAACGGAGGAGGGAAGATTTCGTGGTGCACTGGCTGCCTCTTGTCCAATGCTGACCGAACACAGGTATCGCCGTTCAGAAAGGCTCCAACTTGGGGCTCGTCAAACAGACAAAGATTGTAATCGTCCATGACACGGTAGAGGTTTCGTGTACCCATTACGATATCGTGAATACCTTTGGAGGCAGGTAAACTATCGTGGGCTTCCTCTGCAATGGCGACATCAGGAAGAAGATCTAGCTCTTTGTAAAGCTTCACGTATCCACCAGCAGCACACGCTCGTCCAACCTTGTAGCGTATGAAGAGTGTGGGATGGGCCTTCAAGAGCTGTCGCAAAGTTTCTTGACTGGGGACGTCGGGATGCCAGAAGCAGTATGGGATGTCTTCTGGGTTCTCCATCTCGGGTAGTCGGTTACTCATGATATCTCTAGCGTTGAAGGCTCGTTCCAAGGATTGGTGTATCGATTTGCCACGAAGTTCGACAGCGAAGCCATCGTGATACCGAATGCCCGCAACCAGGCACTTGTAAACCAACTCATGCGGGAAATCATGGGGAACTTCTTGTCCACGGATGGCAGCTCGTAGTGGGTCCAACTCTAGAGAGAGAATGCTCTCTCGCAACGTCTCAAGTTCCTCAACGAGCATGGCGGGCGAGTACAACAAGGAAAAATATTAAAAGGATAGAAATGAACAATACAGTCGACTCTCTCACATTTATAACTGCCAAATTGGCGGTAAAAGATAGCAGAATCACTCTTATCGACTGATTCACAACATGCGCCCATTGTTGAGCGGCAACTACAAGGCGAACCAGTCTACTGGCCATACAATCTTTCCACATAACCGCAAACCCCACACTACTCCAGAACAGTTACATAATACTATTCAAAGTCTCTAATTTGCAGAACACGACTTGCTCTTTTTGACAAGGGCCTGGACAATCGCGTCCTTGCGCCTGAACTCTGGAGAAAAGGCCTCGAGCTTGTCTCCCTTCAGGGCTCGTCGAGCGTCGGCTGCGTCCTTGAAGGCCTTTCTAGGACCCTTCACCTTCACGCCCTTGGAGCCAATAAGCATGCCAAGGATTGAGAAGGGAGCCGACGCTGGATCATCGACAATGTCGACAATGCTAAGTGCAGCGCTCCCTGCCTCCCCAATAATGAGAGCTGCCCGCGCAATCATCGCAGCGCCACCAAGAGCTGATGCTGCCGTCCCGGCGAAAGGAATGACTGCGAAAACGATGCTGAGGATACTAAGGACCAGCTCGCGAGTCTTCGTCTCTTTCTGCTTCTCGCCAATCTCCTTCACAGACTTGATAGACTTAATGGCGTCTTCAAGCATGAAGACAGGCATGCTGAACGCTGTGACCGCATCAGAGCCAGAAGCATTGAGATCCTCGTTTAGAGAATCCATGTATGTTTCATAGAGAAGCTCCGCAAGGTCACCAGTCTTCGGAATAGCCTCTTCGATGATGGCCTTGGGATTCGGAACGTCGATCTTGCTAGTGTCTTGGATGCGACGCGGGTAGTTCTTGTGCATGGTGAAACCTGCGCGAGCCTCGCAAGGGCAGATCGGACCAGCAGCAAACCTGTTGGGCTCTTTCTCATCAACATCGCGGGCATGTGGACCGTTGGGACAGATACAAATGTCGTGATCTGCATAGTCTTTCCACTCGACCCAATCCTTCTCTATCCCGTGATTTGCCAGAAGTGCCTCGTAGAACCCATCCTCGTCGCGCATCTTGTACGTGATAAATCGTCTGTTGGCAGCCTTTGGAGTATTCACTGGTACACGCAGCTCAACGTCAGTGCAAGGACCTGAACCCTTGCTGTTGGGTGCTGTCCACTCGCAATCCATATACTTATTGCCTTCACCAGATTTGACCTTCATGAATGTGTATAAGGCCGCGTCAATGCCCTCCTTTACCCAATCGACGTACCACTTGAACTGTGACCGAGTTAGCGGGTCGTGAACTTGCGGCTTCTCCATACGGCTTACCTTATCGTCATAGTCCTTAGATACTTCCTTGTAGTCCTTTACGGCCACAGACAGTAGAATGTACGGGGCAACGCAGTGACCGGGGGTGGACGAGGGAATGGCGTCAATTGAGTTGTACTCTTTGTCGCACGATTCAATGATCTCCAAATCTTCCTCATCATCGTCGGTATTGCATCGACGTTGTGAGTATCAGCCCACTCTTCTTGAAGATCAATTGCCCAGTCCGATGTACCATCAAAGTTGAGACTCTGTCGCCCTGTTATCAGTAATGGCGTCCTTCGTAATCAGAGAATCACCTCTTAACTTGTACTTGGCAGTTCGTCCTTGCTTGGTCTCCTCACTCATATATGCGACCCAATTCGTATCTGAATCATGACCCAATCAGTTCAGATCCTCTCAAGCCATGATGAGTGCGTACCTACCGTCAAAGATCATATAGTCGCTATCTGTTTTGGCATCATGCCATTTTTCCACGTCTCCTGAGTGTGAGTGCATGAGGGCTTTCAGCTCCGCGTTGGAGATGTAGCCAGCGGTGTCAGTGCATTTACCTTTGGCAGCACCTGGCTCCGGTCCAGTGAATGTGCACATTGGACCTTTGCATCTAGCACTACTCATCTTGAACGACCGACCACGAGCTTCCGAGCCTCCACACCGGCTTTGGTAACCATGGCCAGAGAACTCTCGGTTTCAGTGAGATTTACTAGAACACTGTTAGTTACAAGGTTCAACGATACCTAGAATGGCGACTTGCCATGGGATCTGAGGCAGCTGCCCTTGGGGCATCCATCACTGGCTCAGGGACTTTCGTAGTCCCATTGTCCTGACACTTTATCAGCTCTAGAGAAGGTATTATAATCTCAGATTCATACCATGGAGGTCGTAGGTCATGTATACGATGTAATCGACTGTTCTGGATATGGCAGCAATTCGAAATTGCTTATGGTACCAGAAGGAAGCCGGTGCGGCTATGGAGAGGGACTTGTCGGACGGGAGCTTACTCTTGACAAGCTGCAGAAACTTGAGGTAGTTTGCAGGCTCATCTAAGCTACCTTTCGGGATGTCGGGGAGGTCGGGGGCCTGTGGATGAAAGGTTAGAAATGCGTAGTCTATGGGAGGGGCGATTGGTGGAGGCACTTGCACCTGGATACTCCCAGTCAAAGTCGACACCGTCGAGGTCGTGATCCTTGACGAAACGAACAACTTCGTTGGCAAAGGCCTCACGATTGACAGGTTTGACTGCCTCGCGCAAAATCGTATATGTATCCACACCAACAGAAAAGGACCATCCACCAAAGGCAATGATTCTCTTTATGCCTTTCAAGCCTTTGAAGTTCTTGAACTGGCCATATGTATCCTTTACACTCACCTTGTAGTCGCTAGTGATGTTGGCGAAGGTAAAGTGCACGTGTGTCCATCCGCTCGTGAATGCAGAGGTGATGGTCCGTACGTCCATGTGCATACATGGTCGGTCTTGGTTCCATGATTCGTAATACGCGATCTTCTTGAAGGAGTCTGGAGCCTTTTCGTTGTTGACGATTCTCATGCCACAGTTGGAGATGCAACCGTTTTCTCTAGGCTTAGACATACCTGGGTTAACCGTAGTCGATTTGGAGATGGTGCAATAGTCCCTGGTCGTTCCTGTGAGGAGGTTGCCTTAGTCGGTTCGTTCTGGGCTCTATGGGCAATCGGACACTTACCACACTGTCCCCAAATATTGCAGCAAGCCTTGAGAGGACAAGGATTCAAATCAGCGAGCTTTTTGTTACCTGTTGGCATCTTGGTTCCTGGCTTGGTCGGTCCACACTGGGCGTTCGAAACCGGGGCTGGTAGTGGAGGACTTCCTTTGCTCATACATATCTTCTGCCCCAGCAAGAGTTTATTGCAGCCATTCCAGCCCCTAGGATGTCAGTACCTAGTATTCCATCTTCGATTCAGAACTATTACAAGATTACAATGGCACAGCTATATAAGTGGAATCCTGCTATCGGTGCCAAGTGCACCAATTTGTGGGCTAATTATAACGTTTGTGTCGCCGCATAGGGTAGTTGTACAATATTGGGGTGAAGGTTGAAGTGACTGGACCGCGGAACCGTGTACCAGAAGGTCGAGAGGTCTTTAACTCATCGCTGTAGTTCGACTGTTTTAACATAATTATCATGGCCCTTCCTGAGATTCTCTTGCTGACGTGACTACTGAGGTGACGATGATGACGTCGAAACACAGATAGGCGGATGTCCTCAGTATGATAATTAGGTGTCAAATACTTCGCGGAATGCGGTAATGAACCTTCACTGGCAAGCAGACGCCGAAAGATACGACAAAGGCATTTTAGTAGGTCTTATCACTGTAGGTTGGCCTTGTTTAACGTGGCTATCGGCTCAACAGGATGGGAGAAGTAATGCTGCAAATGCTGCAAGAAGGAACTGGCATATCGAGATCCACTGGCCGCCTAAACAAGTACGTTTACTTCTAATCATCTGTTAACAATGCACCGGCAATAGCCGGCACACAAGGTCTCAGAGCTGTCATGCGCATTTGACCACAGATGTAAGTAGAAAATTTAACAAGGCCGTTTGAATTTTGATCTGTGGACCGAACATGATAGATGCTAGTCTCTATGGACTCAACTTTCAAGTATGATTATCTGGCTTTGTTGAAGAAAGATACCCGAAGTAGAGATGCTGGCAGTTCTCATAGTGCAATCCAACAGTTATTTGTATACATCGTGCTGCTGTGAGTTCTATCGATCCGATGCATATGTCTCAGGCGAGCATTTTAGTGACATTTTAAAGTCTCGTCAAACCTCGGAGTTTCGTAAGAGTATTGGATCAAGGGCTGCCATTCAGGACTACCTTGAGAATTTTGCTCACTCTGTGGTTCGTGTCAATACTTTGTAGAAGAGCTATCTCTTATCGTCACTCACCTCGTGTTCTCGGCCATTGCGTACGGCTTGGAGCCCCCTTGAGCTGCTTTGTGAACCGACTTTGTGCATTAGTAGACATTGCTTTGACTGTGAGCTTACAGCTACCGCGCTGAGTTTGGTTGTGGGTGAAAGAGCAAGTAAGAGATTTTACTGAGAATTCTTCTCTATCAGCACTCTAAACTTCGTTATTATTAGATAACTTATGATCTGTTTCACAAATCTTTGACATATTTCATAAAATTAACCTATACTGGTTATGTATTGTCACTTCCAAGGCTGCGGGCTTTCAGTTCCTTCCTTAGGCGTGCGTGAACATCCTAAAGCTTGCTCTTTTCTTCCTCTTCTTCATTCACCCATGTTCAGGAAAGAACTGTCCTGCCCTTGGTCTTTTGGTATCCGAAGAAACCACAAGATACCTAAGTACCCGTTCTTTCTCTTTCGGCATTTCTTCTTCCTCCTCATCATCATTGCTTCAGAATACACACCACAAAACTATCACGCCGCATTAACGCTCCCATGGCGCCTTTGAACGAGCCCAGGTTTCCTCGTACTACGAACCCCCGTAGCTTCTTGGAATGCCCATTTCACAAATACAATAGCATCCAGTTCTACTTGTGCACCGACAAACCTTTGAAAGGGATGTCATGCCTGTGGGATCATCTCAGATCGAAGCACCTGGCCTACAGCAACTCTACTCCTTGGACTTGCCCGAATTGCCGTGAGGAAATCTACGATCACAAGCAGGATAGCCACCATGATCCGTCAAAATGCGCCACAACTAGCCCGGGAGAGTCAGGCATCCTGCTTGATTCAGAGCTGCAACAATATCTAGACTCCACCATAGGTCGAAAGCCCGAGGCAGCATGGTATAAACTGTAGTACTTCTTATACCCTGATATGGAAAGGCCAAGGACACAATTTGTGGAGATCGCTGTTCCTTATCTTACTGCAAAGGCTCGGACCACACCGCTGGACACCGGCTATCAAACTCTTATACTTGACACCATATATACAACCTACAACAGCATGAGTAATGATGCGTCCCAGGAGGACGGAGCTCAACCTTCGCAACAGTATACCGCTAAGCCCTGGCCAATAATACCGCCAAATCCCTATATACAGCTCCCTTATAACGGAACTCAAGCTCAGTGGCAATACCTCGTGAGTCCCCAGCAAGCTCTACCTCAGTCGTCTCCTCTGCAGGCTGCACAGAGCAATCAGTAAGAAATCCGGCCCAATAGAGTTATTTCAGCGTTTACTTACCTGCATAGCCAAAGTCAAGATCTGCAACAGCCGCAACAGTCTCACGCCGAGCCAACCCCTAATAATTATACTCAAACTTCATCATATCAGCAGCCACCATATAGTTCTAGCCCACAGCTTCTCTGTGACTCGTCTCAACCTGACATGACGCCTGCGGAGGATCCTAGCACGCCGGCAAGCTCGATAAGACAGCAGAGTCTCGATACTACCCAGCCTCAACCTCAGGAACATCTGAGAAGGAATGAATTCGGCATCTCACTTGATTCGCCTCGGCCTAATATAACATCAGCGGAGAATCCTAGCACACGGACAAGATCGATAGGACAGCAGAACCCCGGTGCTTCTCAGCCTCAACATGAGGAACATTCGACGACGGATTGGTTGGACTTTTCACAGTATTCGCCCCTCACTCGGGTCCTAGATCATCCGGACTACAATCCAGCGTCTCATGCTAAGAACAGCAATGAGCAATCTCTTGATGATAATGGTATTGATCTGACGGATTGAATGAAAGGCTCTTCGCTTGGTTGAGGCTTAAAAGTAGTAAGTATGTGGAATAGAACTAGAACTCGGTGGGTTCTTCATATACGATCAGCCACCAGCATTATGACAATACCAAACAGTATCCTCACATGAAAGTACGTGATTGCATACTATTGACCAGCATGAAATGAATTATGAGACAATGCTAAAGTACTGGACAATTTAAATAAGGCGATAAACAAGATCCATTTAATATGAACTAAAATTTGCAGCAACAGGATGCACTGTGCTGTTTAGCTGGTCATTCGTCATATGATGACACCAATCAGTAATCCCGACTCCATAAAGGCATCACTTTGTAGAAACGGTGTTAAGCTCGTTGAAAGAAAGCTCAGGCTGCTTGTCATGATCGAGCAGCACAGCTGGATCAAAGATGCAAAAGATCAGAATAGCAACTGCGATACAAACACCATCAAGACCAATAAAGTATCCCTCTGTCTTCATCAACTTTCCATCCCAACCTTCAAGGAGTTCGACCGTTCGGTAGATGCATCGGATGTAGACAAACACGACCGATATGATGGTGGCGTAGATGATAAAGCGTTGGCCCTTGGCGAGTTCAAGACCTCGTGTTCTCAAGACAAAGATGGCAAAGAGAATACAGAAGCCAGTCATGCTGACGAGTTGGAAGATGATACCAGCAACCATAAGGTTGGCGCCTGGCTTGGTGTCTTTGCCTTTGTTGGCTGCCCCCGAAGCAAGACCGCCACCGCCGGCCTGGATCAGAAGAGCCAGGACATCAACAACGAGGAAGATCCAGAGGTAAAGCTTGGGCCTGATGACAGAGTATTGAGGTCCGATCGCTTTGATGAGGTAACCCAGCGTGACGTAGATTGCGGCAGCGACAAAGATGGGAGCGACGACGAGGGTGGTGATCTGAAGGAGGAAAGCAATTTTGTTGTATGCGCATTTCGACGACCACGTTCGGCCAATCCAGCCGATGAGTTCGATGTACGAAGAAATGGCTAGTAGGTACGAAGTGGCTTTTCGCTTCTGGAACGATCGAACGATGTGATAAATCCCCGTAGCGGCAAAGATAAGACAAAAGACGATTCCAGCTGCTAGGCTGGGAACATAACCGTAGGCATTCTGAAGGCCTGGAATAAGGTCCTTACAACCGTTCAGAAGATCGCCTCGGGCGTAGGAACCGTCTGCTATTGACATGATTGCTTGGATGAAGAGTGAAGAATACGAGAAAGCTGGATTCTTGAGGAGCGAAAACTCGAACCCCAGAGTCAGCCAGAATGAAGGGCGCTGCGGAGACAAATCTGCAACACTCCCCAGGACCAACAAGTCCCTCAGGGCTTCTGCTATCTTCCGAGTCATTTGCTGACCCAACACCGAGTCGTGTTTTACCCGCTTAGATACAAGCATGGAGCCTGTTATCGGAGCTGACAGGGATAGGGTGCGACGTTAAGATCTTACGGTGTGGGAATAAGTATGGAGACGACATCCTTGCCACGACCACGTAAAAAGTGGCACAGATTAGCTTTGTGACATGTCGTTTGCTGACCCCTTTGCTGCTTTATGTCGCTGGGAGGCTGGGCGCCGACAAATGCCGGCTTGTGAGACGATTCTCGTCATGCAGTCTTGGCTGTGCCTCAGGGAGCAATAGGATTTCGAACGTGGATACGGGGTGCCAAAATAAACTCATCAAAGAGCATCCTCAGCTTATGCTAATCTACCCAAGTCTTTTTGTCACTTAGAATGGAGGTCCTAAGTTTGTACCTCCCCGAGGTGTGCAGGTGAATACGATAATTATACTTTGCTAAGTGATCTATGTATACTCACCAGCCCTGCACTTCCTCTAAAGAGACTTTCAAGCCCTTGCTTGGCTTAGCCACAATACCATCCGTGATATCCCGTACCTCGTAGTCCTTGTCTATGTCAAACTTGTATCTCCCTACCAACGCGCATGTAAGAGCCATGAGCTCAGCCAGTGAGAACTTCTGACCAATGCAGCCTCGAGGACCGTGTAGAAATGTCAGGAATGCGTAGTTGTTCTTTGAACCGCCCGAGTTGGCTTGCCCAGGTGCCATCCATCGCTCAGGGTTGAATTCGTCTGCATCAGATCCCCAGAGTTCGTGGGCCCTGTTGATGGCCCACGGACAGAGAATAACCATTGTTCCTCTGGGGACGAAGGTACCGAGGATTTGAGTGTCCTTGAGAGCATCGCGGACGGTAAAGGGGATTGGCGCGTAGAGCCTCAGTGATTCTTGGCAGACTGCATGGAGATAAGAGAGGCCATCCAGTTTCTTGGCGTCGACATCGTCTGTCAGACCATCAACATTTTGTCGAATCTCCTCTCGAAGACGATTCTGAACATCATGGTTCTTTGCCAGAAGGAAGATCGTCCAGGTGAGCGCTGCTGCGCTGGTCTCGTGTCCAGCAGCCAGAAAGGTCATCATCGTATCAACGAGTCCTTCATCGGTGAAATGACCAGACTCAAGCGCCGTAGATATGATATCAGGTGATAGTTTCTCCTTAGCTGCCATCTGTACCTTCTTCGCGTTGATTAGTCTCTGAGAGGTTTCCCTCGCTGCTTTCGAAGCAGCCAAGACGCCCATGTTTCTCTGAAATGGCAGGTAATCCGTGATAATGGAGGGAAGCACCAGTTGAAGAACCGTCAAGAGCTTGGCGCCACGGCTCTGCTTGACCATTGATCCGTACATCTTCATAGTATCTTCGATGCTTGGATCTGCAAGCGACCTGAACTCGTGACCCATTCCTGCAGAACCGATAATGTCCATAGAGGCTCGACTCGCCCAGTCGACAATGTCGATCTCTGAAGTCGACTCCTCTCTGAGCTCCTTTTCGATACCGTGGACTAGCTCCTGTGCTTTGCTCCAGAAGACGGGATATAACTCCTTGATGTGACGAAAACTGAATGCCGGCATGAGGTTCTTTCTTTGCATCTGAGACCATTAGTCTTGACTCTGTTGATGAATGGATGGTTAACATACCTTGTGCACGTCTCCCTCTGATAGCAGCAGTCCATAGCCCAGAATTTTGCCGACCATTGCGCGTAGGAGATGAGGCTTGACGTAGTCATAGCTGTTTTGACCGAGAACCTCCTTCAGACCTTCAGGACTGGTGACAACGAGCCTCTCTTGATTAAAAAGATGCCTGAAAGATCAGCTTCATTTCTTTGTTTTGGGCGGGTTGTTTACTTGTATCTGATCAACCCATTGTTTTCAATCGTCCTTGACCAATGTCTGAATGGCAGTCCAGCAGGCTGACTGACAGACTCTGCCCAATGCCCATTTATAAAGCCCGCGCTCTGCTACTGTCAGTCATATTCCCATTTTCATCTTTCAACGCATACCTTTGGCTGCGGTAGGTACCTCAAGGGACTAAAGAACCGATGATACAAAAAGACCAGGTAGAATGCCCAAACGCTCAAGAACGCCAGCAAATACTTTCCCATGTAAAACGGAGCATGTCGGATAGAATAATTCTTATCACGAATGATTGGAACGTAGATTGCAAAAGCAAGGGCACAAAGGGCCCAAGGCCGGTAATACGACAGAAAAACAGCAATTCGTGCCATGGTGAGGAATGATGTGGATGAGGAGGAAATCTCACTGAGCTGGGTATTTTATGTGCAGACTTACCCACTTGAGATATGCGCAGGGGCGAGCAGGGGCCTTGTTTCGTGCACTGCCACTATATGATTGGCTTACGGTGGCTTCATGCGCATCTCCAGTGGACGCTGCACTAAATTAGGAGGCATAAGATTCGCATAACGAAAAGATCAAATTGGCATCTTGATAATTCTAAATCATATTCTATGGTATACTATGCTTATTCTCTCTTCTTAAATCGTAGCTTGACACCAACAGGCGGCATAACAGCTTCTGTGACCCACTGACTCTCCGGCCGAACTCCATTGTGCTCAGGAAGCAGCTCAATATCAAAACGGTTCAAAACATGGTACAAAATCATCTTCATCTCAAAATCCACCAAAAACCGTCCTGGACAAGCGTGCTTGCCGTGTCCAAAGGGAAGATAGGTTGAAGAAGTAGATACAAATGACAGCGCTGGGTTAGCGTCTTTGCCATCGGGACCTGTCCTCACTTTTGAGAACCTAAAAGGATAGAACTTCTCAGGGTGTTCGTAAATATCAGGATCCTGATGAACGGGATACGAGAGGATTGACATGGTTGAGCCATTGGGAAGAGTATGGCCATCTGGAGTCTTGAGACCACCTGGCGCAACAACCTTGCGAATCATAGCTCTGTTTCCAAATCCATGTGTTCGCATCGACTCTCTGAGAATACTATCTGTTTGAATCATCTTGGAAACCGATGCTTTGTCAAAGACACCGTTGCTCTCTGCAAGGACGTCTGCCATCTCCTTTCGGATGACTGCAATCGTGCTGAACTCGGCATCTGAGGCTGCGATGTTGATTAAAACATTACTTATAGCAACCGCAGTCTGATGGAACGAGGCAAGATTTGCAAGACAAAGCCGATCGGAGATTTGAGACGGTGCTACTTGTTTACCATGCTTGCTGATGGCATATCGCATCATCATCTGCAGATTGTCGGTCGGTTCTTCACCCTTCTCATAGAGCCCAGGATTCAAAAGTCGTTTCGTTCTCTCTTCATAAAGAGGCTGGATATGCTTTTGAATCTTCCATCGTCTGTACCGTGTTGGTAAAGTAACAAGAAGCCCAATCAGCGGCTTGAGAAGTGATGGGGTATAAATCAGCAGCCCAGAGTTTAATATGAACAAATCCGCAAAGGCGAGCGAATCTTTCAGATACCCCTTATTGCGGCCTTGGAAATTAGCTCAGGTCTACCAAATGGCTTGGGGACTCACAAAGAGGAAGGCCAACAGTGAACCGACTCGAGACTTGGGCCACGATCCATTTCATAGCCTCATAAACATCCACTTCATTCCCAGCTCCGGGCTTTATATACTCAGGAATGGCATACTGAAGCTCATCATCAACGGCAGCAGCTAATATCTCAAGAAAACGACCCATCTCTTTCTTGATGACGATACTCTGCCACGGATCTTGGATATAACTGGCGTGTCCAGAGTTCCAGTCTCCCTTGTCAATTTCTCGAAACCCTTCAATCGGACTGAGTGCAGCATCTGGCTGTGAAGCTGCCCATTGAGTGTGATGATGCGCTAGATGAATTTCATCTTTGAAGCCCATACTAGGCAACACGCAAGTTTTGCCATGTTTGGTGAACTGTGTTTGTCAGTTTCGCTCATTATTTCTGGAGGAGACATACTGTTTGATATGCTTCGAGAAAAAGCTGTCGGCAGTCAGTAAGATATGCCCACGGCAATTTGAAAGGCAGATATGAGTTGCGCTCTAGTCTTGGAAGACTTGAGGGTAGCTTCGGTGAACTTGTATACTGAGCCAAATAGACAGCCGCCAGAAAGACGGCCACAAACAGATAAACCGCCATCACGATTGATGCTGAGAATGCCTTCACGACAATGGCAAAGCCAGAAAGAAAGCTCCCTACCCTAAGATGAGTACGTACCTCACCATCAGCCCTAGCCGAAACATCGCTAGTTTAGGTTAAATTTAGCTACGGTTAGCTTCACCCTGAAAACAAACGGCCACGCCACAACCGCGTCCCTTGCTCCACCATGGGGTGTCTAATTATGCCCCCCAGTGCTCTGCTCCATAGTAAGCTTCCGTCGGGCGCTGTGACATTCACGGTTTGCGAAAACATCTATAGATACTCTTCCAATCTCAAGCTCTGCAAGGAACATTCGGCCCACCATCACAATGTCAGCAAGTTCAGACGTAAAGATCATAGTCGTACGTTTCTCATTGCCGTAAATGTCAATCACTAACGTCTCAGGCCGGTCTTCCGCGCACATCTACAACAAGTCTCAAGAAAGGTCTTGAGATTCTTGGTGTAACTCCCTGTTTTCACCTCGGAGATCCTCCTGCGCCCATTTCTCGCGTCAAAGAAAGTGCAAGAGTGCTTGCTATTCAGGATCGCAACGAGAGGCTCAAAGCGTTGAAGAAGCTGTATGATGGCTTCGAAGCTGTCTTTGAACCGCCTGCTAGCGCTCTTGTTGATGACATGCTGACAATCTACCCCAACGCAAAGGTACGAATCAATTACCTTCGATTGAAGCTTACTCACATTTTAAGGTCATCCTCTCCGTCCGCAAAAACCCGCAGGTCTGGCTCGCATCTTACTACGGCCTGGGTATTGATCTCCGCTCAAAGTGGTACCGCATATTAGGCTACTGGATCCCTGGTGTGATTCACTCCAGCGACCTTATCGTAGCCTGGTCAAAATACTACTCTGAGAAATTCGGCCTGGAGCAAGTTCCTTCGGAGGAACTGTACCATAAGCATAACCAATGGGTTCACGATATCGTGCCTGCCGGGCAATTGCTCGAGTACCAACCGAGTATGGGATGGGAACCCCTGGCGCGATTTTTGGACAGGCCTGTTCCGCAGGGCGAGCCGTTTCCACGTGTCAACGAAGCTGCTTTTCTTAGAAATGTTAAGCGAGCTGCTATGGGTCTTGGATCATTGGTCTGGCTGTGTTTGTTTGTTGGTCTGTATTACGCTGGATCCTTCTCGTGGTCAAAGTTTGCGTCTGAAACTTGAGTTCAGTTGGTTGAATAGAAGAAAAAGAAACTGCGCCACGTACATGCTTCTCATTGCCGGCCGCTGTTTGAGTGATAATTCGATTGGTCGCATACACCCACCCCTTGCTGTATAATCTCACGTCAGACGGAGCCGCTAATGGCGATTACAGGGATTATACCGGCATGTGGGTGATCCTTCGGGTACTGGAGCCATTGTAAGTGAAGGTGAGATTTAAGCCAAACTCCATTTAAGATGAAACAGTATTTTCCGTGCGGGATTCCGTGCGGTGAAGCCTGAATGGGCACTTGTTTTCGGACCATCGCTGACCGAGATTTCACAGGGTTGATTGAGTTTTACACGCGCGCGGCACGGAATGGCAATGTTACTCTGCGGGCCGGTTTCGAAGCTTGTACTGAGTTGTAAATATCTCCACGTTCATGCTGATTGATGCTGTAACTTTCTTGCCTCCCTCACCAAACATGACCGCTTTCGTTGCATTCTGCCTTGCATTGGTGTCCCAAGGCCTCACTGCCTGGGCTCTCGGTTTCACAGCCTCCGCAAACCTTGTTCGACCTGTTATTGCAGCGGTTGTCGCTTTGCTTACCTGGTTCTTCAATCAGGCCATTCTCGATGCATTGCCCAGTCGCCTACATGTGGCGTTGCTGTCTACAGGAATGTGGATTCAATGCTTGAAGACGTTTGACGATCTCTGCCTGAGCAGGTTGTCTTTCGAGGGTACATCGCCGTCGCTGACCAAACGCTTGTCCTTTGGGGTAAGCAACCTTTGGAACATGCGTGGTGTTGGTACGAGTAAACAGATATCCCAAATCCCTCCCTGGTCTAGCCAGACACCCTCTCTCGTACCGTCCCGAACCCAGGAGCTTAGAAGACATGCAAGGAATTCCATCATCAGCTATCTCATCCTCGATGTCTTTGCCGCCCAACCACCCCCAGATCCCAACATGATATCTCCTCAGAATGAACACTTGCTGACACGCATCGGCCAAATCATGCCCGAGGAGGCAATCTTTCGCTTCTTTGCCACCTTTGGCTTCTGGCTCAACACCTTCTGCGTCATTCACCTTATCAACAGTACTTTTTCGCTCCTGTACCTCAGCCTAAACTTGTACCCCGTCGAAATGCTACCCCCAATCTGGGGGCGCCTCTCCGAGGCTTATAGCGTTAGGCGCTTCTGGGGTAATTTCTGGCATCAGACGCTACGACGTCACCTCACCTCCCTTTCAGACTTCCTTGTCCATGGGATTCTTCACATGCCAAAGGGTCTTGTTGCTCGTTACTGCAAGCTTATCATATGCTTCTTTATTTCTGGGGCTTTACATTTCCCCGCTGATAGAGCGCTTGGGATATCTGCAAAGGAGACTAACGTTATCAACTATTTCCTTACGACAGCGCTGGTGATTATGTGTGAGGATGGAGTTCAGCATGCCTTTCGGGGCGTGCGGGGAACTTGGTCGACACGGTTTGGCTACTTTTGGGTTATGTGTTACATGTACTTGATGACCCCATCATGGGCATATCCCGCTGCAAGAGTTGTCAAACCTGGAGACCAATTGGTCTCCTTCTCTGTTATCAAGCAGTTCATACAATAGATCAGACATCACATTCATATTATTAGTCATTAAACTTGGCAAAATGGAGAATTGAGTTATTTAATCATCATCGAAAAGCGATCCTAGCAATTGACTCATGGTATCCTAAACGCGCCGTAATCTGACAAGTAAATCTCTATCAACCCTTGCAACACCCCTCGCTTCATTTCCAACTTCAGGCCCTCTATCCGAGGTCTTCCCATCACGATCCACAAACCGTAACGGCTCAATCTCGAAGTGTGCAAAGAATAAAACAACCGCTGACAGAATCTCCTGCTTGGCGTAATTCCGCCCTGGACACATTGCTGCGCCGCCTCCGTAGGGGAAATAATTGCCTGCTGAGATCCCAGAGTTGCCCTTCTTGATGAAGCGCTCTGGCCAGAATTCTTCTGGGGGATGTGCGGATGATGACCATACTTCTGGGGCGTTGTGTGCAAGGTATGATGGTGCGAGGACGAGATTGCCTTCTTTGAGCGTATAGCCGTCTAGCTCGATCGAGTTTCGTAGTTTGCGGACTACAAACACTGATGATCTTAGACGAAGACACTCCAAGTATACTGAGTTGAGTAATGGCAGCTTCTTGAGTGCCACAATGTCAACTTGCTTGGTGTCCTTGTCGAAGACCGTAGCAACTTCTTCTTGAATCCGTTTGAAAATCTCTGGCCGACGGAGAATCTCAATGATAATCCAAGATGTCATGGGAATAGCATTCGAGTTTATACTCCAGATTAGACCCATTTGAAAAGAAGCTCTTCCATCAAGGCCAATACCATATTTCTCCATGGCAACTTCTCTTTCACGAACAAGCTTGGATCCAAAGTTTGGTTCCCAATCAGGGTTTTTTTCGTGACAAGCTCTCCAATTAAGGTTTTGCCAACCTTGATCGAGATACCCTTTTACGGTCTCCAGGCACTTGTCCCTGGCATTGGAGCCTTTTCGACAGAGAAACTTGGGAATACCGTACAGTAAAGACATGAAATCCTCATCGTAGTCCCAAAACACATCTGCGAAATTGGGATCAATGTCAAAGACCTTTCGACCTGCGAGAGCAATGGTAGAAGCTCGAAACATATGATGCTTCATGAACTCGTCAATGCCAATCTCAATCGGCCCCTGAGTGGCAGCAGTACCGAGCTCATCAATCATGGTATCAATGAACAACTCTGTAAGGGCAGATACTGCATTAGCGCCAATGAGGTGGGACTCGTAGATCTCATGGAACTTTCTCCATATACGATCTTCCTCACGAGTCTCGGTTAACGGCAATCGTGACGATCCCGATATATCCTTTGCTACCAACGCAGCATCTTTGGCAGGAAGACGTTTGACTTTTTGAGCTACTCGGAGAGCAAACTCCTCGAATGTGAGTTCTTTTGAACATCGAAAGACTTGCTGGACGTTTCTTGTGCCGTGGATAAGATACGCATGGACGTTGCCTAGACGCATGCGAATGGGCTCACCATTCTCGACTTTCTGTCTGAGAAATGTTAGCTGAGAAGTGAAATAAGGGCGAGTTAACAGACACAATGGAATTGAAGAATCCATGGGGATTTCTGATCAGACTGAGTGCTGAACCAACCCCTGGTAGTACATATGGAAGTGTCGATGGCTCTTTTCCTTGGTACCGGCGATCACAAAACCGCTGTATCGAATACCGAATCGTAGTAATACAATGCGTCGAAAGCAGTAACAATACCGCCACCAGGGCAATAGTGCTCGCCGAAGCGTTAAAGAAAGGAGCGTTCATCATATCGAAATCGAACATGTCCTTCAAAACTCTCGATGGCATTCTTAGAGAAGGCATTCTCGCAACGTGATAAAAGAAATTGTCACTTGTGGATATCCGCTGTCAAACACCGGCCCGGATATTATCTAAATCATGCAAGGAATGGCTTTGAACTCCATAAATAGAGCTACTGGCTAGGCTACCGACCAACAGGTTCGTAATTACTGGGATATGGGATTTTACGGATTCATGACAGTCAGCTCGGTGGACGTTATCCACACGCCAACCATTACCTGAGGCAGGGTATCATCGGTGAAACGGCTAGTGAATGATTCTGGGGGCTTTTTTGCTTTGCTCAGCCTTTGGGATGCTTGTGATAGTGGTCTGCGCTTTGAATGGATGGGCTAGTATGTGGATGCAAGGAGGCAAGTCGGTTAGATAGAGATCTACGCGATCTTTGTTTATCTCATGCCCCCACGATGTCTTTACTGGTGATCATCCCCTGCAGGGCGTGTAACTTCATGATTACCTAAGGACTTGTAAATCAAGTTGACGGAAACGGATGCAGCGGCATTTTGGCCGCAGAAATGCTGACTGCAGGTTTCCTGCAAGGGATGAAAGCGATTTAGAATCTCACCTAATTCATCCACTGACGAAGGGGCTATGCTGTAAAGGTAGAAGCCTAAGACAACCTTTTTACGTAGTGGGTCAATCTATTAAGATTCTGAATCTGTTTGTGATAAAATCATGCTTTGCCTGACACGTAGCAGCGAGATAGCGGGCCAACACCAAGGATCATCGTGGCTTGCGGATCCCGTTTTAGACCCGGGACCTTGCGGAGACAAAAAGTCTGTGCACTCTGCCTAAATGAAAGGATTCATTCTGGAACGTGTAGCATTGATGTAACCTCCACTCGAGCCCTGTAGCCCTACGTACGACCTAACAACACCCACTAACGTATCTGTGAGATCCGCTAAACTAGACTCTGCGCACACACCGCAGCTTGATCTTCTCAGGATGCTTCACCTTGAGCAGGAAATTGAAACTAGACTGCTTCGCCTCTTCCATGAGGGCCCTTGACGCCGCCTCCTTGAGGTCACCTTCTGCATCAGGCTCCACGGTGTATTCCTTGAGGAGACACGCCATGACGGCCACGAATTCTACCTGTGAGAATTTCTTGCCGGGGCAGACTCGCGGGCCTGCGGCCCAGGGGAGGAACGCGCCCGTGGGCATGGGAGCGAGCTTTTCGCCTGTTTCGTCGGTGGTGATCCAGCGGCTGGGGAGCCATTGGAGCGCGTTGTCGCCCCATGAGGCGGAGGATGTGTGTAGGCCTGCCAGATTGACGCCGACGAATGTGTTTTTGGGGATTGTGAATGATGTGCCGTTGACTTTGAGAGTTTGGTCTACGAGTGTTGTTTTAGGAACTGCCCTTGCTGCGCCGAATAATCGGAGTGTTTCGTGCTGTTTATGTTAGTGGTGATCAATTGGCCTGGTGGCTGACGTACCATGATCGCGAGAACGCGCTTCAATTGAGGATAATATGTTTCGTAGTCAAGGTCCTCCAAGTCGACTCCAGCTGTGACTTGATCGACCTCTTCTGCTGCCCATTTCTGCCATTCGGGGTTCGCTGCGAGGAGGATTGTCGCGTAAGCAAGAGTGTTGGACGTTGTTTCGTGACCAGCGAGGTTATAGCTGAACAGGTTGCCATAAATCTCAGAGTCTGTCAAATGACGAGTCCCTTTGCCCTCTTTGTTCTGGTTCTCAGATGCTCGTACAAGAATACTCATGAGGTTGTCCTGTTCTTCTGCCCCAGCATCCATGGCCTCACGTTCTTCGGCGACCATTTCAGCCATGTACTGTCGAAAGTTGACCACGGCATCTTGAACCTGCTTGAACTTAGAGGGCAGCATCCACGTGGGAAGATTGAGTGTGGCTGTGAAAACAGCAGTGAACAGATTGCCCAGAATGAGACTGAGTGAGTCACGATATGTGAGGCTGTGGTTTTCCAATGCGCTCTCCAAACCGCTGCCGAAGGTGTAGCTTCTGCCGAACCCAGCGGCAGTGAGGACATGGAGAGCGAGAACCATGGTGTCGCTCTGAGGGTTCACGACGCCTTTCGGGTTTGATGCCCACATCTTGAGCATGTCGGTAGCTTGCCTCTTGGACTCGTCCCAAACAAGCGCACTGTTCCTCTCATTGAAGGGCGGCGTTGTGATCCGTCGATGTCTCACCCAATCATCTCCTTCAGTCGTTACGACATTGCGACCAAAGATCTCTAGTGGTTTGTAGAGAGCCACGGCTTTAACAAAGTCTCTGCGACGGCGACAAAGATCGTCACTGGCCTTTGCGTTACCTGTGAACACGCGGATCTGCTTCGGGCTGACAATGATGAACGTGTCACCAATTCGTTCTTGAAGATCATGAATCTGTTCATAATTCCAATCCCGGCTGTTGTATTCAACAAAGTTTCCAAGTCCAAAAGGCAGAATCTTTCTTAAGAGAGGCTCCAAGAAGCTGCTGCAAAGCAAATATGGGACATTCTAAAGGCATTAGCTGCAGTGCATTTGAGAGGGAAGCTAAGCGTACGGATGGATCAATTGGCGTGATGAGAACGGGAAGCCCAATAGATTTGGCTTTCTTGTAGTTGTAGAGTAGCTGCAGTGTACTCAGGCCAATATATGCCAGTAACAGTCCGCCGATGGCGTAAAGAGGCGATATCATGTTGCCTGAAAAGTCGTGATGATAATAAGATTAAAGGTTGGAGTAAGAACGAGAAATGTTAAGTACACGGTTTACAGTGAGTGGGTTAGCACTAAATTTAGAGCCGATACGCCACTGAAAGCACTAATTTTCGCTTGTTTCAGCACCAATGCACTCAACAGGTGCTGCAATAAACTCGCAGACCGCACGAGGCTGATTGTATTATCTATGATACGAGGGTATTTATGCTCTCTCAAGTGACAATGTTACTATTTGAAACGCTCAAAGATCATTCAAGACGATGGTCAGTGGTTGATTTAGGACCAAGTGTAGCGCTTGACTGGATGCTATTCATTTCACAGCTCAATCTCAATCTCTTAACCACGAATTTCACAATAAGGTAATGTTTCTGAGGCTTTTTCAATTCATTCATACACTCTACTAAAGTAATCTTACCAACAGCTCATGACTTTAGCCATCGGCTTGAAAGCACTGAGCCTTATCAATTCCGTCTCCGGGCGCTGCTGTAGAATGACTGGAAACCACCGAACTGGCCCAGACCAAGCAAGAAAAGAAATAACCCAAAAGTAACCAGCAAGTCTCGCCAGTATCCGAGTAAACTTGTACTTCCAGAGAGGAAGAAACAAATCACCAAACACATCCTCCAGCATCAACCCGATCAATTGCGTGCTGAAGAACTGGATCGCTCCGCTGTCCTTTGCAGAGACTGCGCTGCCCATGTCGCTTGGGACGTGAACCAATCCAGATAATGCAAAAGCCAGAAGAATCTTTAGATACCGCGATGGAAGCGAATAAGACTTCATGCGAAAGATGTTCTTGACAATCCATGTCGCAGTGCCCCGAAGATTATTCTGCAGCCCTTGGTGCCAAAAGGTGCTGAAAAGTTAGCGGTCGTCCACTAAAAAGTACGCTGAAAACTTACGACCAGAATTGTCGGAGACAGTAGGACTCTGTCAGTTCGCCGAAAATTGGTCTCCAATCTTTGACAGCTTTCGGATTCATGGTTACCGATGCTGCAGAGGCGAGAGAGTAACCGCCCTGGATGAAGCAGAAAATTGACACAACTGTTGTGACAGTCGCGATGTACCGAACTTGCAGCTCTGCCAGTGTTACTTCGTCAACGCGGCGAAAGATGGGCACGTAGTTTGGAGCCATGTACTGCTGATCGAGACTCAATTGTGTCGTGATGCACAGCTTGTGGACAAAATAGCAAAGAAGGACTTTTAGAAGATTGATACACACAAATGGCGTCGCTGCAGGTACGTATGTCGGGTCTTGAGAGTCGAAATGGTGAATATTTCTGATCTCCCAAGGCGTGCCCAACCCTCTCATTGAAGACGCAACTTCTTGCCCAAAGACATATCGCTTGCGAAATTCCGCAATCCTCGATTGAGGTTCTTGGTCTTTCTTCTCACGATCCTCAGCGTATGCAATTTTACGCACAATCATCCGCTCAAAGTACGTCAGCGAGATTTGCGGAAATGCAGAGATGATGGCTCTGGAGACCCATCCTGGCGGTTCGACAAAGTCTTCAAACGTAGCGAGCGCAACGAACGTTGAGATGAGAAAGATAATGAACCCAACTGGTCGAAGAATCGATGTGCGAGATGTGAAGCCCGCGATGTAAATGAAGAAGAATTGCTGGGCTGTCGAAATGACAAGCGGGTGAAGGTAGAGTCGGCAAGCCATTGTTACCGACAGAACTGAGGGCATACAGAACCTTCAAAGACTACAAGACCTGCAGAAGGGCTGTTGGATCTGCTGGATGACTGTTGGCTCTATTGTTAGTATAGCTGATACTCGTACGAGACTTGCTGAGCTGTCACTGCTGATGAAACGCCTCTACAGGCTTCATCGCTGTGAGCCATTTCATAACGTTGAACACAAGGCATCCCAGCACCAACTAACGCTGAACCGGAAACCGTTTCGAGAAGACCCGAGTCTACTTTCTGAGATAAGCCGCAAGTGCCAAAGTAACCCACCAAACGCCTTGGCGCAATTCCTTGCATCGGACAATTGCAAAAAGCCACCCGTGAAAATCTCAACGGCTGAAGCTAGAGAGGGTCCCGATCCTTTAATGCAACGGTAGTCCCTACCCTTGTCCTGGCTAGATAGCCGATACATCCTTGTCTCATAAGCACACGCCCCTGATACGACTCCATAATCTTTGTTGGTTGCTCTCTGACTTGATGAGTTTGCGGAGCCGACTTCCGCTACCAAGGAGGCTTAGCTGTCATTCTTGCGCCCCTTGGTCTTCGGAATGTCGCTGGTGGAGGTCAGGGACTTGTTTGTCAAGGGCGTTTGGATGGGGGCATGATGATCTCCACTCACGTATGACGTTGACGGACGGCTGGATATGGCAGCGCTTACTTTTTCATGCTTGATTAGCTGAACGGAATTAGAAACAGAACTGGATACATCCACTGTGACTGAACGTGGAAATGGAACTGGAACTGCAGCTTTCTCGGTCTTTTGTTGTCAAGGCATCGGTATCTAGGCAATTCCCGCGCAAGACAGAGGAATACTTTGTTCAAGCAAATCTGTACGCTCAGGCATAGGGTAGACGGAAAGTAGTTGTCGATAAACAATGGCTCTGAGCAACCTCACCATTGGGGTGGTTTGCTGCGTAGTGGTAGCCATCGTCGCTCTGGCTACCAGAAAGCAGCCCGACACCAGGGAGCCACCCTACGTCAAAGAGACCGTCCCCTACTTCAGTCACATTTACGGACTGTTGAAGCATGGCCTGCGATACTTTGATCTCGTCAGGTAAGTATCATACCACTACCGCTGACCGTCGCTAATCTCTTCAGCGCTCAACAACCGCATCCAATCTTCACGATTGACATGTCGGGACAGAAGAACTACATTGTGACATCTCCAGAACTTGTACAAGCTGTTCAGCGCAACACGACTTCTTTGTCATTCAGCCCAGCTATGATACCGGCGTTTCGTCGAATGATGGGATTCGATGAGGCCGGTATCGAGCTCATCTTTCGGGATGCTCATACTGAGAATGGCATGTATGGTGAGATTCATAGAGTTCAAAAGGCTTCTTTGCTCCCGGGTACAGAATCTCTTGATGAACTATGCACGCTCATTCGTACCAAACTACTCAACATCATCAATGAGCTTCCTTCAAGTCAGACAATCGATCTTTATGCTTGGGTCCAGGATCTATTCATGAGAACAAACAACTCTGCTTGTTTTGGCGAGAAGGATCCATTCACTATTGACCCATCGCTGAATTCAACATTCTGGTAAGCTTCTCTCGGGCCAAGGCAAGATGAGATGTACTGACATCGGCAGGGACTGGGAGGCCAATATCAAGGTGCTTCTCCTCGGAGTCCCTTGGTTTCTGAGCCCCAAGAAGCACTCCACAGCGCAGAGAACTCGCAAAGAGCTCGTCGATGCATTCTTGAAGTACCTCAATGACGACGGTCTGGATACTGCTTGCTCGTTCATTAAGGAGCTTTCCGGCTTAGGCATCCGACGAGGTTTGAGTAATGAGAACAATGCCCGCGCTCTACTTGGCAGCATCCTTGCCATTGTTGGAAACACCATTCCCACGACTTTTTGGCTGTTGATATCGATCTTCTCCAGACCTGATCTTTTGAAGGAGATTCGATCCGAGCTTGAAGCCACTATTGAAGATCCTGCATTTGAGATTGTATCTCTCGACTACACCACCATTCGTGAGAAGTGCCCAGTCTTCATGTCAACATATGACGAAGTACTTCGAATGACGAGTGGCATTGCGACAGTGCGGTACACCAACGAAGACACCCTTATTCAAGATCGTTGGCTCCTGAAGAAAGGAGCTCAGGTTCAGATGCCAACAGCATTCATCCACGCCGATCCAACAACCTGGGGTGCAGACGCGGATGTCTTTGACCACACAAGATTCTTAAAGTCCAAGGTCCTCACCAAGGAGCAGAAGACTCGAAGGGCTGCCGCGTTCAGACCGTTTGGTGGTGGCAATACCCTCTGCCCTGGTCGTCACTTTGCATCTTATGAAGTCCTAACCTTTGCGGGAAGCGTTCTGCTTGGCTTTGATATGGCTCCAACGACGAAGACATTCAATGTTCCTCAGATGGACAGATCGAAGCTTCCTCTGACATCTCTCAAGCCGGCTGGGGATATCAGTGTAAACATGTCGAGGAGACCTGGTTGGGAAAAGGTGCAGTTTAGATAGGAAACAATGGGATGGCAATTTCCACCGCTGAGGATCAACGGGAAGTCCTTGGCAGGAAAATCTCGTTACGCCGTCTCCATCTTGGACTTTTTGTTTTGTGTGACCAGATTATGGTTTGTTGAGGATCGCTTGCTTCTAAGATACTTCCATTGATGTAGGCTAATCGCTGTACGGCGGCGGTTCGTCCTGAGGGTCGGTGGTAAAGCCAAAGCTCTGTAGGGTGTCTTCAGCGGTATGTAAGTCCGAAGTCTGTTCATCAATTGAATGCTCTGACATGCTTGAATTCCTTGATCTATCGCGAACGACTTCCCAATGTTGAGGCTTGCTGGGACCCTGAATCGGCTGACTCCATGCTTCCTCAAGTCTTATATTTTTATGTCGAACGTCGTCCTCATTTCCTCCATGTACCTCCCTTATATAGAGAGACGTCTCTGTAAGAAGTGTTGCGTTAATAGGCCTATTCGTCGGTGGCGTCTTATCCCATGAGAGGCATTCTTCATAAATATCTGCGTCTGGGCAACCACAGGTTGCTGTCCTGTTATTCGTAGGCGATGGCTCATGAGCCATACTATCAACGAGGAGATCACTTCTGTGAGTAATTCGGCAATCGATTATTGCGATAGGAATCTCTTCAATCGTCTCCAGGATCCGTGATTCTGATTGATCTGAATCAAGACGTGATCCGCCCACGGTGACCTGAAAGGTTAATTAGTCTTTCGAAAAGAGGGAGCTGATATCAGTTCTAACAACTGATGTGATAGCGGTGAATAGTAAAGGTTATCTTTAAGCCCTCTTTCATAATCATGGGAAAGAAACTTACTTGGATGAAATGATTCAACTCGATAAATGGAGTCGAACAAGTTAGCTCCAGAGGTTCTTGACCTACCAGCCATCCGGCTTTCATCTGCTTACAGGTTGGCAACATGAGATCATCAGAGATAGAAACAGGCTCATCAGGATCCAAGTTTGGCAGATAACCTTTTATGAACAATGTCTTGCAAGACTCGTCACTTTCACATGAGAAGGCTGCTTCCTCCTCATACTGTGCACTGGAGTCATCGTCTCCTACACGGGTGGACTCTTCAAGTATGAATCTTTCCAAAAGCACAAGCTTCTGCTCATCTGTATTTTGCGTTGCCCGATCTTGCGTCCACCGTTTGCCTCTTTGTACGATGGTGTAGGTTAAGTACTCAGCTCGAAGGTCATTGTTAACAGGCCCGAGAGTGACTGTGATGGGGATCCTGCCGCCAATTGGAGATATCTTATAGGGCAAGTCGACACAGAAAGAAATGCCCTCGTTCTGTTGTCTGAGCGATTGATTGGTGGCAGTTCTTGTCGCTCTCAGCTGACGTGGAATTTGAATAACAGGTAGTTCCTTCATTAATGGAATATGAGGGTTGGAATCAGGGAACTCCATGACAACAGATACAGTCCAATTTGTATCTTCATGGAAAAGTTTCTTGGCGTGGTGGAGAGTACAGTCAACAGTTGATTCGAAAGGGTAGCTGTAAGAACCAGGTGGGAATGGAATATAATCTGGTTTAGCGACACCGTCACTCTCAGGCTGTCTCGTATTTTCTTGGGAGTTCTCGTTGTCCAATCTAAAGGTGCAGTTGTCTCCAAATCTTCCATCAGAAGTGATATTGGAGTCGCAGAGTTTCAGCCTCCACGTTGTGAAATCAGCGCCATCTCCAAATAGTTGTTTTCCTTTTCTCTGACCTTCCACATTCCATGCACTCATTCCAGATACGTCGATTTCAATGTGTATGGACTTGATATCAATGTTTTCGTATGCCATGATGTTCATGCTGCCCCGAATCGTGATTGGAAAAGCATCCGGAAACCCTGACAGGTCATTTCCATCGTCTTGCAAGCTAAAGACGAGAATAGGGTGGCTAAAGCGAAGTTCCCAAGCCAGGTTTGGCAAAGTCGTCGCTGTCGTAGAACCAGAAGAGCTGGCAAGGGAGTCAAGTCCACCTCTTGCAGAAATCTTTTCTATCATTTGACGATAAAGTTCCTCGTTCTCAAATTCCATTGAAGACTGCGTGTCAGAATTCACTGCAGGCGCAAGTTTCGGCCCCGTGCAAGCAACTAAAGCCCTTTTGCGATTTTCCAGCTCGGTCAACATATGATCTCTCACGGCCTTGAGTCGTGACACAAGACTGACTGTCTGATCATTCATGTGGCCGTTTAAGCGCTCTGAGATAGTAGAAGCTGACAATAAAGCCTCTTCAGCCATTTCAAACTCCCTCGTGTTCTCACACGATTTTGCCAAGCCACAAAGAAGCTGCAGAAGTATTTTGTCATCTGGGTCACTTAGGCTCGAGGACCGAATATAGTCGATCGCCGAGGTAAAGAGTGTCCTGGCAATTTCAGACTTTCCCATTGCAAGGTAAACATCCCCACCACATAGACATATCGTAAAGTATGCTTCAGCGAATTTCCCGTGTATGTCGATATGGTGTGCGTTGATGTGGTTCCAGAGTAGATTTAGACATCGATTGAACAAATTGAAGAACCTGAAGGCGTCGAATTTGTCATGCAGTGATAGAATATGTTTTGAGAGGCTGTAGGTTGCTTGAATGATCCAGACGTCTCGGTCTTCCATGGTGGCAAGTCTCCACTGGCATATCGAAGCATGAAGGGAGAATGATAACAGAGTATGATCGCTTGCTTGTTTCTTAGTGGCTAGGAAGACTTTGTTTAGCTCATCGATAGACATGTTGAGTTTGATCTTGCTCTGGGCCAGAGTCTGTAGCTGCTTCCATGGGCCCTGGTTTTCAGTATCCTCCACATCTATTAATTCCAGGTTGTATACAAGTGAGATGGGAATCGCGAAAGGTCCACATATTGAACAAAATGTTATCAGAAGAGCTGAATCTGTGCTCTTTATCAAGATTGATGCATAAAGTGAATCAAGCATGCTAAAAAGAGAGCCGATTGCGCCGTTTCTGGTCCAAATCCAGACTCCAGAGTCAATCTCAAACTGGGCAAGCTCTGGATAGTCATTGGTGAAAGTTTCGGCAAATTCATCAAGGGCTGTAATCCCGCGATGGTGGAGAACTCCCGCCAGCTCCAGAGCCAGAGGGAATCCACCCAGAAGCTTGGCCGCATGCCAGGCTGCATTGCTGACTTTGAAAAGTTAGTGGTATCCGAGAGTAGAGGAAATTGGAAGTCTTGCCATCTTCTTCATATTCTGTATCGTTCTCGTAAGCTCTCCACAAAAGAAGTGACTGAGACGCCGGGCGTCAAGATGCTCAATAAGGATGTGTTTGAGCCGCAGAGCTCTTGCTGTAACTTGATTTGTCGAAATAACGCATAAAGAACCATGATTAATGTCCTGAAATGGCCCCAATAGGCGTTTGTTCGGGATAGGTCCATTAGCGTTATCAATCACAGTCAGCCAGTTCTTCTCGGGCGTTGTCCGAAGCCATTCTAGAACAAGCTGGCGTGGCGAAGTGCTCTCTCTCCTCGCTCGAAATTCAGGGTTGTTTTCGTGAATACGGCTTGAGCAGCTTGAAAAGGACTCCTCTATGCTCTCTTCTGAGGATGCATCGATCCATAAGATCGCGGAGAAACTTCCACTTCGCTGTGCCACATACTCGCGAGCCAGTTGTGTCTTACCAGACCCAGATATCCCGCACAGAACCACGCCTCTCCGTTGAGTTGTGGCCTCGAGACATTTGACCATCTCCAAAAGTTCTGTTTCTCGTCCAAAGAAACGGTCTGTAGTTGGTGGAAGGTCACATAAGATGGTGCCACAAAGGGCATGTTTTGCCCCATTCATCATGCTGGAGCTTGGCATCACTTTACCCAGGCCTAATTCATAGATCACAGCTTTTGCGTACGCTGCGGCCATGGCAGCAGCATATGGCTGCCACTCTTTATTTTTGTGCTGGTCGGCATAGTCGCAAACGCCTCTGATCACGCCAACAGGTATGCGATTCATCGTCCCTGCAGCTTCCATCTCTAAGCCGATCACTCCATAGCGATCTCTTATCTCATTGCGCTTGAGGGTACTTTTCGTCAACTTCTCTCCAGATCCGATAGAACCATACCATACGCGAGTTCGCCTGTCGGTAGGCCGTTGCATCCTCTGGGCGGGGCTATCAACACCATCATCACTGATGTCGTAGAAGATATCCTTTTCCTGGCCAGGATCTGCGAATGTCCCTCTTGAGTGTTCCTTGTCTTTGATTCTCTCGTAAAAGGGGAGGAAGACATCAGTGTCACCTGGTGCCCTGATCTTGATGTTGCCAATAGCTGATCTGACGACTGTCTCTGTATTTGCCAAGACCTGGCCAAACCTCAAAAGCTGAAACCCCTCAGAAGTCTCTTTCCCCAAGTCATACGCGACTAAGCCTGCACTATCTCCTTCGGATAATCCAACGAGCACATTTCCAAGCCGTATATCGATTGGCGGTATCTTTCGTAGATTCGGAAGACCTGCCGCGACTCCAACAAGGAGGCCGAACCAGAGATTGGTGAAGAACTTTTTGATTTGGCTAGCAAGGGCAGCGGCTGAGCCGGTTCCATATTCTTGGCCGGGAGGCAAGGTTGCGATGACTATGTTATGACCGTTGATATCACCCGCGAGGAAGACATAGTCATCGCCTCGACTGATGGGGAATTTTCCATCGTGGCGATTATCAAGCATATGACAAGCTGCCTGAGCCTCGATTTCCAAAGGTGCAATCCATGCTATTGTGTATAGTGTAGCTTCAAGTTCTCTCATTCTGTGTCAGGCTTATCAATCTTATTGATAAAGGTTGATGATGAACATGGATGTTGTGGACATGAGGCTAGCAAGCTTGAAAAGGAGCGAGGTGAACGGCGCATGTTCCCCGCGTTCATGCTGCGTCCTGGCACGCAGCCTTGTCTGGATTTGTCAATTCGTGGCTTTGCACACAACCAATGAGATTTTCGTCTCATGCGGCTGAATAAGATGTAAGATTCAAGTCGGTTGAGAGCTGAGGTCAAGCCAAGGCAGTTTGGAAGGTGTGGGCACGTGATTCTCTTGCCGAGAAATACAGATCCTCAACCCCAGAAGCGGAAAATGTGTCGGCGCTGGAACTCGTCGCAAGGGCAAGCTTTTAACTTAAGCATACCGAAGAGTATGCGCTTTCGAGCTCTCATATATGCTAGCTCAGCATATATCAATGTATTTCTGTATTGGGTTTGAGTAACAATCAGAAGACAGACCCTGGCAAAAGTGACCAGAGGGATGAAACCAGTACGAAGTACAATGCGGCCAGGGGCAGATTCAGCTGCATCGTCAATTGGATGGCCAGGCACCGGACCGATTAAGTCCGAATAGAAGACAAGAGCCAACAGGGAGGGGAAATCGACAGCCTTGCCATCTCAACTAAACCACTGGCATTCCAGAGCTCGTTATCGAAATGGGCTCTAGCCACTATTATTGCCTTCGTGAGCCAGCGCATGAAATACGGCTGCTCGATCTTCTCCCGGCAACTGCTTCAGGGGACCTGAATGGCCGTGTACGACGATTTAGCATAGGCAGTGCGCCTGCATTTGTTTCTGTTTCGCACGTCTGGGGAGACAAGAAAGCAGACCGGGCTATGTCCCTTGAGTCAGGCTGTGGAGTCAAGAACCTACAGATTTCTCTCAATCTGGAATCATTTCTCGTCAACATGCTCTGCCATACACCTGAAACCCTGCCGCAAATCTGGGAAGTCAATGAGAGGCTGCCGATGTGGATTGACATGATCTGCATTGATCAGCTGGACAATAATGAGAAGGCGTTGCAAATTCCGCTGATGCGAGATATCTACTCAAAAGCGAGGTCCGTGGTCGTGTGGATTCACGAATACGACAGCTATTTGCGATATGCATTTCAGTATTTGCGTCGACTCAGTACACACGGCCCGCAAGATGGGATCTCATTCGATCCTATGGGATGGGATGCGATTCGACGCCTGCTTGGTTGTGAGTGGTTTCATCGACGATGGGTGATTCAAGAATCTGTGCTCCCAAAGACCGCCATCTTTCTTTGCGGGTCGGACTCAATTTCCATGGATGATGTGTTCCGCGGCTTTGACATGGCTGTTAATTCGTTACTTGCACGGCCAAGACCGATGAAAAAGCTCAAGCGTGGCAACACGGGCGAAGTACGGCCTGTGAGGGTGTTGAGAGAGCTCAGGCAAGCATTAGAAACAGATCAAAATCAGTTTGGTCTTTTCTGGCTGATGGAGCATCTCCGTTTCACCCGAGCAACTTTTGCTCACGATCAGATCTATTCGTTACTGGGTGTTTGCAACCGTCAGGAGGCTGCTGCAACTTCAGTTCGATATGACCTCGAGCCCGAGGAGGTCTACAAGCGTTCAGCTATATTACATGCAAATATACATGGTAACTTGGACTTTCTTGGCCTCTGTGCCCCTGAGCAACGCGACACCCTCTGCTCTGGATCACCCGGGGCCCCAGTTTTGCGCACTTTCGCAGGCCCTTCTTGGGTGCCCAACTGGCACTCACCGAAGTTGAGGCGTTGCTTGGGTCTCAGCCATATCGACCACGAGGAGAGCTTTTTTAATGCCTCTGAAGCAGTTCCTTTCAGCCCTTCCTTCGAGGGAGAGCAGCTGACAGTCTCCGGAGCCATGATTGATAAGATCAGCTCAATCGCTGATTTTTGTCCTCGTGATAGAGCCCTCGAGTTCTCGGATACCAACTCAGACCTGTATCAGCAGTATCTGGATTTCTGGATGACCCCAGTGGATGAGCCCGAACCTTATTCAGATGCCGTCAATCGGGCTGAAAGCTTTATACGAACTTTGAGTCTAGTTGGGATTTACTTGGAGCCCGTACCCTCGCCTGATGATATTCCAACAATTTTCTACAACTGGTGCAGTGGCTCAGCATTGTGTAAGCGGCTAGAAGCGTACGGGTTCAAGCCCAAAAGCAGTGGCACGGGACCCGAACACAAGGCATTTATCAGAATGAAGCGTCTGGTATCCTGGGATCCATTCATCACTTTCAAGGGTTACATGGGCCTTGGTCGGGAGGGTGCTGCGATTGGTGATGAAATTTGGCTCATTGGGGGTTGCAGTACCCCGGTTTTGCTGTCCCCTAGCACGGGTGGCCCGCTCCGATACGAGGTGAAAGGGGAGGTTTTCCTTGATGGGTTCATGTTCAAGGGGCAATTCGCGGAATCAATCCACCAGGACTCGAAAATTGAGCAAATCGTTCTTGTATAGCGGATGATGGATAGCTACCTGGGTGAAACTAAGTTTTGGGCGTACTTTTGAGTCACTCGTCAAGGTCTGAAGATTGAAGAGATAGCTTGTTAGCTGATTCAATTCAGGAACATCCCGATGCAATGGTGTATTTCTAGGAACGAGCTGAGATGGTTGCATAGACTGGGCATCTAGTCCTTCTGTACAAACCAATGGGATATATTTGAAGCTGGGATTAGCCAACTGGGAGCTAGACTAATTCCACGACCCGAAGATACATGATTTAGTAAGGGACGAAGGTAGAGTACCAAGAAAAACTTGCGAGCTTCGTCGCAATCGTTGTAAATCACGTAGACCTGCTCCGGTTCCAATAAGAAGGCCAACCAGATGTTTTGTCAAGAGCCTTTCGGTCTGGCCAGCAAGAGCGGCGGCTGAACTTGTTCCATTATTTGCAGTTCAGAACTGTGGCTGAGAGCTTATATCACCATAGAAAACTTAGCTTGTCCTCCTGGACTGGTAACAACTCACGACCCTCCAATTTTTTGATTTTATTTCTCAGACTGCCTTAAGATCTCCCGTCTGATATTCATTCTCTAGCAATTACTTGGCTTGCTTGTCCATCGAGAGGATGGGTTTCCTGCAGTGCGTTAAAATATATTTCTATCAGCCAGTAGTGTATTGTTGAAGTGAAGACTATACGAGCATAGTTACAGTTTCTAAACGGTCTCTAGTGCGGAAGTCAAACTCACAATATCCTTGGATTTAGTGCCGGATGTTACAGAAATACGACCATGCAGTTGATCCAATTTTGAGGCATATATATCAAGATCTCGTTCTTTAGACTATGACAACAAACAAAACGCTCGAGATCCTTTTCTCACTAGCTTCACACGGATTCTCGGCATCTAGCTTGACTAATTGTTTCATAATGCATGCGTAATCAATTATTCAGGAGTGACATTCAACTTATCACCGACATCGCCGCAGTCAGCGCGCCGCAATAAGCCCCGCTTTTGCCGCATAACCTTTCCTCAAACTATAAAGCTTATGCCTCATCTCGTCAACCACGTATCAGTACCTCGATAACTCATTCGGATCTCTTTAATCAACAATATGGCTGAACAACGACCCCCTTTCCCTCCCTACAACCGAGAGACTGCTCACGCAAAAGTCAAAGCGGCTCAAGATGGATGGAACACCCAGTAAGATCCCCCCAACTCGTAAGCAGGCTTTCTGACTCACACATTTCGTTCCAGAGATCCATCAAAGGTCAAGATGGCTTACACACCTGACTCAATCTGGCGCAATCGAGATACTTTCGTCAAGGGTCGTGACCAAATTGAGAAATTTTTGACGGATAAGTGGAATCGAGAACACGACTATAAATTGCGCAAGGAGCTCTTTGCTTTCGATAACGATAAGGTGAGTCAATTTATCGAGATGCTATTCAGTCATCACAGCTGTCTTTGATTCTTCACGTATGATCTTATTCTGACGCTCGTAGATCGCTGTGCAGTTTTGGTATGAGTTTCGCGATGATGACGATCAGTGGTGGCGATGCTACGGACTTGAAGATTGGACCTTTGATGAGAATGGTTTGATGAAGAAGAGGCAAATGAGCGGAAACAATGTCAAGATCAGTGAGGAGGATCGCTGGTTCAAGGACGGTGTTGACGTCAACACCGTCGAAATTGGACCAGAGCACTGGTAATGGCTCTTCTGATTCTGGGCGCAGGTTCTGCAGTTCTCACCAGCTGAGGGACAAAGTATAATAAAATCTCCAATCCATTTCTTCCTCGCTTAGTGTCAATAATGAATATAGTCTGGATTTCGTTTCTTACATAACATGCGTCACCGGTATGAAAGAGTCACGTTTACTGTAGCTTGAGAAGGCATTCATTCACAGGTAGTCCTTGATATTATATCAAATCAGTTGATGTCCAATTACTAGTAAGGAATCCGTTTTGGTCAGGGAGGGGCTTGTTTCGGTGATTATGATAAGGGGCCGACGGATGAAACGTAGGATCGACCAAGGTCTTGCATAGACGATCTTGAAACACAGCTAAGGGCAGGGGCATCATTCGATATTTATTCTTCATACATATATCATCCGACTGCCTCCTTCATTATTTTTCCGGCAACCCCAGCACCGCCAACAAAAATACACATTTCAGGACAGCAACAATGAAAAAACCAACATCAGTCCAGCTGGTCCTTTTCATGGCCTCGGTAGCCACCGCGGCCGACTCTACATGTGCCGTATGAAACCCATCATCTGGTATTTATCTGATACTGACAGCGCGATAGATTGACTGCTTCCAAGGCCTCATCACTAACGGTCCTCCCGCGGGGTGTAAAGAGGCAACGAACTATCTCTGCTTCTGCACAATGCCTACGCTGCAAGGCAACTTTGTCCAATGCGCCGACAAGACTTGCGCCGATGGCAAGGACGGGGCTATGGCTTGGGCAAATGAGCTTTGCGGAAGTACGTATAATGGCTCGCTGATGAAGACCATGCTGACAATGTTCAGAACTTGGGAAGCCTATCGACCTCGGGGGCTCGGGGGGTTCCCCCAAGACTGATGAGACTACTGTTGTTAATGTTCCGACTACCAGCGCTGGTGGCGAGGTGAAGCCAACCACTGAGGCTGAAAAGACGACAGATGAGGTGCCGACTACCACTACAGAGGCCAAGACAGAATCTAAAGTTGAGGAGCCTTCAAGTGACAAGACCTCTGAGGTCACTTCTGAGTCATCAGCTGGTGAAACAACCGCAAGCTCGGTCAAGACCACAGTCAGCAAGCCGAAAGAAACGAACGACGCATCGGGCAGTGCAGCTGAAGCGACGGCTGATCAGACTAGCGATGACTCTGTTGTCACGATTACTGGAACTGCCGATACCGCTACTGCAACTCCGTCTCCGACCGACGGTTCCAACGTCGCCAATTCTGCAGGCCCTAACTTCTACGCTGCTGTCGGTGTTGCTGCCGCGTTTTGGCAATTGCTGTAAAAGTGCACGGCTTGATACAATTTCTTAGCGTTTGGAACATATTTTCGGCTGGTACATAGATGAATGGAAAGCCATTGGCTTATTTGCGTTGATCGCAATCATACCCCGAAGCAATTAATCTGGAGCCGCGTTCATGAAACATCCCGTGTTTTGGCGTTGAAAAGGATTTACGATCATTGGTCAATTCTTCCAATAAATCATCCAATATCGTTTCGCAAAACGCCATCAAAACAGAAGGATTCCCAGCTGAAGAAACAATTGGTAGAGCTTGGACATTTTGGTTTAAATTACATGTTTGACACCAATGTTTTGAAACGCATTACGGGGCGAATGTCATGCACGGCGATCAACCGTTTTTACAGCTGATGGTGTTTCAGCTTGTGATTCCCCAAATTGAATACGTGAGAATATCTTGAGGCCATGGAATTGTAATAGTAACGTTTCCCCGAGGTGCAGGTGAATCTTGGCTTAATTGGCTGCTCAATCAGTCAAGAGCTTACACAGCAGACAAGTCATGCATAGAGTTGTCACTGATGCTTATCCCTTGGGCAATTCGTTATATTCATCAGGAAGCCTCCCACCATAGGCAAATATGAATCCCATAAACCACATCATAATCGTGAACCTCAAAGCTGTTCCCTACAGGCAAATTCCAGAGCAATCAGCCCCTCCTTTCTTAGGATCGCACTTATCCGACGGATCATCATAGCAGTACAGACCCTTAGGACACTGCTTTCCCGTGAAACCTCCGCATGTGTGCGGGTACTTCGGCGCACAGATGCCAGGCTTATCACAAGCCATGCCGCAGTCCCCAGGAGTTCGAGGGTCATCAACACAGTGAGTCCCCTTCTTGCAAGGCGGAGGAGGCTTGGCGCGAAAGCCTCCACAGGTTTGATATTTATTCTTGAAGTCGCACATGCCTGAGCATTTGTTGAGATCTTTGCAGTTGGCAAGAATTGGCTTGCAGGTGGTGTCTTCGGGACAAGGTGCAATCTTGCGACCGCATTCTCGGCCGGAGGATTGAGAGGCGGCGGCGAGGCCGATGGAAGCGGCAATGAGGATATTCTGAAACAACATTGTGAAGTAATGGGAAGAATCAAATTGAGGATTAATCAATATTCTTGCGGGGAAGTCGGCAGTTATAAGTTTCTAAATAAGCTTAATCAATTCGAATCAGTCTAGCATAAGACGGATCAGTTCATTCACCCGCTTCACTAGACCGTGATTACAGTACCACGAAGAAATGAACGCCACCTCGTATAACCACTTCAATAGTACAAGCCATGACGCAGTACCATCATCACTGCACTTAAGAAAGCCTCAGCTGAAAAGGCATGCCCAGTGGTAATCCATGCCGAAGAGATGATTTGCCAATTTTAGATACGCGGTTTCAGGGCAAGACGCCTCATTTTGGGCCGCTTTGCGCTATGATCAGCAAGGACCATTCCAGACCAGCCCATTCCTACCTTGAGCTTTACGTTTTATGTAGAAGAAAATACAGCTACGTAATAGATTCTCCGAGTTAAGAAGTTGATTGAATGAAGACAAAGGATCAGTGCAAGAATCAGCAGATGGCTCTTCAGGAATGATACCATCTTGACGCATCAAGTCAGCTTATGGGCTTACCCAAAGAGCCTTTGCTGCAGTCAATGGTTCCAGGACTTGGACATGGCTGTTTCTACCGCAATGAAGGTCCTGAGGGTTCAGGGACGAAAGTGGTAATTCGATGTTGCCTGAGATCTCCGTAACATGAGCGAAACAACACATGCCTAGAAACTGCCCAAAGATCGCCCAAGGGGCCATAAACACGTTCGGCTTTTCATTTTAGTGACTTATTACATGGACAGGGCTGTCTCACTTCAAGTGCCTCCTGCTATCATAAGTCTGCTAGTGAGCTTCGAAGTATCCTGACTTGATTGGTGAGAGCTCCAGGGAAAGACGATAACAGAAGGAGATTCATACATATTGACCACCTCTCAATACAATAAATAAGAGGCTGGTATTTGAATGTTGCGAGAAACCCTCTGTGTTGAGTACCCGTGCTTGTTGCCTGAAGTATATGAGAGAAATAAAGTTTTGTGAGCGTGCTGGCTCGCTGTATCTCGCTGGGATACGACAAGCTTTGTCAGATACACCAAGATATAGAATACCAGCCAGTAGGAACAGCCTTAGTGCCATTAGACTCGTCGTCTCCGAAGGCGTCCCACATTTTCCAACTAATATCTCTCGGTTCCAGATACTTTTTAGCGCGTTCATTGGCCAGTCTGCGCATTTGCTTTCCTCACCCGTTCATTCCGAGCACCTCCGTTATGATGGATGCCTGCTGATGGGTTGTCTCCAGTCTGAAATGCATCTTGGAGGTCGTTGAGATCACGGGGGCTTTTTTTTCGACGAGTTTTCAGTAGCCCAGTTTAGTTCGGCATTCGCAAACATCGCTCGCCTTGTCACTCAGATGCACATTAGGGACATAGGCAGCGTAAAAGTGTTCACAAAAGGCCAAAGGTCGAGGGGCCTTCTTTTGCTGAATTTCGATGACTTTACCCGTAGGGTTTCTTTGAGAAGATCGTCTGACGCGTCGAGGGAGGAGAGGATCGGCACGCCGCACCAGCAACAGTGTTCGAGTCAGGGGTAATTGCTCGACTTTGATGTTGAACCACTCCCGAGTGTTTTGGTCATTCGCAAGTCTCCAAGCTGTCTCGCCCGCCCGATTTTCGAGCGATAGCACTAGATCCAACCCTCTTCCACTTCAACAATTTGACGAAGTACTTCTGCGCTGTGATTCGTTGCTCCTTTCCTCATAAGCATTGCAGTATCGATGACGAGTTCGTTGAAGCTTGGTGTCCCGTTGGGTTATTGCAAAGGTTTTCTTGGAATCTTACGAGCGTATCGTCGAGTTTGGGCAGCGGATTTCCAGGTAGAGGTGTGCATCTGGCTTGCTGTCGCATTTGGGGTAGTCTTCACAGACTCGGACATCTTGACGAGCGGCGTTTGTTTCGTGGTGGTGGCGATAATGTGCTTTTTACCAGATGTCGCATTCTCGCGTGGTTAAGTTTGCTGAGAAGAGCTTGGAATCGACCATCGCCGGGATTCCAGAGAGTGACAGTAGCTTTGGTCCCCCCGGCTCCTTCCCAGGCACCCTTCGCGTCCTCGTTGTCGATACCAGACCATCCACCCAGCCAACGCCCCTGTTCTCTAAAGATATCTACGAGATAAATCTCAAGAAACATATAAATATGCTCGGTCTATTGATCTCTTCCCATTCGTGCAAAGCCGTAATTATATGAATGCAGGAGATGGTGTCTCTTTCGTGGTCGATCTTAGTTCAGAGTAGTGACTGAGGGTTGGGCATATTGAGCAGCATTTGAGATGTATTCGCGAAGATCCAACATGAGTATTGTCTCTTTGGCATCGACCCTGTTAAGTGCTTCCCTCTGTACCATCTCTGCAATGTGGTCTTGTAAGCTTGCCGACAGTATATCCCATCCCGTGTCTGTCCACACAGCGATCCAACAGGCGGCTGTCTCTCCACTGACATCTATGATAAGGTGCAATAGCTTTATAATGTCTGGTATCTAAGGCATTAATGTCTGCCGACGGTTCACCATGCGCGCTGTGGCCCAATGGGCCACGGCAACCATCCAGAACATATTTTTTGTCTTTTTTTCCAGTTGCTCTCAGGTTCGAGCGCGATATGTCATGACATTCTCCAGCATCATACATACTCAGATTTCTTTTTGACACGCGGTAGCCATGGTAAAACAGGAGTCTGTTGATGGCGGTGGCTACTGTATGTAGAAGTTGAGGTCTATGTATGGTGGTGGCACTTGCAATAGCCATATAAGGGCTCAGAACTTCAATTCGAATGTCTGCTGACGGTTCATCATGCGTTCCGTGGCCGAGGGGGTCACGGATAACATGTTATTTCTTTTTATCCTCTTTTGCAATTATGCTCAGGTTCTGAAGCTGTACTCCATGGCATTCCCTGGCGTTTCGGTGACTTGAAATTCTTTGTTACATGTTATAGTTCTGGTTAAACCGTAAGGTCTTTGTCTGGCGACGCTTCACCATGCACTGCTGTGGCCTAGCGGTCACAGCGCATGATTTTTTCCTTCTTCTTTTTTTACTTTTCTGTCTTCCACTTTCAAATGAGGTCTATCCCCAACCCCTCCATTCGAACCCCGATCGCATCTCTCTATTCCATTCTTTCTTCGAGCCCTGACTTGCTGAACACGCATTTCTGCCTGACACTTGAAGGGGCAGTGATGGTCTTGTAATAACCTAGGTACCTTCGAGTAGTAACAGGTGATCGTTTGGCTCAGACAAACAATTAATGCTTTTTGCTGGAAGCCCGGTACTCCTCATACTTCACTGCCTTCACCAAGCATGCCACTTCAGTGGAGACATGAAGTCGGAGTAGTGCCCGCTAGAGCCGTCTTCCGCCCGCGCTTGGCGATCCCACGACGTGAGTCACGTGAAACCCGGAGATATCCAGCGCACCATTTTTCTTCGACCACAGCTGAACTCACTCCCCTTTTATTTTCTCACCTTGTCATCTGGCAAAACTCGCGCAGCGTTTTATTGCGCGTAATGAACAGCACTGTGTTGCTGGTCTTGTAAGCCACATGTGGCCGATCAACCGCGCCCCTCTCGTCCGTTCCCCTGTTGTTGCTCCTTCTCCCAGCTCTCAACGCAGGAAGGAGCAGATACCACAACAGAAAAAAGCGCGCCCCAACACCTTCCCCAGCATGAGATCTTCCATACCTTTGTAAACCAAAAACACAGACATTGTTTTCAACAATTACCGGAGCGGTGGCTGGGTGGTTAAAGCCTGGTGAAGCGCGCCAGACGTGAATCCAAAGTCCGCCGGTTCGACTCCGGTCCGCTCTGTCTGGGTGGGAGTTGCAGACCAGGTAATTGTCCCCTGGGCCCACTCGGGGGTAAACCCCGTTCGCTCAGCGTTCGGGGGGGATTAGTAGGCATGCCCAGTACTTTGCGAACCTTTTTTGGCTGTATATGGCTTCAGAAAGGGGCACAGCCGCAAGCACAGGCTCCCCTTTTTTTGCTCTTGTGCAATTTAAAAAGGTGATTTCAAATGGCTTGAGGTATGGTCAATCTGATTTTGGAACCCCTGATTGCAAAGTTGCGTTGTCGTGGCTCTGATCTTCGAGTCGGTCCCTGATACCCCTTAACCTGGGCGCGGTGGTTGATGAGACAAACCAGATGCTAAGGAGAACACATGCATCACCAATGCTTCGAAAATTCGAAAATTCGTTCCAAATGCTTCTCGGATAGTCAATCTCAATCGTAGAAGCGTCGAGTAAAGCATGAACCCATCGTACATGGAGTTACGACTGCAACAAGTTTCACCCCTTGGAACTACAGCTTGCCAGCTTGGAACCCAGCATTCTGTCAGTTAATGGCATACATACTGCCACTTTAGGTTGTAAGGAATGCCCCTGGCCTCATATTAACAGAATTAGGTTTTCATTTGTTACTGGAGCAGCTTGCATTTTCTTGATTCAGCCTGTTTGATACCATCGTCCAATGAAGCCCATGAAGCCCATGAATTCTCAGCGGTACAACCCATGAATGGAGAACAAGTGCACGTTACTATTTACCTGGCTACCAGGAGAGCCGTGATTGCAACCTGGCCGATGAACGAGACATTTCATCACAAACGATGTTCACTTTGCAAGATCACAAGACACAGAACAGACTCACGAAAATCATTGTCAGTTGAGCACAAGGAAGACCCCATTACCAGCGCCACTGTTCGCATTAGACAGATAAATAACATTAATCCACTATGACGTTTCTCTAGTCGTAGCAATAATGGCGCCAAACTAAGGGTACATAATTTTGTTCTCTCAATTAAAGCTGTAAGATAACAGAATCTATCTAGGAACGTAGAGATTAACGTATCAATCAATACGATTGAAGAATGCGAGATAGCCAGTCTTTAAGAAAGAGTCAGTCACATACTAGACTACACTAAAACAACTTATACTTGACTATTGAATGACCGCGTCTATACTAAGCGCAACCCCAACCTCCTCATCATCATCCCCACCTTCAACCGCGCCAAAGCCAATCCCTCGTAAACAAATACGTCCAGGCCTATCAAAACGAATGCGAATCCGGCCATCCGGGTCAATAGTTCCATTTCTGCACATCAATGACGTCTGTGGTAGCAGTCAGCACTAGGTAGTCCATTCGCCTCCCGTCCACGGAACACACGGCTCCAATTAACTTTCGGGAGTCAGCACGATGCAGCCTCATTGAGGGGGACATATAACAACTCACCATGACCTCTTCTTCTCGGACCAAATCGTTTTTTCTCAATTGCTTATGATGGCGTTTTTAAAGTCTCTTGTCCTTTTTGTACTGCTACAGTTTGTTAACGCTGCGGCGACGAAATCTTCAGCCCCGAAGATAAGCTGGGGAGAATGTCCTTCTTTGATTCCACCCGGTGTTGATTGTGGAAAGATCAATGTCCCTCTTGCGTATCAGAGCGGGAATTCTACGTCTGCCAAGGGAGACGATACAGTTGAGCTGGTTTTCACGCGCTTGAACCATACAGGCAAAGGCGAGAAACATGGTGTTTTATTCTTCAATACCGGTGGACCTGGTGCATCTGGAGCTATCACTGTCGCTGGATCACCATACGTCTCGGCGATTTCTTTCTCAGATGAACTTCGAAATGCATACGATATCATCGGCCTTGACCCCCGTGGTGTTGGTGTAAGCAGTCCTGTGCAATGCGATCCCAAGGTCTTCAACAAGAGAGTCAAGACTTTTGTTACTACCGATGAAGAGTACGATGCGTTGTTCAACTACAGTCGAAGCGTGGGTGAGAGCTGTGCCAAACTCACCGGTCCTCTGATCAACCATCTCGATTCCGTCCATGTTGCGAAGGACCATGAAGTCGTGCGCAAAGCTCTTGGTGTTGAGAAATTCAACTACCTTGGTCTCTCATACGGTACACTACTCGGAGCCACATATGCATCTCTATTTCCCAAATCCGTGGGCCGTATGGCCCTCGATGCAAACGTGGATCACTCCCAGTCCGAGATAGCAACCCTCCTCGCAGAAGCAACCGCCTACGAGACTGTCCTCGACCAATTCTTCAAATGGTGTGATAAGAACTCGACATGCGCGCTTCACGGGAAGAATGCCAGCCGCATCTGGGATGAAACTCTCGCTCGCGCTGATTCCAAAGCCATTGCAGCACCGGGCTGCAACGGGACATGTCGCTCTGACGTGACCGGTGAAGAAATTCGATACAATGCACAAGAGTTTCTTACCTTTGTTGATCTGGACTTTGGCTCTGGATCTACGTGGGCTGCTCTCGGAGATGCTATTCTTCAAGCTAGCAAGGACAACGCTACTGCGCTGTCAACTTCAACTCCAAGTGGCAAAGTCGTCAATGACCCCAGTGGTTCTCCATACAGCTACCTTGCTATTGGATGTCAAGATTGGTTACACAAGTCCAAGACTTCAGTGGACTTGCGCCAGAAGCTCATCAACGCTGTTACGTTTGCTCCCAGAACAAGAGGCGCCTCGCAGACGTATTACTATGAGAGTACATGTATCGGCTGGCCTGCACCGTTGACGAATCCGCAGGGGCCTTTGGCAGATGGTATCAAGGACGCTCCTACTATTCTGATTGCGGCTTCGGTGTATGATCCCGAGACGAGTCTTACCTGGGCTGAGGGGGTGAGAGAGCAGTTGACGCATAGAGTGAGCATTACGAGGAATGGAGCCGGACACACGAGTCACTACCTTGGAGGCGATACTAGTAAGGTTATGGATAAGTATTTGGCCACTGGAAAGCTGCCTAGAGATGGTACAGTCTACAGGACTTGAGTTTCAGGCAATGTCTGAAAAACTTTGATGTGCTGGTCAGATGGTGTTAATAATGATGGATCCGGGGTGATCGAATGTATTTAATTCTGACATATCTCTGCAGCATCATACTTCTACATATCTATCATGATATACGAACACATGCGGCAACTACATGACGACTGAGATCAACAATATCCCGCCCATGCTATTGTGGATTCAGACAAGACGCAAGTGCCTCTACTTGAGCCTGTTGCTATTAATAGCACTGAAGACTGCATGCCTCTGCGACGTACGTATGTCGTTAGTCAAACTGCCCCCAGACAAACTGGGCTAACCTGGGGGTGCCCTCCCTGCATCAGATCGTCCATCTAGCTCCTTAGTTCAGCCCTACAGACTGGCGTCATCCTTATATAGCCCTGCAGTGAGCTCTTGAAAGGCCGTCAAACACTTCATCGCCACGGTCATGTCCTTCGACGGAGCAGCGAAGGACCGAGCCGAGGTTGGTAGCACAACGAAAATCCTTCGCAATCTCTTCATTTCCAATCTCCGAACGCATTTCAAAGCACGTATCACAGTTCTTTGTAATAGAACCAGAAAATCTCAATCCGTGTAACCAAGGATCCACAATCCGGCCTCGGTATCCCACCAACTCCGAGAAAAGCGGGTTTCAACTTTCCGCCGGCGCCGATGTGATTACGTGAGCGGCTGATGTGATCGCGTCGTACAGCGAGCAAATAGCTTCACTTATAAGTCGAGAGGGTTGCCCGAACCATTCCCTATACAGTCCCACTCATCACATATCATCTTACACGCCATCAATATGACAAAGTTCAAAGTCACAGTGACTTCCGACACCGTCTGCCCTTGGTGCTATGTTGGTCGCAGACAGCTCCAGGCTGCGCAGCGCCTTTGGGAGCAGAAGTACCCCGACTCAAACGACACTTTCGACATTAGCTACAAGCCTTTCCAGCTAGCGCCTGATTGGGCCCGGGGTCCTGCGTCGAGCATCTCCAAGGAAAAGTTCTACCTCGAGAAATTCGGAAGAGACCGCGTGGTTAAGATGCAACAGCATTTGAAGGGTGTCGGAGAGTCCCTGGGGATCGACTTCAAGTTCGGTGGACAGACAGGAAACTCGAGAGATTCGCACCGACTGGTCCAGCTTGCCAAGAAGCACGGCCAGGATGCCGAGAGCAAGGCGCTCGATGGGCTCTTCGCTGCGTACTTCGAGAAGAACGACGACATTACCAACTACGATACGTTGAGAAACGTGGCTGTCGAGGCGGGAATCCCCGAGGATGAGTTCCAGAAGGCCATTGTCGAGAGCGACGAGGGTGGCCCAGAGGTTGACAAGCTTGCGGGCGAGGCGCGATACAGTGGTGTCAGTGGTGTACCTGACTTTGTTCTTCAGGACCGGTTCCGACTCCACGGCGCCAACGATCCGTCGACATTTGTGAGCGTTTGGGAGAAGATCAAGGCGGCTGGGCTGTAATCGAATTAATCGTTGGGGGTGATCAGATCAGTCGCTTAGGGTGGTCAGATTGAAACAAGACTTCTGTGCGCTTCTCGAGGACATCGTTCCAGAGGTGTTGACCTTGAAAGCCTGGGACATAGAATAGTAATCCGATTTCCTGACTCGTCCACCAACTTGCCCTGTCCATATTGCCTGAGCCCAGTACTAGATACTCGTCGTCAACGAGAGTCATCTTGAAATGACTAACGACGGGTTCGTCTTCTTGGTCGCGTCTCGCGTCGAGTTGCTTGTAGTAGAAGATCTCCAGCTTGCCGGGCGCAGGCGATTGCGCTTCAGGATCCGATGATCGGGACTGATTGCTAAGAGCATTGTATCTCTGGATAAACTTGCGCAAACACCAGGATGTCGTTGTGCCAGCCGTGACTAGCTGCTCGATAAGCATCATACCCTTGCTAGTTCTGATCTGAACATCGACTCCACGTGCGAGCGCATCTAACAGACTCTCCACAACAGGCCAAGAAGTGACGTTAGGAGTGAGGATGGTGATTCGTCGCTGTGCGTTGTTGAACAGGGTAAGAAGCGCTGCGTTCAGAGGCGTCATTGGCGGATCTGTCTGCGACAGAAATGGGAAGAAGGAAAACCGAGGGTTCCGATGATGCGGCGAAGGGAGAAAGATGGTCGGAACTGGGCCGTTGGCAGGGAAGTCGATGGATTGCGTTGCCGACACTTCGCTGTTGACCTGTAGTTGATTTGGCGCTCTTTGATCAACCTGCACATCTTCTTGGGAGTCAGGTCGTCGTTGAGGTTCATCATCATGACCCCAGACGCGGTCATAAAAGGCCAAGAGACGATCGACAATAGCACCCTCGACCTCGACGCAACCTTCGAACCATCGCTCCCAGCTGACGTTACAGCTTGGGACCCAGGCCCTCTTTCCGTCGACGATCACAAACTTGGGGTGCATAACGCTTAGTGGCGTGAAGAAGATGCTCTTGACAGTAAGGTCGATATTGGCATTCTGTAGCAATTGCTGGTTGGGGAGGCCCAACTTAGACCATTTCGACGGCTCATAGACATATCCTTCTCGAGATGCAGGGTGGAATAGTTTCTGAAATAGTCCAAATGATGAGAAGCCTATTGTAATCCGCAGAGGTTCCTTGACGTTGGCTTCAATACGCGCCACCGCAAGCTTCTCGAATGTGTCGCGAATAGCGTCCAGTGAGGGCGAAGCAGCCCAGTAACAGGTGATCAATTGAACGGAGTGTTTGGCGCTCAAGATCGCCGGTAGAAGAGCGCGCGTGTATATAGAGTAGCCTGTTCCAACGTATAATGTCTTGGGTGAACTGGTGGTAATGAGAGAGTCGATATTATTGACGTAGTAACTGGGAAAGTCATCTTGTTGCTCGTCGCGTCGCGATTGGAGTAGCTCTTTCCATGGCCGGACAAACGATTGGGGGAACTCTTTCGCTTCCGCCATTTTGATTACTTTTATTAAGAGATGGAGATAATTATATTGTGTTAAGGTTAAGTCACAAACGGGAAGAGTTGAAGATGAGATGAGAAGGTTGGCGGCGCAGCTGATGACGCGGAGAGCTTAGGCGATGCCAAGCAATCCACTTTATACAGGGTTATAGAATCCGGGGGAATTATCCAGTAGAGCTAGATTTAAGGTACAACTTTGATCAAAAGGTCAATAACGATACAGCTAATAGAGATATAATTATTGTGTAGAGCCAAATGGTTCAAAGTTGAGACGCTGTTCCGCAACTTTCAGTGGGTTCGTTCACCGGTTCACCAAAGTGATACAGCGGATCAATCAATGCGCAGCAAACACGTGCCAGCACGACAAACAGCGCAGTAAAGATGAAATCAATTGACATAAACAAGATATATCGTTAGGCAAACGACGCTGTACCTCATGTTCAATTGACACTCATCTCAATGAACCGCGGCTTTAGTAATCTCCACGAGTCGCTCACCGCCTTCAAGCTCCCCGGCAGAATCCCCCACTACGGCACCTCCTATCTTCCCATGGCGCTCTAACTGACTTTCCATCAACCAACCCAAACACCCTCAAATCGCGACCATGTTGTCAGGCGTTCTGGTCTTCAATCAAAAGGGCGAGAACCTTATCTTCCGCGCCTTCCGGAACGACTGTCGTCCTCGCCTCGCAGACGTCTTTCGCATCCAGGTCATCTCCAACGCTCAAGTTCGATCGCCAATCCTCACCCTCGGAAGCACAACGTTCAGCCATGTCAAGCATGAGAACATCTACCTGGTCGCTATCACAAAGAGCAATGCCAATGCCGCTCTTGTGTTTGAGTTTCTCTACAGGCTGATTCAGCTGGGCAAGGGTTACTTTGGCAAGTTTGATGAGGAGGCTGTCAAGAATAACTTTGTCTTGGTATATGAGCTCCTAGACGGTATGTTCTGCTACAATCACTCTGCAATGGCGCTGACATTCTCTAGAAATTATCGACTTTGGATACCCTCAAAATACAGAAACCGACACACTCAAGATGTACATCACCACCGAAGGCGTCAAATCCGAGGCCCGGTCCGAAAACACCTCCAAGATCACGATGCAAGCCACCGGAGCCCTCTCCTGGCGCAAGGCAGATGTAAAGTACCGTAAGAATGAGGCTTTCGTCGACGTGATCGAGGACGTCAACCTGCTCATGTCCGCTACTGGCGCTGTCCTGCGCGCAGACGTTACGGGCCAGATTATTATGCGCGCTTACCTTTCCGGCACGCCCGAGTGCAAATTTGGCCTCAACGACCGTCTACTTCTCGATAACGATGGCTTGCTGAGCCTCCCGAGCGGAAACAAGATGGGTACAAAGGCGACAAAGGCTGCAGCTGGTAGTGTCACTCTCGAGGATTGTCAATTCCACCAGTGCGTTAAGCTGGGTAAATTCGACGCCGACCGTATCATTAGCTTCGTTCCTCCCGATGGTGAATTCGAGCTCATGCGATACCGCGCCACTGAGAACGTCAACCTTCCCTTCAAAGTACACGCCATCGTCAACGAAGTCGGTCGATCAAAGGTGGAATACAGTATCGGTGTCAAGGCCAACTTCGGCTCCAAGCTCTTCGCCACAAACGTCGTCGTCAAGATCCCCACGCCGCTCAACACTGCAAAGATCACCGAACGCTGCACGCAGGGCAAAGCCAAGTACGAGCCTAGCGAGAACAACATCGTGTGGAAGATCGGTCGCTTCACCGGTCAGAGCGAGTACGTCCTCAGCGCCGAGGCTATCCTGACAAGCATGACGAACCAGCGGGCGTGGAGTCGACCACCGCTGAGCATGAACTTTAGCTTGCTCATGTTTACGAGTTCGGGACTGTTGGTGCGATATCTTAAGGTGTTTGAGAAGAGTAATTATTCGAGCGTCAAGTGGGTGCGGTACATGACGAGAGCAGGATCATACGAAATAAGGTGAGGACTCCCATTCTGATTGACAAACACAGCTAACAGGGCAGATTTTAAATGCATATAAGTGGTAGAGCATGTACGGCGTTATGGTATATCCCGGCAAAAGTCGAGCGGGCGGTTTCTTTAGCATCAAACCATTATCCAATTTCTGTCCCTTCGTGATCACTCATCTTCAACTACCAAGACTCTGACACCTTGAAACTTTCCTCTATCTGCGCCCTCTTGTTGACTCTTAATCGCAGCATCGATCAAGCATGCGAAAATGTACGATGGATGTTCCTCCTCCCATCCAAGTGCTGAGAGATTCCGCGCTTCGACGTAGCGTCTCGAGACTGCATGCACGATGTCTCCTGGCCTCTCCTGATCATCCGTATTCTTCGTTCGCAAACCTTTCCACAGTGCATCGCGCGTTCTTATCTCGCTCATCTTGACGTTCTGTCTGCCGCACTGCTTACACCTCCCCGAGCAATCATCCACAAGATACAACACCTCCAGGCCCTTCTGGATCGTACAAGCGAAGAATGCAACCTCTTCAAGCCCTAGCTCTCCATACAACCCTGTCGCCCAGGTTTCGGAAACGTCAATTGCGACCTTTTTCGCATTCTGTAATGCCGTTGCTATTTCCGGTGACCATTGGTTCTCAAGGATGTCCTTGATTGGCGGTGGTACGAGGAGCGTTTCTGTAGCTAGGTCGTTGTGGTCGGATGGCTCCTCTCGGAAGCGAAGCATGAGAACGTCGGATGCAGGGATGGAGACCTTTTGGGCTCTACCGGGGAGATGGATCTCGTTCATATCCTGTCTTGCCTCTGTCTCTCTGACGGTTTGCTCAGCGAGGCGACTGATTAGCCTTGATGTGGCTGTTGCGTGATACACGCTTGGGTCGAATGCAGCCTTTGACCTGACATTCTCGAGACGGTCGAGAAATACCATCTTTTTGTAGTTGTTGAGCTTGGCTTCTCCTGCTTTATCCTTCCTCTGTGTCTCGAAAGCTCTTTCAGCACGCTCGTCGCCCTTCCATGATGGAAAGCAAACGTCAAAGATGTGCATAGCTGGTCCGGGATGTGTGTAAGTCTGCCATATCTTCATCTGCAACTCCAGTGGAAGATTGCCAAAGTGTTTGAAAGCCATCCTGATTCACATTAATTGACAGTGGGTGAAGAGCAATCCTCGACATTTATCTCTTGTATGGAGGTCTTGTTCTATTTGTATTTGCTGGTATTCTGACCACCAGCCGGGATATATCACGTCAGCCAGTCTCAGCGCTAACGGAGTAAATGATATGAATGGGCAGTAATGTATTAAGGCTTATCTGAGATTTTGAGTCTTGACAAATGAAGCCTGTCAAATGCAAATACTGACCGAAAAATATTACGTGTGTAGATATTTGTGTTTGGCACCTTACACGCTGAGACTGTGAGATGTTGGATCGTGAGATGAGATGTTAGCAACTTCAATCTTATCAGCGCTTACTACCAAGTGTGTTGGCGATACGTATTGGCATTGTGCCGCTCTTGGCTGATCGGTCATCACAACGTATCGCAGTGCTGTCAAGATTTGGCTTGAGAACATGGCAATGTCGCAGCAGCCTTGGTCATGTCACTCATCTCCTGAGTGATCAAGTTATGCTCCTCTCCTTTAAACAGTCTATCATTTGCTTTCTCATCGTTCTCCATGCGTTTTGTGAGCGGTCCGGCCATGTTCGCCGTAACACGAATGTGCAGCGGAGTTCGGCATACCAGTGTGTGGAGCCGCGTATCCCTACCCCAGGTCCTTGAAGGCTGCTGAAGCCGTTGCGAGGCCTCGTTTCGACTTCGTAAGTACCAGTTGGTCTTGTTCCTGTTGTATCACTCAATTGAAATGCCGTATGTCTCTGATCCCTTGTAATATGTCCGTGTCAAAAGGGCACTGCCTTGGCTCCAGATCAGATTGACTCTCTCAAAAAGTCGTTTCGCAAGTTCCGTCTGGGTTGCCGGAGCCGCGGAGGTCGTTCGAAGTCCAGTGGCGAAGGATCGAGTGTGTAGGAGTGGCTGCTCAGCTGAAGTCCCGGTTGAGGTTACAGCTGTCGATAGACCGCGTGTTCCTGACTTATCAGCATGTAGCTATAGTGAGAGCCATTGAGCTCTAACAAAGAATGCGTTGTCTGATCCAGATTCCTTAGGTCTCAAGTATCACAGATCCGATAGTCAAGATAGATGATCCTGAGTGTGTAGAACAGATGAGCTGGCGATTACTTCTGCAACTTGCCAAGTTAATCGCTTAGAGAGTGCACCGAGAACCATGAATTTAAGTGTTTGGTCTTTTCATCAATCTTTCTTCAGCTCTGCTAGTTGTCAAGGCCAGAGTCGGCTGCTTCCTGCCAGTGTCACTGTCTCGAATGACAACAAATTCGTTGGCAAGGCTCATCAGCCTCCGAGGAACACAGAGGATATCGGTAGGCATAGCCATAGTGACTCTTCTCCTTCCTCGGAACGGCAGTTACAGAATATCCTTGTCTTGATGATCAGACTTCGCTTGGACGTCCTCGGGGAGCCGGAGGTGGGATCCGGTGGACTCCGGTGGGAGGGTGTCGTGGAACGTCACTCGTAGTAGCATAGATGGCGATGGATACCCTTGTATGGTGGATAAATAGCTCTTGCAGCGCTGTTGAGGAGGTATATTTCACTGATGTATGAGCTTGTATGAGGATGTGGTTGAGACAACATGTTGCAACGTGGTCGGAGGAACTCAGCCATTGGCAAGAATCAGGCCATTCCTCGGAACCTCGAGTATCCCCAAATAACTCATCATGATACTATAATCCTCGGAATCGCGCGGTTAATGTTCTAGAATTGCGGTTGAGTATCGTGGCCATGAGGTTGGATGTGATACAGACGGTAGCAATATTCAGCCTCAGCAACTAGCTCTGCGCCCTTAACCCAACTCGCTTAGAAGTAACATCCACTGATCACCGATACTATCTCTATACCTTCCTGTTTTATTCATTGCGTGATCGACCTGTAGCCATTCACATAGACCTCCAAATTAGGACTACACTTCTGAACTCCGTTCTAGACCAGAAACTTGCCAAGGCAAACGTCATAACTCTCCCAACTCCATTTTTTATATTTTCCGACGGGTCTTTAGTTTCTCAGACCTCGATATATAAGCGCTGACTAGTTAACCCATCTATCTATATCTGACAAAAACACTTCCCCACCCCGAAGCAATATATCTCCCAGCCGCGGGATGATGGCCCCGAGACAAGACCCTGACCACACCTATCGTGGGATTCTATTTACTTGATTGGCCCTGTCTTCGGCTATAAACCCACGCTGATCCAGAAATTCCCGTGCCCAACATGGTCAGGGCAACGCAACCACGAGAAAGCCATGTGTTTAGTGAGACCTGAGTAAGCCCCCCCAGAACATCTGGGTCTTGCTAGCTTCCGCCCAAAGCTAGAAAGCACTTTGGTCTCCAAGTTTAGTAAATCTTGCTTTTCCGCGGCATATAGTTACATCGGCTGTTAATATTCTCGGCCAAGAATCATACCATTGTGAAATAATAATAAAAGGTTGATGAAGGAGCAATTGCTCCTGCTGGTGACCGAAAAATGTCAAACACCACGAGATTTCCACGAGGATCAGCGTGTGAAACTAGCCAATTTAGTGGTCGTGTCACTCTTGGGCATCAATGGGGTCATTTCCTGATAGAGTTGATCACTCCTATTTGCGGAAAACCTCGCGTCTAACTTCAACGCCGAACAACTTGGCCATTAGCCTGGGCCTCGCTTACAGCCTCTTGAATTAAGATTCGTCGCACCATTACTGTTTAAGCAATGTTCCACCGTTCGCGGGAAGGTATTCGTTCTGGTCTAATTGGTCTGTTGGTCAGTGCTGAAAAAAAGTGTCATGCCTCCTTCAGCCCTATGGGTTGGTATCTGTATAAGCGATGGTCGGGACCCTGCAGTTGGCCTGGCTCGTGGCACGATTGAGGAAAGCATAAAGAGGCCCTCTCGTCTCTGTTTGAGTTTGTCTGGGGGTTGAGTGTTGTTAGACATTGAGTGGTTCATCAATCAGTCCACTGTTTCCACGTGTTGATAGCAGTCCTTGGCCGTGTTTCTTATATATAAGACTTCATCTTCTTCAATGGATGGCCTTCTGTTACGCTCTTCTACTATTACTTATCTGATGGGCACATCACTGGTCACATCGACCACGCATACATCTCGTCTAAGCCTGCATATTCTTTCTGTCTTGACCAATAACGACCTACATCATTGTGATATCATTCACCAGCACCTCGCTCCAAGTCCAGCCTGATCCTACTCTACAGATCACGTCACTTTGTTTCTTCCAGCAACACTCTCGCCTCCCGATCACGCAGCCAGGCCCTTTCTACTCGATCGTATTCCAGCTGAAGCACCCTCCCGAGACATACATGTGTACCACAGCAATGTGTATCGCCCACTACCTCCACTACCACCATGTGCCCCCTTGTTACCGCCCAACTGGCCTGAACTACTACTACTCGTATTGTGCTGCTGCTCACTACGACCCCGTCACCAGCCAGCCGCTCGCACCGTGCGACAGCGTCTCGACCAGCTCTCCCGGCGGAGACCTCAACGACCCATGTACCATGAGCCAGTGTCTAATTGATCCGGGCTGTCGCTCTGGAGCATGTCGACTCGCTGATCTTAACGGCCAGTGGAAGTGCTGCATGTGTGGAAGGCGGGAGAACTTTGATTACCAGTGCTTCAATGCTCGATCTGCAGATGTAAGTATGTACTGCACGCATCAGGTTTGCGAGAACTGCACAGCGGACGAAACTTGAAGAGGCGAGAGCTTGAGGCCGAAGAATATCGGCCTCCTCATGGGATTTGAGTTGCAGCTGATGTCTCAGCTGCATATAGTCCGACGCTGTGGACGTCTGCAGGTGTAGTTCAAGAAGCCACATGTGCGGATTCATGCAGGCTACACCTCATGGCGTTTCCATTCCGGCAGGTCTATTATTATCACCTTTATATTTGTTTTGGTTTGCTGACTACATGCAGATTTGATCGTCATGTTGCCAATCTCGGTGATTCACAAGAGAGGCATCGACGAACTTCTGCAGAAGAGAAGATTGTGGGATCAAGGACGGTCGAGTAACACTTTCGACACGAGTATCAATAACCGATTGAGGTTTCACAGTACGGTACATTCCGAGATCGCCCTGTCATGACTGAGGAGACACTTTCTCCTCTTACGATATATCACAAACTCGCGGTGATGGTGGACTCATACTCATCAGCTATACTACAACCCAAGCCAACTTGCAATACTTCCGAGCTCCTAGCTCCGCCCGCCTGGCACCGATACTCATAACTTCCTCGAGATCTGGCAGCCATGTCCGCCCTCGGGTTCTATCGCGGTTAGAGTTGCGCTGATGGCATCTTGATGAAAGGGTAAGGAGAGCCGGTTGAGAATAGATCGGAAAAGCTGAAGACATTGGGATACATAAAACCCATTATCTCTTGAGCTTTTCTGCGAGGTGTGAAATTAAGTCGCCATCACAACAAAGCAATGTCAACAACCATATGTCGAAGTCGCAATCTCGTACAGAAACTCAAACATCATGTGCCATCGAATCACTTTCCGTCTCGCATGCGAGCATGTCTCAACACACATAAGTTACTGTCCAGTCGGCCTCTCTCACCGCCGCCCCTGCAGCAACACGACCAAGCAGACCATCCCATACCCTCCGCCGTCGGGCTACACGCTGCCCAAGTGTCCACTCACCGACTGCCCCTTTGAGGCCAAGAATCAGGCCTGGGACTGCTGCTGGTGCGGGAAGACGTGGAATGTTGGTGGGCGATGCAGTTGTGTCATGATTGGCGAGGGGGGCACGTATCGGTGCGAGCATATCTGCTGCAAGTCGTGTATTGCGTCTAGAGATTATTTCTCCTAACTTGGTATGCGATGCGAGGAGGAGATACCCCTGGATGGTGAATCATGAGTTGGTTCCAGAAGAAGGTCGTTGGAGATAGTTGTCAACACTCTACCACTCTCATATCTCCGCCCAAGTGAGACTTTCTGTCATGTGCACGTCACCATCTCCTCAACGATCCCCTTCGGCTCTCATTCTCAGTCAACAGGCATTATCCCAGTAAATCAGTTCATATCCGCATCAACTCGGAGACTTGCCTCGTGACCATTGGCTTCTCGTCAAGTCCTCCCGAGGCTGACATGTTCTGTTTCACCAGATCACGTCTGCCTGCATTAGACCACCAGGGGTCTAAATCGAGATGTGAGCAAGGACGGATGGGATGCTTCGATCGCGCTGGGCTGGTAGAAACACAAGATCCTGTGCCTTTTTGTGGGTTGTAGGTGTGAATGTGTTCCCTTGTCGAACGAGTGCTCGGTGCCAAGGTCTCCTAGCCAAACCAACCTCATCTATTACCAATAGATATCCGGTACACTCGAACATCGTGCTCTTACACCAATACCGTCGTCACTCTCATCCACACCAGATCAGTAATCGTAAAACCAGAGTACCGGGTTCATCACATCTCATCACCATCGATCTCACAATCTCAATGTTGTGCAACCACACTATCCCCCTCTACGACAGCCTCACTCCCAGGCTTTCACCTGTGGCGTCCTATAAATGACCTCCAGCCCCGTTACACAGGACCCATCAGATCACACCCCGAGACATTGGGCCATGGAATTTTTTATGTCTCTGCCTCATCGGAGACTTGATCATGGAATGTAACGCACACTCCCGATGATGCAGCACTCGAGGACACGATCGATGGGCTGCGCTGCTGCAGACGCCTCAACCCAGAGCATGCAAATTGTATGGATGAACTCCAAATGTGCATCTCTTGGTCTCTGAGTATGAGAATTGCTTCGCTGATGGGGAGAAACTAGACCCGCGGTTCCAAAGAGGTCGATCTGTCTAGTGAGTTTGATCCGTTGGTGTATAAATAGTCCCCAAGATGAAGCTATCAGACCAGAAGGAAATCCTCAGAATAACAGCTTCTCCTCAGAATAACTGCTTCTATTCTCAGGAACAAGACAGTCACAATGTGTCACGGACATCCTCGACACCATCCCTGCGCCCACACATCCATCAACTGGCACTACTGCCCGTCGGCGCTCATAGATCTCGAGACGGGTTATGAGACGCCGTGCAGCAACACATCGTTCGCGGCGGCCCAGCCCACGACGTCCGACTGCCCGCTCCAGAACTGCCAGTTCAAGAGCAAAGGCGGAAGCTGGACGTGCTGTTCGTGCCAGCAAGGTCCAAACACTCAAGGATGGTGCACCATGCCCATGAGCAGAATGGCCATGAACCCCGAGTCCTTCTCGGTCGAGTCAGTTGAGACAACTTGTGATCATGGCTGTTGCAGCAAGTGTGTTCAATACGGTAGGTCCCCCTAGTCAATATCTAATTCATTCGATAGACAGCTGACACATTCAGGCTCGGGCCGTGATGCTTCGTCTGAGATGACCTTTTCTGAGATCCGCAAGGGGTCAGCGTCGCGCAAGTTCGGGTACAGCAGCGCCACCAAATCTCATCGTCGCGGGTCAGCCTTTTCGCTTCCTGCGTCCGGGGACGAGTCTACGCCGTCGCCATCGACGTCAAAGTCGAGTTCCGCAAGCTCGGGATATAAGGTTGGGATGGATTACACGTCGAGCAAGACCAAGTCGAGCAAGAAGAGCCACAAGAGTAAGCGATGAGTGATTATTGGTACTGGTATTGGTATACATGAGTTGGTTTGTGTGCATCTGGTGGTTGACTGTCATTGTTTGTAATTCTGAATCAACAGAGCGTCGTATTCCAGTCTCGGCAGCTTATTTCAATAAACGTGGGTTTCACTCTTTTATCATACTTTATATTTCCTCTTGACTACAGTATCAACCATATCATGATGAAGTCAGATGTCTCTTTCTGTCACCAACCTCAATCTCAGCTCCGCTCACACAGGCCGAATAGACTTTCAGGCCAAGCCACAGCCAGGCCCAAATCAGTCCACCCTGCGGCCCGAGATGCGTCCAAGCGAGGGGAAGCTATCGGCTCTTTTTGTCCAAAAGGCCCCCTCGGAAGAGCCAAAGGCCACGTGCGAAAGAAGCATCTGGTTCCCGCCATGCACCGTTTATCGTTCGGGCCCTGATGAAGAACTGAGACGAGACGAGACAAGGGTTGATGATGATCTGCAAAAGTGTTTTTGGGTTTTGGGCTGAAACATGAGTCGACGGTCTGGCGATACGCTAGATTGAGATGGTATTTGAGGCCTGACAATAAATTGATAAGTCGGAATCGTCGGTCTTTACGACTTTGACTTCTAAAGATATATCGATAAGATGCTTCATTCAGCCATGATCGTCGTATTCAATTCCTTCATCTTGAAGCATCACTCATATCCACACGCTTATGATGCATGGATAATGTCAACACCAAAATAGTCAACGCCACATCAATCAATCAAGAGTCCTACCGTCCGTCCTAAACAAGTGCCATTCATTTAGTCAACGGCACCTCCGACGACGCCTCAGACCGACCGAGATGAATCTGGATCTCAAATCTTTAACATTGTAAATCCTCGGATCTCGAACCGACAAGTTTTCAGACTGGCAGTGAAGATTAAGTCTGACAGTACAACTGTGATAACTGCTCGAGATGCATATCTGGTGTGTGATATCGGAATGGGCTGCCAGGCTACAGCAATACGAGATGTGCTATCGTCAGGAGTACCACCCTCCCAAATGTCATAGTCGTAATCCAAAAAAAAAAAAACCACGTGTGCTATGATCGACATCGCCCATCCCTTCCCCTTCCCATGTGGAAATGACGAACCAAGCGTTTTTGTCTTTCTTTCTGAAGGCATCGACAACTTCCAAGCCACTCGTCATCATGATCCAATTACATCGCGTGGCTTCCACGTGAGCTGGCGTCTGTGATGGATGCATCCAGATCAACACATTCCAGTGCAGATTGTCCAGATTGCCGTGAGTTATTCTCTTGGTGTTTATCTCACCTCCTCATAGAGTAGCATTTTTGCCCCCCCTGAGGAAACATTAACCTGGTGGCCACGAGTTCAAATGCAGACCATACATGAGATTTCAGGTGGAGGGTTGGGCCTGGGGTATTGTACGACTCCATTCGACCCTTGTGTTTTACAGGGCGGGACCTGTTCCAGGGGCAGTATCTTCAGTGACTCCATCGTCCGTGGCCTGATCCTTGGATGTTTTGAAACGACGCTTCTTGTTACCATCGCAGTTTATTAGATGAAAAAGGTCTGTGTTTTTGCTTGATTTTTCATCATTTCCATCCAATTCTTCATCATCATACCATATTTCACTTTCGTCCAGTGCAGTCTGGGCCCTCTGATGGGAGATCCTACCGCCAAAAAAACAACATCCCCTAGCGCTCTTGTACCTCGGGTGCCACACCCCCTGTAAGCCCCCCCTCCAGCAGCCGCTGAGACTTGTGCCTGGGCCTTGTGGTGCCTGTGCCTCTTTTCTGCTTTAATCTCCAAATCTCCTCTCTTCTCCCCTCGGGTCCCCCCTTGCCCTCTTTTTTTTCCCTCTCTTTTTTAGATCTGTCTCCATCTTGATTATCCCTTTCATAATCTGTTTTTAACGTTCTTCTTTTCTCCAGTTTTTGACCCTTTTGAAGGAAAAGAGAAGTCGTGAAGAGAGAAAAGAGACACGGACGCTAAGACAATCGACGACAAAGCGCAGTCAATTTAAATTAACTTGCCTTTACATATAGCTCCGTCTTTCACTACCTATCAACTATTACGTCTAGCCAGCCCACTTTCTCATCTTCTCTCTCTCTGGCTTCGTCTCTTCTCTTCTTCGAAACCTCATCCCCTCTTACGCGGTTTCATAAATCACCTATAGTACCCGCAGCTCACCGTCGCATCAAACATCACCATGCCTGCTTCCTTGGACTCTTCCCGGCCCATCATGGCCCCTTCGGTATGTTATGACCGCTCGGATCTTCTTTTCCTTCTGTCTATCTCATCTATTGCGTACGGATAGTGTAATACTGTCCCTTTGTCCCCCCCTGTTCATAGGCTTGGGACTTGTCCCGTCTAGTTCCGCCTCTAGTTTGGTGTCTGCCCACTTTGAAGGTGATGAGTGATGGGCCGGATGAGTAGAGAGAATGGATGCGGATGCGGATGCTCTCGTCTTGTCACCACTCACTTGTCTTTCAACTGAAATGTGACATCTTTGCCTCTCCGGCCGCTTGGTTCAGCCCATACTACCTTGCTCGTCATCCGTCTTTGTTCACAGTGCCTATCACTTCCACCTTGATACATTCCCCTGTCGCCTCACGTCCCTTAGCCCAGCATTCTTTTTCCTCGTCGTCTCTTTTCTTCCAAACTACTTCAACCTCATCTATCTCCCACCATGGCTAAGCCGTGGGTCTCGTCGCACGCTCACACCCAGCCCAACCGTCAAGCCACCAAGGAAAAGGACCAACCCGCTGACTCTACCTCCAAGAACCGCAACTCCGTCCGCTTCAGCACCTACAGCATGGCTCCTTCGCTGTCTCCCACCGTCGGAACAACCGACTCTGCTCACGCCGAGATCCGCGACATCGCTACCGGCCTCGACCGCATGGAGAACAAGGCTCTCTCCTCCCAGCGCGTCACCCTCACCGACGAGAAGACAGACACCATGAGCAAGCTCGCCCTCGGTGCTAAGCTCGAGCGCGCTCTCGACCGAAGAATGAGCGGCCAAGACGCTGTCATGCGACCTCGTGGCCAGAGCCTCAACGAGAAGCTCAGCGAAAAGGAGTAGACCCAGAAAAAAGAAGAAGAAACAACCCACCAAATCCAACAAACAAAGCAAATGTCTTGCGAATAAGATACCCCCACGCAAACGAGAATTCTTCTTTTATTTTTATCGATATAAATTATCTTGTCTTTCCGGTCTTTGATTTCCTCAGCAACGCCTTGGTTCTATCACTTTTTTCGCAAAGTAATGAAACACTGCGCCATGATCAACCTCAGGGGGAAATTGGATGGAAATACGAGCCTCACACTCAGCCTCATCCCCCTAATTATACTCGCGAAACCCACCAAGCCACGGCTCTTTTTTCACGAATACAAACGGCATGCGGAAAGGATCTGGACTACGATCAGCTCTTGTTGACTTCATTTTCTTCTCTTTTTTTCTTTTTTGTCTCTTTATTCTGCTTTTTACTATAATGGTATGCTGCGATGGAAATTCATTGGTCAAGATACGCAGGAATGGCAAGCAACGCATGAAGGAAAGTGATCATTAGGGCACGGATAAAGGGAGCTGTTTCGCTTTTGCCTTATATCGTTTCCCGGGCGCAGCGAGTACGGGGCGGAGGAATTGGAAGTGTATGATTGCATTGGATGCATTTGTGATGCCATGTTTTGCACACGAGCTATAGTAAATGCCGACAAGAGTCGCCAACTCATTATTGTGTCCGGTTTCTGTTGTTGAAGCAATGAAATGGTACAGGAACAGAAGACTGGCCAAAGGAACCTCAGTGTTGTGTGAATCCATGAAATGTGTTGCAGTGATATTAACAAAACTCCTATAGCAACCATTACCAAGCAAAGTATTCCCTTGATGTAAAAGACATTCCAAATGCCAGTGTGCTGGCATCTCTAACTGAGACCAACTCCATCTTGGCCCCAAATCCTGTGGTCAACTCATGTCTCGGGTGAATTGTCAACTCCGTCTCACCCCTCTTCAACCCAAACCGCCTCAAACTCAAATCGTAATCAACAACTCAGGATGTTCATGCCTCCTGCTTCTCAATTCTCTCCTCGACATCCTTCAAAAGCTGTACCAACTCTCCCTCTTCACCCTCAACCTCAAGCCCTCTCCTGACCCAATCCCTCGCCTCCTCCAGTCTTCCCATCTCAGCCAAACACCTTCCCCTTCTCCACCAAGCCTTTGCATTTCCTACCCAGCGCGCCTCAACACTTGCATGGGCATCCACAGCGCCCTCAGCCCAGTTCTGCATCGCCATGTGCGCCTGTGCTCGGTTCGCCAGAATTCCGCTGATCTCCTCTCGCACCAGCTGGGAGGGCTCCCACATGGGTCGCTGCATGGCCATTTGGAAGCCGAGGGTGTAGTACTTAATTGCCTCGGGGTATTTGCCCTTGCGGTACTCGTTGTTGCCAGAGTCGCGAAGCTTGGTCACTTGGGCGGTGCGCTTGGGGTTGACGGGCACGGGGGGAGGCGGTGCGCCTGTGGGTGATTCGACGTTGAGGAGAGAGCGGTGGAGGGTGTTGAGAGCTTCGAGTTCGGCGTTGAGCGTGCGCGATGGTTGTTGAGAGCTGATGGCCTTGGATTGAGGGTCCATCTGGAGGGGAAGGAGGTCGAAATGTGTGAGGTCCGACATTGTGACGGTGAGTTTTTGTTTTGCTTTGTTTGTGAAATGTCTTATTAGGAGTTTTTTTATAGACGTGAATTGTTAAAAAGAGTGACCGGTTGGGAGTGTGAGCTGGCAATCAAAGGTTATGTGCAGCTGGGTGTATGGGTTGAGGTGCTGTTCAGGACACCTCACAAAAAGCTTATCTTATCAGCACATGACACCCCTCAGAGCCACCACCATTCATACCCTACACACTGATGGAAGTGTGTATGTAAAAAGCGGCTCAGAGGATCGTTGAATGTTTTGTATATGCTCATCCTTCCTATTGTTTTACCTGGCTTATCTTGTTCAAGATGTAAATATGTCAAGAAGGAAAAAAATATACAGCGTGTCATACTCGTTCCTGATCTCATGCAATGGAATCTGTCAGGTTACAAGGAAACTTGTATATTAGCGAGATGTCAGACCCGCTGGGCTGGAAACAGCTACTAGGCGCTATTCCTACAGCCGAGATGACTTACAATAAGAGCTCTAGTTTGTCGGTATATGTGAACAAGCTAAGTGGTAGGCGTACATCATCAGATTACACAATGACATGAAGCACAGGGCACTGACGTCAACTTCAAAGACACATTCACATGTAAAACGAATTGATCAAACAAGAGCCTTTCCTTTTCTACTCCTATTGTGCAAATGCGAGACCCTGTCCCGGTTTGGGAAGCGTAACAAGATCACCTCCAAATCGCCATCACTCATAAAACCCGTCCGCCGAACTCTGGCGTCCTTGGATGATCAACGGAAGAAAGACATCAACTTCCAGAACCCTTAAAACGCCCATCAACGAAAATATCCCTATCCATTCATCAAAGCCTCATCACAGAACCCAAGGTCGAAAGAGTCTCCACACACAAAGTCTCGGTCATCATCATGCTGTTGATTGTCGGTCTCTTGTGCTTTAATTCCTTCTTGTGAGGGCAGTGCAAATGTGGTTCGATGATCGGGGAGGGACTTTTTTCATTTAGAACATTCTTTTTGGGGGGAATCGACATCTACTCCTCGAGCCACCCTTGCCATCACTCAGCAAATCAAGTAAATCCCTTTGTTGAACCGCCGCGCCATTCTAATGAAACGCACGAGAAATGATAGACGTTGCCAAGTTTACCTAGACCGGCAAGATCCCAGGTCGAGGGATTTGGCCAGCTTAGTAGCCGTAATTGGCAAGGGCCTTTGCGGTCTCCTCCTTGACAGAAGCGTTCTTCTTCGCATCAGCCAGTTGTCGGGCGGCAATCTTCTTGCGCTCGTAGAAAGCAGCGCCCTTGGCCTTTCTTCGCTCCTCCAATCTGGGTAGAGTTAGTCATGTCCTAAGTCACACACAGCACAGCAAAACATACCGAGCAACGACGTCCTCGTACTTCCAGCCAACCTCGCTGGACAGACGACCGACAGTGCAGAACTTGCGGCCGGGCTGGAGTCGGAGAACACGGAGAGCCTGGGGAACGACGACCTTCTTGGTCTTGTCGTAGGGAGGGGGGACACCCTCGAAGACCTTGAGGCGCTCGAGAGCAGCAGCACCACGGGCGGTCTTGTGGGGGATCATGCCACGGACAGCCTTGTAGAAGATTCGGGAGGGAGCGCGGAAGTGGAAGGGACCTGTATCGAGTCAATGACTGTGGTCAAGTGTGTAGGTACGGTTCGACTCACCACCGCGGGTGGGGTTGTAACGGGTGATCTTTCGGAGGTGGGCGTGGTACTTGACTGTTGGCATAATCAGCTTGGTGTTCTTGGGAGTGGCATCGCTTTGGTGTTGACGATGCTCGGCCACAGATCGGAGTGGTGTCGTGGGGTGGACATACGCTTCGCACGGAAGAACTCGCCAGAGATGTTGAGAGCCTCGCAGCGGACAATAACGATCTTCTGGCCGCTAAGGAGCTGCTTGGCGACAATGGAGGCGAGTCGGCCAAGGAGATGGCCCTTGCCATCGATGACGACCTGTTAAACGCACACAACGGTCAGCGAAATGCATCTTCAAGACCAATATTCCCATGTGAAGCAAACGACGAGCAGCGTTCACAGCACCAGCAGGCGCCGATAACTGAGATCCCAAAGTATCCCCGATCCCATAACCATTGCTTCCCAGCTGCCCGCAACTCGTCTTTTGCCTCAAGACACAATATGAATTGTGAATGGATATGTTGTTTCAGTCGGTACTCACAACTTGCTCGAAGCTCGACATCGTAACCGTCTTTTCTGGGGGAATTAAAGAAAAGGAAAGAAGGGCAGCTCAAATCCTCAAACCGGTCGGCGAAGATTTGTTGTTTTGCTGTGCTGCTGGGGTTAGTCGTCCCTCGAATGTTGGGTGCAAGTGGTCGCGATAGTGATTGACGGGCGAAAAATCCAAGGACCGCTTGAGGGCTCGTTGTGCCTTCTGAGCAAACCGCGCTAGCCTAATAGGGCAAAGGCAACCTTTCACCGCGAGCGACTCCTTCCCGCTTAGGTCTGTTAGCCCTAGAGGGTTGAGCCGAGGAATTACCGGCCCGCGCACTGGAATCATGCAGTTTTTGGGGCGTTTGGTCTTAGAATGGTTCGCACGTGATGATAGAGTTCGGGCTGTTCCAAGACATGACATTGGCACCATCATTGGGGGTTTACATCATAAGTCATGACAGGGATCCATGTTGATACTCAAGATTCCAATTAAATGTGCCAATTTGCTCAATGCTGTCTATGGTGGTCATCATGGTCAAGGTAATCCTTGAATCTATTGTACAGCTTGTTCTATATCAAGAGCAATAGTAAGGTAGTCGAATAATCGATTATTCCCAGTAACGCCTGCACTCAAACCAGACAATATTTTTCCACTCAACATCAATGCCATCGCTTAACCGCGGGCTCAAGATTCCTTTGCAATATCCAGATCCTTCAATGTCTTCTGGACCTGTCTCACCAATTCCTTCCTTCGTGCTCTGACTTCGGGCATTCCCTCAGCCTCAACACCGTCCAGTTTCAACATGATGTGCATCATGATGCTCTCAGAAAGTTTTCGGTGCTCTTCCTCTCGCTTCTTGGGGTCTGAAGGTGGCGACTCAATGTAATCGGAGCACAAAGGCAGCCACTTAATTTGGTACTCAACGGCAAGATCGTCGAGAACCTTCATAGGTCCGCTGGTTGCGCCCGAAGATGTGGGTGGCGCTGGAGGTGATCTGGGGTGGTCGAAAGTAGAAGCGCTGTCTCGAGGGCTGCCTGACAAGGAGTCGCCGTCACTGGTGATGCCCTTCTTCTTATCACGCTTCTTCTTGCGGCGGCGAGTCTTCCTGTCTTCTCTAGGAGCATCGACAATCACCATCTCCTCTTCTGAACCACTGCTGACATCATTGATCTCGGGCATGACCGCCATCAACTCGCTGTTGTTCTTGACACCATAGTCTCGTACTGGCGCCATAGGGTCCTTGAGTTGCTTCCCCTTGTAGAGAAGCTTGATGCGTGATGTTCCTCGCTCAGGAAGTTCCATCATCAGACCAACCCGGTCCTTGACGTCTATCACCCGCAACTTTCCATCTCCAATCGCATATGCGGGGAAGTGAGCAGGATATGTGATGCCGCGATTCTTGATAAGGAGGACATCGTCTTCTGGAGCTGGTGGGGGTGCAGTCGAGTGGGATCTGGGATAGTATCGATCCTCGGTGACGCCATCAAGATCTTGAGATGTGATGTAGCTAAAATCGTCGTCGGTGACAGCGGGGACGCCGCTGGGCATAGAACTGTAGGGCGAAATCTGTTCGCGGCCGATGGACCAGCCGTATCTCGACATTGTTAATGGGACGGCGAGCAGGACAGCTAGGCTGCTGTAGACAACGGTAGGAGGTACGCCGAGAGTGTCAGATATGTATCCGCTCGAATCTTGAAAAGCAGACGAGAGGTTAGCCAGCGCCCCGTTGAGGTAGGACGTGACGTTTTGTAAGGCACCGGGAGATGCCACGATTTCTTGGGCGGAATCCACCTTGTTCGACGTTTTCTAAGGTGGTCCAAAAAAGGACACCCTAGAGGCAAATGGGAATACGGGTTGCAGCAATTGACCAAATCAAGGTCCGAACAGGAGGAGGTCAAAAGACAGGGCGGTCGGCGATAGAGCTGAGCGACTGGTAATGGTGGTTCTCTTGTGATCGACCCGTGGGCTGATGTGGAGCGATGAGCAAGCAGCAGGACAGAGCCAGGTGGGCTACGCTGTACGACGAACAAGAAGCTTGCGAGGCTTGCAAATGGCAGCAGAAGGCGACGATCAACGACCCTTGGGCCAGGGTCTTCCTAGTGATAGTCGACAGCGAGCAACAGAGGCTAGAAGGTATCTAACCTGTCTCGTCTTTGCGCGACGAGGCGAGTTGGTAGTGGGGGAGGTCAGATCAAGTGACTCTGGTGATACAAGGCGAGACTGGGCAAACGGGTGTATCGGGCTGGGCTCTATTTGCGGTGCCACTGGTGAGGGGCTTAGGCGTCGGTGCAGCCCAGATTAACAACGTCTCTCTTTTTTTGTTCTCTCTTGCAGCTAAGCGTAGGTACCGGTACCGAATCGTGAGTTGATGATGACGGGGGGCGACGCAATGCAAGAAACCGGGCAGCTTAGGGGATACCTAAAGACTGCAGACGTGACAGCGGCGATTGGTGGAGATGGGGGCGGAGTACAGCAAAGTACATGTACAAGAGTCGCCCCAAGAAACAAATCGAATGCAAGAAATATGCGCTGCAGACTTTGTTTCTTTCCTTTTGGGAATAGCGAGAGCTTGTGCGTCGTTGCACCTGTGCTTGTGTCGCAGTTGATGATGGATGGTGAAAAAAGTCTAGGAAGTCTTGCAAAAGGGAGAGGCCAGATTTGGGTTTCTAAATTTGATGATCTGGACCCCTCCACTGGTTTAATCTCAGCCAAGAGCCGCACGGGGAAATGACAACGCCTCTTCCAGGTTCATGGCCTGACAATTGGCAATCGAAACCTGGGGGAATGTGTCAGACTGTTCTAGCGGGAAATGGTAGGTAATTAAGGGGTCTCCAAGCGCTAAGAGTTGAGGTTGTCTCTACAACTTCAACTTCGAAGTTATAAATGGGTATATTGAATATGAATAACTGGAACTTTGGCGATAAAGACTGTAGTAGCTGAGTTCAAGCCGTTGTCTTAAACTTTTGACATCCTGCTGTAAGAAACAGAGCTAAAGTCAGGCATCAGCTACATCATGAAGTTTGTCAGTGTTTTCATAGTGGGTATGTTCAGAGCCACCTGAGACCTGTCTTAGATCATTTGATACAAAGTCTGAGCCAATGGCCAAAGAGAACTGGAGTTCGAAACCCATAACGTAAGTCACGATCCGTTGTCAGACGATTGTTGCTTGAAAGCTCCGGCCCCTCTTGAGTGGAGGTTTGACGATGCTATCATGACTAGTAGAACCGATGGACCACCGTAGACTCTCATTGCTCGAGAAGCCTGAAGCCTAAGACTATAAAGAAGCTTAAGGCATCTGATAACTCTAGACTGAGATGAATCTGATCTTATAGTTCTTATTCAGTGTCCAATTACTCGGCTCCCTTTCAACTCAAATGTTTTAAACCTCGCGTGTTTACATGATTGGCTTCGCTTACCCTACTCCAAGTTTTCTGCATCAAGTGAATTGCTTATTAAGAACTATTAGCAGAGCGTCTAGCAAAGGTAAATGAAACGACCTAAACGTTCTTTCGAGCTTGGATCCTGTTATCATGTTCCATGATGAGTGATCATTCGGCTTATAAATGCAAGGATTCGCCGGCAGTTGCTTGTTCTCACGCAGCATAAGCACTTACACAACGCTGACTGAACAAGTCTAAACACCAACTGGAATCATCACGCCTTCCTTAAACTATATCTATAAGTGATTACATTCAAAGACAAATGTATCGCCAATATTCAGCTGCACAGCCGAGGCGATGATGAATGAAGCACCTCATCACAATGATTCCAAAAAGCATGATTACCTAATCCTGGAAACCTAGCTCATTGCATCATCGCATTTTTCATGGTTGCCGAGTTAATTCCACTCAAAAACGCCCATGACAAAGCAAACTCGCCTTTCACAGTCCAGCATTACAGCCCAGTACAGCCAAATCAGCCTCTATCTGACGTAGAATAAATACCTCCACCCCACTTTCCCTTCTCCTACATCAAAGCCTCTCGCTCTCCTCTATGAATTTCTTTAGATCATTCTTCACTCGCGCAACAAGCCCAGGCACAATGACTCAAGCATCTACCAAGGTTCAGCAGCTCATTGACAACAACTCTGTTGGTACGTTATCTCTGTTTTGTGCCCCGCGCTGGACCCCTGCTAATGACCCCTCGTAGTTGTCTTCTCCAAGTCGTACTGCCCTTACTGCAAGCAGACCAAGAAGACTCTGGATGAGCTCAACGCCGAGTACGAGCTCCTCGAGCTTGACGAAGTTTGTAAGTTTTACAGTTCTCAGCCATTGCATCAAGTAACGGTCTCTAACGCCTTATAGCCGACGGTTCTGCCCTCCAGGACGCTCTTGAGCAAATCTCTGGCCAGCGCACCGTTCCCAATGTCTACATCAAGCAGCAGCACATTGGCGGCAACTCTGACGTTCAGAGCTTAAAGTCTGGTGGAAAGCTTGCTTCTCTGCTCAAGGAGGCCGGTGCCCTGAAGGCGTAAGAAACATCAAAATAAATGTTGGACACGTTGGGCTAAGGGCATACGATGCTTCAGTTCCAAGCTCTAGACATGTCTTTGTAGACCGTATGCGGCATATAGATATCGGTTGCACCTAAGATTAGACGGTATTACCCAGATGAGTTGAATTCATGACCCTTTACAATGACTTGCTGGCTTGTGCCTAGTGATACATGGCTTAATCTCCGTAATGTACATCTTTTTGCTGTGGTTTGACCCTCTCACAAGACCTGGGTGGCAACAGTACCAACAGGTCTCTCGACAAATTCCATGACGCCATTGATGATGTTCTTCCTGGCCTCCTCTGACGCAACCTTCTTACCAGAGAGGTAGTTGAGCCACAGCAGCCTCGAAAGTCGCTCATCCTCAACGGTTCCCAGTGTGGACTTGACAGACTCCTTACGAGTGCCATCAGTATAAGTGATGGTCAACTTTCCAGCAGCATCTCGAACAAGAAGCAGTTCGTTCTTCTTTGCTACCAGACCACGTTGGAACAGGATCTTGAAATGTCTCATGGCATTTCCAAATGTCTCATCATTATACTCCGGGTTATGTGATGAGCGAGCTTGAATAGCCCTCACAAGGCCGTCGCGCATATGAGGGAAGTCAGTATCTCGAACAGGGGTGATTCGGAATGCTGAGCGGCATCCAGCATCCTTGAGAATCGAGTTCCATGTCTCTTCACCCTCGACAGGATCCTGAAGAGCCTTGCGCAGATCCTCCTTCTCAGAAGGAATCAGTGTTGTGGCTAGAGGGTTAATCTTCTTGACCAGATATCGCTGGAGCTTCTCGATATCCTGGGTAGCAACATAGAAGCCCACCACGTACACCTCAATGCCAAGGAAGGTCACTGTCCTTGTTCCCAGCCCAACCAGTGTGAACTCTGTACCATGCTTGTCCGTTACAGCGGCAGCAATTGGGCCAGCAACGTCGCCTGCTGCTCCGGCATCCTCAACTTCTAATCTTCGAGGGAACAATTTGACGGTCTTGTTGCCTGTAGGAACAACCTCATTTCCATCTTCATCGTGAATAACCACTTTTCGCTTCTCGCCCGCCTCGGTCTTGAAGATTTCTGTCGGAACTTCCGTATCGCATTTGATAGCAGCCTTCTCTTTTTCCCCTTGGGCTTCAATGGCCTTCTTCAATTTCCATGCTGTGTAGACGAAGGAAACGATGCCAGCAATGGCACCAGCAGCTAGAAAAGCAGTGCGGTTCTGTTCGTAATCTCGTCGCTTAGAATTGAGCTGATTAACATCGAGGTCATCAGTCAGACGGTTCGATCGCTGGGAGAAAAGAGTCCGTCGGGTTGTTCGAGCGATGGCGCATCTTGTGTGGGCTGATGCGCGAAGCGCAGGGCGGAGAGTTGAGGGACGGAGCATCGTGGCGCTCGCGACGTAATGTTGAACAGACCACTGACTAGATAGCAATCTAAAAGAACAAGTCAACTCAATCAACTACACCAAGTAAATGAGCTTGGTGGTGATCGTCTGAGTTGCTGGTCAGGTACGTGGAAGAGTTCCATACCATACGGAACATACGGGTAAACCTAATCCGAGGAAATCCAATGCTCGCGGGGGGCCCACAAAATGCATCGCCAAGCTTCAGTCCATCTACGTCAGCGATGCCATCGTGAGGGGTCTTACCCTGTACCTTGAGTTTTAGAGGATCAGGTTCAAATACGATAAGAAATCATGGGGCGCGGATATGGTCAGAAGATTTTTATCAGTTTCAGAAGCAGTAGTAATTTGGAACAAGTAGTCAATATATTAGTTCTACACAGTAAGCGTCTCGTTCACGCCAGTATAGGGACACATGAAGCTTCAACGTGATATCAACTAGTTGAAACGTGTATCAGTGTGACCTTTGTGTCATGTGAAACTCAATCATGAAGATGGATTCGTTGGCGAACCTAATTGCTCTTCCTATCATGCATAGGTATTGGAAAAAGACCTGCACTATTTTCCATCCTTGTCATAGATACTGTATATGCGTTTACTTGCATACTTATATCCATTTATCATCGCGTCGTCTATTAATGGCTCAAGCCACCTGCACGGCGGATATTGATTCGTCCTTTCAACCTTTCAACCTCAAATCAGAACATTGATCACACCTCCTTCATGTACTTGATCCCATGTCAGTCATCTTCCCCGCAGCAACAACAGATAGACAGCCCAGAAGGACATGTTGACTGAGGCGTGAACCAGGCACGCGGTTTACTGAAACATCAATCATTCCTCGCATTGAAACCTCATCAAATTCCTGACTCCAACTCACGCATCGTCATCATCAAGATCAAGATCAAGAACAAAACAAAGACCCGCAGACCTCAAACCCCTGACCTAACCAGTCCTGACATACCAAAGAAACCCCACTACGGACATCCCGCCCGACTACGACGTAGGAGGAGATCCAGATTCTAGGCTGGGGGATCAACTGGCCTGGGCTCACCCAATCCATCCTCTATCGGGGCCAGTCTCAAGCTCAGCGCTTGTAAAAAGGGCCATCGTAGCGCACGACAGCGGCACTTTACAGGGGACGCGGCTGAAACCAGCAAAATAAACACAAACGCCTCTTCGATCCATGTCTTTGGTCCATCCCCTCTTCCTCGTGGATACTTGTGCTTCTTCATCATTTGGCTGTGCCATCAGTGCTGTCTTCCCTGCTTTTTAAGTACCGCAGCCGCGCCCAACCTGACCCTGGCACTGGCAAGACTGGAGCCCAGCACCCAAAACCTCCGCCCCATTTGGCTGCCCTGCCTTATTACCTTACCAAGCCAACAAACTCCCAGCGCCAAAACATCATCACCTTCATCGCAGTCGCGAAACACACCTTTCGGGTATGAAAGGACCTTTTTGACCTATAGTCTTATCCACGCATCCACTGATTGCTCGTTACTTCCCTGCACATATCCACTGCTGCTGTACCTACGATAAACAGTCACCCGCTACCGCTACCGCTGCTTAAGAATCACCCTTGTGATCCTGAACTCCGCCTGAATCCTGCCCAAACACCGAAAAACGTTACCCTGAAAGCGCTTCTTTGATCGTGTTTGCGTTTCCATCTGAAGCGCTCCTCCCTCAACACCGACAATATGGCCGCTGCAGCCGCTGGCCCTGCCTCTCGGCAGAGTCCTGCAACCGCCGACGAGCAGGAAGATTCTCGATCGTCATCCTCGTCAACTTCCCCCGCGCCCGCCGATAACGAAGAGTCCGATTTCTTTCTCGGAGCCAACGACTCCCAGTCAAGCATCGGAGTTCCCAACTTTCAAGATATGCAGGTGGAAGATGCTTGCCAACCGCCCGTCCATCGGTTGCCAAACGAGATACTCATCAGCGTGTTTGCCAAATTGAGTTCCACCTCCGATCTGTTCCACTGCATGCTGGTTTGCAAACGCTGGGCTAGAAACACAGTCGATCAACTCTGGCATCGACCGGCGTGCACGAGTTGGAAGAACCACGGCAGCATTTGCCAAACGCTGCAGCTCGAGACACCGTCTTTCAGATATCGCGACTTTATCAAGAGGCTCAACCTCGCCGCCCTTGCTGACAAAATCAGTGATGGTAGTGTTATGCCGCTCGCAGTCTGTAGTCGGGTGGAACGTTTGACACTTACGAACTGTCGCAACCTCACCGATTCCGGACTTATCGCCCTTGTGGAGAATAGCACCTCGTTGCTGGCACTCGACATTTCCAACGACAAGAACATTACCGAGCAGTCTATCAATACCATCGCCAAAAACTGCAGTCGCCTTCAAGGACTCAACATTTCTGGCTGCGAGAATGTCTCCAACGAGAGCATGATCAACTTGGCAACAAGTTGTCGCTATATTAAGAGAGTAAGTTTACGATGAAACTATCTATGTTTGGACGTTGGCTAACTCAATGCAGCTGAAGTTGAATGAATGTAGCCAGCTCCAAGACGACGCTATTCACGCCTTCGCCGAAAACTGTCCCAACATCCTCGAGATCGACCTCCACCAGTGCAATCGCATTGGTAACGGCCCTATAACTTCTCTTATGGTCAAGGGCAACTGTCTCCGCGAGTTACGGCTAGCAAGCTGCGAACTTATTGATGACGATGCTTTCCTGACTCTACCCCATGGACGACTATTTGAACATCTCCGCATTCTCGACCTGACATCCTGCGTGCGTTTGACAGACGCTGCTGTCCAGAAGATTATTGATGTCGCACCTCGCCTTCGCAACCTTGTTCTTGCCAAGTGCCGAAACATCACTGATGTAGCCGTTCATGCTATCTCAAAGCTTGGTAAGAACCTGCATTACGTGCATCTGGGTCACTGTGGCAATATCACCGACGAAGGTGTCAAGAGATTAGTCCAGAACTGCAACCGCATTCGATACATCGATCTGGGTTGCTGTACCAACTTGACAGATGAGAGCGTGAAGCGTCTTGCTCTATTACCCAAGCTGAAGCGTATTGGGCTTGTGAAATGTAGCTCTATCACGGATGACTCAGTCTTTCATCTCGCAGAGGCCGCATTTCGACCCAGGGTACGACGAGATGCCAGTGGTATGCTTGTTGGCAATGAGTACTACGCCTCGAGTCTCGAGCGTGTTCATCTGAGCTACTGTGTCAACCTTACCCTCAAGGTTCGTCGCCCCTTATTTCCAGGATTGCCATTACTGACATTTCACAGAGTATCATGAAGTTGCTCAACTCATGCCCTCGGTTGACCCACTTGAGTTTGACTGGAGTTGCCGCTTTCCAGCGTGACGACTTCCAGCCATACTGTCGACAAGCACCCCCAGGTATGTTTATCGTAAGCTCTTGTTTACTGCTGCTGACCTGATGACAGAATTTACCCAACACCAGCGAGATGTGTTTTGTGTCTTTTCCGGCACTATGGTATCCAAGTTCCGTGATTTCCTCAACACTTCGCCACAATTTGAGGAGCTATGGGACATGCACAGCTGGAATCGAACAGCAGTCTACCCCGGACAACGGCAACGCACTCCCGTAATGCAGCCAACAGCCACTGCCGGAGATGGAGCTGACGATGAGATGGTTGACGACGAGAACGATTTCGAGGGCCTGGACGGCAGCGAGATGGTCGTGGATGCTCAGGCACAGAATCCGGCCAACGGCAACGGAACGATAAATCCCAACGCTCTCATGAACCACGGATTTCAACAAGCTATTCCCGTACCACCTCCAGCTCCTAGCTTCCCAACAGGTCAGCTCCCTCCATTCTTTCCGACGTTCGCCCGCTTCCTGCCTTCATCCTCACTCGCACGACAGGAACCAGGATTGCTTGGGCCAGCTTTTATTCAGAATAGCATTAACAACCTACTAGAAGGCGGAACACCACAGCATACCACTAGCCAAGCGAGCGCAGCACCTCTTGGACACGGGCACCCAGGGAACGGGGAACCCTCGACCGGCGCAAGCACTGCGACTATCCACCGATCTCATGAGAACGGTGACCAACCTGACGCGATGAACTGAATGACCGACACTTTTCTTTAGCTCTAGAAATGACACCACCGGATCCTTTTTGTTGTTCACTTCCCTGTTCATGGTAAGGTCGCTCGACCACAGCGAGAGACGCAACTAACAGCCACCAGCATTAGATTATACGCGCTTTCGTTTACGTACGGAATGGCTAGAGGACACAGGAGTGTATATGGAGTTTTGTGCTTAGCATGCCGTGATTTTCGGCGACGACTTTTGACGGCAAAGACCAAGATACCACAGGACAAAGAAGGAAGCGGGAGGCATGACAATGAGAACTCACGTGCTTTGGTTTTAAGCCCTTGATAGGAGTATAAAGGACCCCTGAGGAAACGGTTTGTAGGGGTTGTAATTTATGACAGTCAAATATCAACGGCCAATGGGTCTATATGCTTATTCATGATTATGCGAGAACCACCCTTGAACTGGTAGTGAGAAGTGATACGTTTCGTGCCCGTTTGTGCTTACAGTGAACTTGTCATTGAAGTATGGACAGCTTCAGAAGGCATTACAAAAGGGTATATTTAACTCTAAACTTAGAAGCGAGTGACGCTTAAGATACACAACAAGCATCTTCCACTCTGACAATTTGAATCGCCCCATATTTCACTCATCTCGACCTTTTAGACCTTCTCCTGACTTGTTCGGGCACTAGCATCAGAATGAGGATGTGTGCTATCAGCCATGTGTCGAGTCATCTCAACATAGTCATAGGCAAACTCGCCCAGCTGGCCATCATCAGTGCCGAGCTCCTCCTCCTCCGCGGAGACACGAAGGGAGAGGCCAGGGATGAGGTTGAGAAGGAACAGGAGAATGCAAGTAAGAGTAAAGGACCAGGCAAAGACGGCAAGAGTACCAGCGATTTGGTAACCCAGCTGAACAAAGTGGCCGTCAACCCAACCAATGGGGTCGTACTCTCCACCGTCGAGAGCGGCAATTGTTTTGCTTTTGTGAGTTAGCAGGTGTCATTGTAGAGAAGGGAAATAGGGAGGCGTACGTTCCAAAGATACCGGTGAGGATGTTACCGACCATACCACCGATACCGTGGATGGCAAAGATATCAAGACTGTCGTCAACGTTGATGAGGAACTTGACCTTGGTGGCGAAGTTGCAGAAGACACCACCGCAGATTCCGATAATGACGGCTGCCCAGGGCTTCACGAAACCCGCAGCAGGAGTGATGGCAACGAGACCAGAAATGGCACCGGAGCAGAAACCGATAGTGCTCCACTTCTTCTCGAGACGGTAATCGAGGAGGATCCAGGCAATGGCACCGCATGATGCAGCCAGGTTGGTCACGTAGCATGCCATGACGGCACGGATGTTCATGGCGAGAGCAGAACCGCCGTTGAAACCGAACCAGCCGACCCAGAGGAAGACCGTACCGAGAACAACGTGGGTGACGTTGTGAGGGCGGTAAGGAAGACCGTTGTTGTTGGAGTAGCCAGTACGCTTACCCAGCATGAGGGAGTAGGCTAGCGCGCAGGTTCCCGAGGAAACGTGAACGGGACCGCCTCCAGCAAAGTCGTAGCTGGGAAGGTTGAAGAGCCAGCCATTGGCGTTCCAGGTCCAGTAGGCGATGGGATCGTAGACGATGGTGGACCAAAGGAACATGAAGACGATGGCAGGGAGGATACGACCTCGATCAGCAACGGCACCGATTGCAAGAGCAGGACTGGTGATGTTAGGACAGTGAACTGTCAAGTTTTCGAGGGGAACTCACGTAATGGCAGCGAACATGCCCTGGTACAGACAAAAGAGAATATCAGGGAGAGCGGAAGAGCCATTGGGTTGAGCGAGGGTGTCCATAAGACCAAACTGGGTCAAGTCGCCGAGGAAGGAGTTTCCAGTTCGTGAGAAGGTCAAGGAGTATCCCCAGAAGAACCACTGAAAGCTGATGACCGCAACTGATATCATCGACAACAGAATGAGCGTCAAAGCAGACTTGCGACGGGCGAGACCACTGTAGAAGAAGCCGACGCCGGGAATCATGAGAAGGACAAGCACGGCGCTGACAGCGAGGAATGTCAAATTGCCCGTCTAGACATTGTTAGACAACATAACACGATGAGGTGGATTTCGAGAAACCTACGTCGTAGAAGATGTTAAGATCATGCACATGGGTTGAGTAGCCATAGTCGGCATGATCAGTGGTGCCATTGTAAGGAGTTGTCATCTTGACGAGACTGCGCTTGAGACGCGGATTCTTGGACCCAAACCTTTGCGCCGGTCGAACCTTTTCAGCTTCAACTTAAGCTGGGAAGAATGGAGTGATTGAAGGATGAAGAGCCCGGGGCCACAGGGCTAAATATGTTTTGACTTACTGAGCTTGCGACGACGGCCAGGACATAACGAACGTGGTACCAGGGGGAGGGTATGGCACATAGTGTGGGGGATACTTGATAAGACGCCCGTAGCTTAAGCAGCAATAGGAAGGATACTCCACCACATGTTCGGTTTGGACTTTGGTGAATCCGTATTTGGATACGGAGATGTCACACGGGTGTTGATGCTCAGGTGCCAAGCTGAGCTAGATGATGATCCTCCACGATCCAAGACTTTGTCCATGATAAGCTTGAATGGATGATCCTGTAACAATGCGTTGACGTTGACTTGACACAACTCGTTTGCGCCAGAAATGAAGTCGTGGTTGTATAAACAGTCCCCTGTATGGCTGTTCCTGAGTCTGGCACACCCATCGCTGCTTATCACACCCAGCATTCCGATCCGGTTGTATTGGGAGGGACGCCACACCCAAGCTTAAATAGGCTGTGCTGATAAGCACCAATATCCCTATAGGACCTCCGGATTGCAACCTCTGCTTGGCAGTTGGTCCGCAATGAATATCTTCTCTTGGCCTAATTGTAGGCATTTGACTCCTTTGATGCACGCTGGGAGGGGAGATTGCTGTCGATATCGGCAGTGTATCCCGGCCATGCTTACTGAGGAACTAAAGGATGTATATCCGGACGGCCGCAATAGAAGTTCTAGTGCTGAGTATGCCATGCTGATTCGCTATTGTTAGACATATTTTAAGCATTTTAAGCTCTAATGTGTTGACTCTGACACGTTGGAATGTGCTCTAAGACCAGAGTTACATGACGAGAAAGCTCCGAGCAGAATAAGCCTCGACACCCTCTTGTGCGACATGCACTCAATATTGCGCTTCCCCAGACGCACCGCATAACCGGCCAAAGTTCTTATCTGACTTCTCCTCAAGGTTGCCGAATTCCAGGTCGAACCGTTGAAGGAGGTCGAATAGAGCATGTCTGATTGGACGTTTCCTTATCTCTTGGCAGCTTCGGTGGAGCGCCTAGCGTCGAGACCCTGGACAAGGACCAGGATCCATGTCCCCAGGTGTCGTGTAGCTCGGCCGATGCTTGATAAAGATAGACATGCTCAAAGTGTGAGCGTTTGAGCCAAATTTGGAGTGAATTTGCTGTCTGTTCGAGACTGCGTATGGTTGAAACTTTGTGTGTCTGACTGTGTTGTGCGAGGTACTGACCTCCTCTCGGGTCAAAGGATCACCGGTGTCACGTAGAATATGGTTGTGTTCCATTCCCAAAGATCTGGTGATAGACATGAAGAAAATAAGCATATCGAGTCCACATGGGCACACGGTCTTCAAGTGACCAAGAATTGATGTGATTGACATCGTTTCCCCGGATTCTCAACTGTCAAAGGTGCTTTGCGCCCGCAACGCCCTAGATTGAGCCTCTGTTGCGCGCGTCAGTATGCGAGTCGCCCGCTTACGACGATAAATATGATCGGGGACCATGTATATAAGCTGGACCTGCGTCCACTGCAAATTGGCAGTTTCTCGAAGTCTAAGCTTACTTCGACGTTGAAGATCTTCAACGACTCTGCCTGAAGTTTCTTGGTATCGACCTTCGCAACTATCGTCAACCGCCTTGAGATATCCATCAGCTCCCACCCAGACGATTGTTCTTCAACCCGAATGGCAATTTCTGAATCATTTCCCGAGAACGAGCAGGCCATGGGAACAACCGGATTGTAATGATTACCAACACTCTTGCATGCCTTATCAGACAGCAAGGACGCCATCAAACTAGGCATTTCGTAACGGTTTCAGCTCATTTCAGCTCCCAGAATACACCACGACGTGATAACCAACTTCATGTGATGATACGATCCAAAGGCCATTGGACAAGTCGAATTGTGCAAAATTGCCCATACCCTTGGCATAGATAAGGAATTTAGAGAAGTTGGAGTGCCGGTTGTGAGCTAGGTCGCCTGTGGCGTCTTTAGCGCAAGATAAGGGATCTCTGCATACCTTCAGCCTTCAGGTAGGACACTCGGCAAATATGCGTGAATGTGCAATTCGGGAGACTTGTAACTCAGAATTGAGTCCGGCGCAGTTATGCGGTTTGATAATGGAGTGCAGAATCGGATTTCGGTGCATGCGTGGTCACAAAAACGGGACTCAGGTATCTCAGTTGGGTATCTCTGTTGATAGTATTCTGGCATGATTAGACACATGTCTTTCATGCGTGATATGGCATACTTGACCGTGGTCAAATAACGACCATTCTGATTGCCCGTGACCTTGTTTCGAGATTGGCCTGAAAACAGAGCTGTAATGTTCCAGACTGCACTTGCGTCTTGCTTTTCTTGAGACAAAACGCTGTTACTGGCGCACCAGAATTCCGGGGTTGCATCGTCGCAGTTGATAGGACCCTGTCCAGGTGGTCGAATCATGTCTTGAGCTCAGCCTTCCATTCTTTTTCCAGCTCAACAAGGCACTCGGCAACTTTCCATGGTGCTTCCTCTTCTAGAATTCTCCTTTTGTCGCTTGATATCCGATCAAGAACGTAACGGCTAACGGTCTCTGGGTCCCTCTCCGCTGGTCGTCCAATCCCAACTGCAATTCGTACAAACGGCGACGTTGGGTATTTATTTTGCGAAAGAGATCCCTTGACACTTTTGATACCATTGTGACCTTTGTGACTTCGGTCCCACGCCGTGAGCCGCACAATGCCCAAGTCCTTTTCGAGTTCATCGTGAACAATCACTAGACTGAGTGATGAGGGGTCATGTTGATTGGTCATTTCTTTCCACGCCTTTGCAACAAAACGTCCAGAGATGTTCATCAGAGTAGGCGATTGAACCAGGGTGTATTTTGGACCTTGAGATACCAGGCATGTCTGATTTCCGAAAGTCACCTCTCGAAACGAGGGTTGACGCAAGACTTGAGCAAGGCCATTGAGAGCGAAATGACCGGCAGAATGTAGACTTTCGTATCTGGGCAAGGGATTGCCCAGACTGACAACGAGAAAGCGAGGATTAAACATTCTGACGCGGTATCCAGTATCGAAACGCAGATCAAATTCTTTCCTTCCAATTCAACTCAGGCCTCCACGCGCGATCACGTGCATCGAATTGTAGAGCTCAACACAGCCCCATCACTGACGTCGATCAGCCGATTGGGCTGCTAGGCACTACAGACTAGTGTGGCTGAGCTCCAGTTTTGTCGTCACTCTATCCCCAATTTCCATGTTTATTGCCTGCCAACTCCTGTGCAACTTTACAACGATATACCCTCGAGCGTATTTGAGCCCTTTCGTCGAATTACACACGTAAACGAAACCAGTTAATTCATTTTCTACCAGCAATTCTTTCAATATGTCGTGGGCGGGTAGGACAGCCATCACCCCGCAATCCCGAGCAGAGGGGTCTAATATGAAGCAGGGTTTAAGAAGAATGTCAATCGCGCGACGACGCAGGTGATGATGAAGACGGGTATGCGCTTCGGATGAAACACTCGAGTGTGGAGCTGATTGCGTTGCAGGGCATGTGGAAAAGACGAATGACCGTGATTACGAAGTCGAAGAGAGGTCAGCAATTGCAAATTCATTGGAAGACGACATCTAACAGAAACAGACGATTCAAGACTATGGAAGCTGCTGCTTTGCGACTACAAAAGGAATCAAAGGGATATCTCGACTCCCTGAGAGGTACGCTCATGATCTGCGACACATGAAGCTCGATGCTAAACCCCGAACCCAGCCATGACCGCATCACAAATGCGAATCGCCGAGACGATAGATGCGTTCTACGGCGACTCAGGCGCGAAAGACGGTGTCAGCAGAAGTTACAAGCAGGCCGTCGAAGATCTAGACGCCGAAACCATTAAAGCCCTCGATGGCCCCTACCGAACAACCGTTCTCGACCCCATCACACGGTTCTGCGCCTACTTCCCCGACGTCAACGAGGCGATTAAGAAGCGCGCTCACAAACTGCTTGACTACGATGCCCTCCGCGCAAAGGTGAAGCGCCTCGCCGAGAAGCCCGACAAGGACGCCACGAAGCTGCCCCGAACCGAAAAGGAGATGGAGATGGCCAAGGCTGCTTACGAGCAGCTGAACGAGCAACTCAGCACCGAGTTACCCCAACTTATCGATCTCCGAGTGCCGTACCTTGACCCCACTTTCGAAGCTCTCGTCAAGATTCAGCTGCGTTTCTGTGCAGAGGCGTATTCGCGCATGGCACAAGTACAGCAGTACCTGGATGCTGACACTAGAGATCAGTATGCCGAGGGACAACTAGACGCCAGAGTGGAGCAGGTGTTGCAAGAGATTCGGGAGTTGAGCATTAGTGGCACGGTCTAGGCTTTGGGTTGGCTTCTACGACTTATCCGGTTGGGGGAACGGCGTATAGGTGCTTTCTGCTTGTAGATACTTGCCAACGTCATGAATATCATGCACAAATAGACATAGTCCATTGCGGGCTTATGGAAACGCATGCTTGTGTGCAGACCGCTGTAACTCTACATTATTGGGCTTTTGTGCCTTGCCTTTTGGGCGAAAACTGTGCAAGTACTAACTATTGGGGCTGCTCTAGCCCGTGACCATGTCAATGCTGAAGTGGTTGATTACATTCCCATGTTCCCCAAAACTGAAAAGTAGTTCCCTGTATCGTGGAAGCTCTACTCTGTGTCAACTTCGGACTCTGACCCCGGAGACTCTGACTTCTCAGACTTTGGAATATCAGACACCGATTTCACCCGCTCCAACTCATCTGGCTCCGACTTCTCAGATTCGCTTTTCTCTGTATCGGAGTCCTCAGGTACCTCTCCTTCCATAGGTTTAGATGGCTTCCCTCGCTTTTCGGGCCTTTTCGACACCACTGAGCCCCCAGATCTGACTGAGACCTCAGACCTCATCGAGACCTCGGGTCTCTTTGACTCCTTAGATCTCTCGATCTTCGATTCCTCAACCTCAGGTTTCTGACGCATCTTGGACGACACCTAGTGTCCAATATTGAGACCATTTCCTGACCCGAACAGATCACTCAGACTCAGCCTCTTACCCATCGCCTGCATAGCTGGACCAGCCTCCGGGCCTTGTGGTTCAACTGGACCAGCAGACCGTGCAATTTTCCAAGCTTCCTGGATTATGGCAGCGTTTACTTCTCGTGTTTCGTCCTTATCGTTGTGAATCCACACTCCCAGTACCTTGTCACCCTCCTGCCATTCGCCCTCGACCTTCATAATGACGAGCTCTCCAGACACCTCTGCATGTGTGACCCGTGAAAGGTCCACGATCACGTTGTCAAGCCCTCGTCTGTTGAGTACAAACACGCAAGCTCGTGGTCGCTGGCCTGGATCCTCGGGGAGCGGACTCTGCGCGCAGACAAACATGGTGCCTTCGACTCCTGACTTCTCCCAGCTTTCTGAAGCGCTGTTGAATGTGTAGATGACAGCGTTGGCGGCTATGCTGAGAATGGTGTGGATGGAGGGGAGGTAGCGTTGGAGGACAGAGAGATTAAGCTCGGTGTTTGTGCGTGGAGGTGGTGGCGCGTAATCAGCATGTATGGCAGCGGCATCGGATTCATAATCTGAAACGGCGGGGATACGGTTTGAAGGCTGACGGCTGTGGCGAGCCTTTCGTGGTGTTTGTCGACTCATGATAATTATTGTTGTTTTGATGTTGGGCACAATATGTATGTGGAGGCGTGATCGCTAGTCGGAAATAGTCTTGTCACAAATGATAGATTAAGACCGATGGGTCATGTACGTATGATATCAGGACCCCAGAAGATGATCGTGTGATCGACAGTTGGTCATGGTATGGAGATTGAAGTCTACTCTTTGACAAGACTGAGTGCGCATGCTTGGGCGCTGCTAGGCTTATCGATAAGGCGCAAGATGACGCTGCCGCGGGGCGCTGAGCTGGACCCTAGGTTCCTACACCACCATTTTAGACTACGGTAGCAGCTCGACGTCATACGTTTAAGCTGAGGTTTATCTCCCTTTTTACCCCTTCTTCTAATTAGCTCAACATTCTTTTGGTGCTCACACGACCCAAATATCCCTTGCCTTTCGCCTACGGTAGAGCTAGGTTGTTCGAAGTCATGATCTAGAGAACTACAAATCGACCTCCCCGCGATATCTCGAGACGGCGCCGTATATATAACTCGTCTCTCTCGTCTAATACTGTAATAACGGCGTCCATGGCCGACGAAAATGACCAGTCCCCTGGTTCTGAACTGGGGGATCCTACCTCGACGACGCCTCAGTCTCTAGCTAAAGCTGTTCATGCCCGACGATCGGAGTTCGTGCGTCCACACAGCCTAAAGGTCAAGATCGGGACGTGGAACGTTGCTGCGTGCACGGGTACTGATAAAGACCTCGCGACCTGGTTCACACACGGCGAAGGCTTGGATCAACAATTGACGTCACTGAATCTCTCCCAAAATAGCGCCGTGGAGACAGACGACAAGGACAATGGCAGTTCGAAGCCGCATTTGACTGCCGGGGGTGATATTGGTCTTTATGTGCTGGGACTTCAGGAAATTGTAGACCTCAACACGACCAAGGAGTATATGAATCGAGCAGTATATACGGATACAAGTGTTATGGACAAATGGAAAGCGGCATTGGAAGCAGCATTGCCTAAAGGATACGAGCTTATCACTGCGGAACAAATGACTGGCTTGTTGCTGTTGGTTTATGCTTCTCCAGAAATTGCACCAACCATTAGCAACGTCAGTACCAAACAAGTTGGTACGGGCCTGCTAGGCTATTTTGGAAACAAGGGGGCCGTGACGACGCGATTGCTGCTTGGCGAAACAACTCGCATGGTTTTTATAAATAGCCACTTGGCTAGTGGTGCCGGCTCTTCGTATTTAGACCGGCGATGTTGGGACGTCGGCCAAGTTCTCTCACGTACCCAATTCGACCCAATCGTTCATTCAGGCGTCGAGGAAGACGAGGGTGAAAAGATTGGAGATGAAGATCTTGCATTCTGGTTTGGAGACCTGAACTTTCGACTTGATGGACTACCTGGCGACGATATTAGACGGTTGCTCACGCTGCATGCTAGAGGTGAATATGGAACAGATGAGGACTCGAAGCCTCTTGATGAGCGAGGCGTTATTGTCATGAAGGGTTCGGACAGCGATGATGAGTCTTCTACGAGAGTGTCGCTACATTCGCGGGAAGAGAGCTTTGATACCGCGAGCGATCTACCAGATCCCGACGATTTCCCCGAAGACCCAAGCCAGGATCCCACTTCTCTGCAGGCCACCATCGATTCATTGTTGCCACACGACCAATTACGAAGAGTTATTAAGCAACGAAAAGCTTTTCACGATGGTTGGCAAGAAGGGGCAATTACCTTTCTACCAACATACAAATATGATATTGGTACAGTTGGCCTCTTTGACTCAAGTGAGAAGCAACGAGCTCCAAGTTGGTGTGACCGTATTCTATTTAGAACACGAAAGGATAAACAAGATTATGAAACAAAAGTTAAAGATGAGGAAGAGGCGAAGAAGAAAGATGAAGAGATGAAGTCCAGGGGGCTCGAAGAGGATGAGGACGTGCTATTTAGTTATGACCCCGATGCTGATGGGGAAGACCCAACGTCATCAACTGACACTTTGGGATATGACGAGTACGAGGATAATGATGATCCTGAAGCTGAGGAACTTGTTACAAAGGAGGGCTTCCGTGATCGCATAAACTTGGAGATTTACGCCTCGCATCAACGCATTACATCGTCTGATCACAAGCCCATCACTTCTATTTTCACGCTCGACTACGACGCTGTTGTACCGGATCTCAAAGCAAAAATCCACGCAGAAGTGGCGCGAGAACTAGACAGAGCGGAGAATGAAGGCCGACCAGGCATTACGGTTGTCGTGGAAGGCAGCGAGGGCAATGAAGAGAATATCGTCGATTTTGGAGAGGTTATACCCCTGGAAAAGCAGGTTCGGCACCTGACGGTTGCAAATACTGGCAGTGTTCCCGCGACGTTCTCGTTCGTGACGAAGCCGACGACAGAAGACGGTGACGATGCTGTCCCTGTATGGTTGAAAACGACATTCTTGTCAGCCGATGAAGAGTCTCAAGAGCCATTGGGCGAAACAGTCACACTCGATCCAGGAGAAACAGCATTAGTGTTGCTAGAGCTCCAAGTCTCGGCCATTTCTCACATCCGGGCATTGAACGAAGCCCGCGCCAAGATCGAAGAGGTCCTGGTTCTTCGCATAGAGGACGGTCGGGACCACTTCATTCCCGTGCGCGGAATCTGGCAACCGTCTTGTGTAGGGCGCTCTATCGCAGAGTTGATAAGAATCCCTGACGGCGGTATCAGAAAGTTTGTCGAGAAGAAGGGTATCAAGGGGGCCATTGCTTACGACTCCGATATCCATTGCTCAGCACCGAAGGAGCTTTTCAAGCTTACTGAGGTGGTACAGACGCTTGTTGAACGAAGTCTGGCTGAATCGACGATGCTTGAGGAGGAAGTGCTGCCGCGGGATCCTGGATGGCCCCTTGAGGCTTCGACCTGGAGAGTTGGCGAGGCTGATATGCAGGATGCAAAGGTCAAACTTGTGTCTGCTCTGGATAATGATGATTTTCTTCTTGATGCGCTCCCATTGGAATGGCCTGCGTCGTTCAAGCTGGAGGTCGTCTCTTCCATCCTGTTACTCTTCCTCGAATCTCTCACGGATGGTCTGATCCCTACTCAACTCTGGGCCAAGATCTCAACATCGTTACCCAACGTGACATCCTTACCCATGACCGCTTGGCCCGACACCAAGACACAGATCCTGGATATTCTCTCATCAGCACCTAACCATAACATTGCATTCGTCTTCCTCACAGCTACTCTGTCCCGGGCAGCATCAGAGCTCACGCCTGTGACAAACGAACCCAAAGGTGGTCTCTCCCGCCGTCTAAGCTTCCGCCGCGGCAACGCAGAGGATGAGGACACCAAGAAGCGCAAGATGCGTGAGCGTAGATATGCCGAGATAGTAGGGCCTCTGGTCTGTCGTGTAGATGAAAAGGAAAAGGGGTCAAGGGATCGAGCGCGGACTGTCGTGGAGATGTTCCTACGGCGGGATGAGGGAAGCTAGAAGCGGAGGAATCGCATGATACCGTGGAGCATCTGAGGATGACGGGAGGGTTAGTATCTGGTCTTTGACTTTTTGAGTATTATATCAGCTTAGCTTTGTTTCGATGTATTCTTTAGGGGTGACAGGGATACAACAAAGGGATTAGAGGACGTGGCTTGGACAGTAATGAAGTCGAACGTGTGAACAACAAAGATTAATGGACATTGTACAGTTGATATGAAATTTTGGGGCCTTTGCGGTGCAGATTCTAGCTACTTTTTGTTGCAGTTTCTTCCCCACCGGCAGAACAGCAGCGAGGGAAAACACTGCACCTTTTCAACCAAGATATAAGTCTCACATACTACGATTGATGAGACTAACATGTCATTACACAGGTGGTATCATGTTAATTTCAGTACTTTTCTAGAAATTGAAATGGTTCAGTGACGATTGAGGTGATAAAGGCGAAGTGGCTGCTCCAGGCCTTTGCTCCCATTCCCGCTAGGGCACTGCCATGTTCCCCCTCCAGCCACACCAAGCCCCCAAGCGTGCCATTTTGCCTCTATAGCCCAAAAGAACATGCTCTGTAGACAATAGCAGTTCTACTCTCTACTTCTTGTGCCGTTTTACATGTCTCGTCGGCCGTTTGTCACTGGCGTTGGCATCACATTCAGGAACTCATCTTCTCTTTCCCTGATGCTCAGTAACTCGCTTATAATAAGTGTTTGCTGGCTCCCGTGGCCACTTCTGGGCGTGTAGTCAGCTGTATCTTATCGATAGCTTGCGAATAAGTGCTTCTGCCCTTTTCCCTCCGCGGGTTGTAAACGTAATCTCGACCTTGCATCTCGTTTGCACTCTGCGACTTCGCTCTTCTCTCCCTCCTACACAAACCTTGCCCTCTCACCTCCCACCTCCCACGTCGCTTTTTGCTTTTTCTTTTCCATTAAAAACACAAGAATCATCATCTAGAACGTTGTTTTGTTCTCTATCTTTTTGATCGCATTACTTTCGTGACCTGGAGCTCCGACTCCTCCATCACCGCCTTCTCCAGTTGATCAGGTATTTGTGCTCTCCTTTTGCTCGACGAGAAGTGTTTAACCTTGCTTCAGACACACTCAAACATACCTGTGGCCTGGTTTCCATCATGTCGCTGTGGGGGCAGAGGTTCCATCATACGGCCAAGATGTCGGAGCCGATCCGAGAACAGGCACTCAGGAATGGGTACAAGAAGCTTGACTTTCTCGTTACTCTTCGAAATCAAGCCATTATGTATGTGTCGTCTGAAGATATCGGCAGATATGCTTCTTTCGTCCACCTGCCTCCGCCAACCCCTGACGAGGCTGAGAGTCTCCGCGAGACATCATCGGAGTAGGACACTGATGGTGATGAAGCAGGCTCGGACTCGTGGGAGCATGGCTCGGCGGGTGCTAGTGAAGCCACCACCGAGCATGAGTCTGACCAGGAGCAAGAAAACAACGAAGAGGACCCTTGGGATGCCCAAGCTTCAGCAAGCGCTGCAGCCGCGGATGAGCTAGACGCCATTGACTCGCCAGACGACACTGGTTCTGGCGAGCCCGCTGAAGATGATGACACCCGAAACGATACTGAGGCCGCCGAGAAAGAGGCCTTCGATCGTGACATGGTCATACTGGCCGCTGCTATTGCCAGCGGCCCCCCTCCTGCTGAGAGCAGTACAACTTCCAACGCCGCTGAGGCTTTTACCATCAACATCACGACAGCAGAGGGTTCGGTAACTACCAACAAATGGCTTACAAATGGCCCTGGAAGCAACGAGGGAAGCAAAGGTCGGTCTTCGGGTCAGTCTATGGACGTTGACACCGTTTCGCCCACTGACACCGAGGGCACCAACCCCGAGTGGCTCACGAACACCCCTGGTTCTCCCTACGACAACGAAGCGACCACCTCTTCCAACAACGGGAACAGCCCTAGCCAGGCTGATGAGGGCTACGTTACTGTGGCTCAGGAAGATGGTGACGCAGACGCCGACTCTGACAGGGAGGTGGGGGACAATCCCGCCCGGTCCAACAACATCCACTTCCCTTTTTACATGCGACCAAGCACTCTCTTCGATACTCCTCCCACTTGGGCGGAACAGTACAAGAAGTTTTTCGACAAAGCCTTCGAGGTCTGGAGTGCGTTTTTCCACAACCGCGCACCCAGACCACTCCGGGCACGACTCGAAGATCCGCGTACGCACGAGGCGGCGGTCAAGAGATACAATCTGATCAATCTGGGCCTCTACCCTTGTGTCACTATAGACCATCTCATCGAGCTGAAGCGTCGTATTGGCGATGTTGCCCACTTCTGTGATTGGATGAAAGGCAACATGCGGGAGATCGAGTTTGACAAGGACTTGAGAAAAGACATCATCCACACCTATCCCTCCAACTCACCACTTCGACTTCGGACCAGAGGCCTCGGAAGTTCTCTGCGCTACGTGACCCATGTCGGCGAGGGTTGGGCTGACTCGGAGGACAACTGGGGAATGCCTCCTCCCATGAAGAAGCGAAACCTGATGCAGTTTCATTCGTCACAGAACACAACTTGGTAGAAAATGGTGGGATTCTTTTAGTTGGTTCGGGGAAGAGAACAGGAGACCACAGGAGACCGACACAGATTTAAGAGATCTTGACCACACTTAGATGGCGCCATAACTTTTGTTTCGAGTTTGTTTGGCGTACAGGAACATAGGAAGCACAGCGAGCTTGGAGGCAGCGATTACTACAGGAAGCAGAGGAGGCCTGGAGTCAGCGGTTTTTTACAATACTTGAGTCTCCAATTGGAGCTAGAAATGGATCAGCATATCGCTTTCGTAGAATAAAAGCTGCTTAGAATACTCTATTGTGGTCTTCGTGTAAAAGTGTATGTTTATTCGAGCCCTCATGCGTCTATCGATGCTGGGCGTTGTACCATTTTCCCCACTCTTCCACCGCTGGAAGCTCCTCGAATGCTGGTAATACTAAAAGTCATGTGGCAAAAGATTCGTATCTGTCGTTATGTTGTTGATCCAAGCCTCGTATCGTACGTTCTCGTCGAGTGTTCGGTTCGCTTCATCCTTAGCCGGCCGCAGCGACAGCCGTCGTGACAGACATGAGCGTTGACTCGGGTTCTTGTTCGCTCGTATACGTCGGATGCGGGCACCATTTCTTCTCAAACATCTGCGATACCCAATACAAAGAATGATCCCAGTCGTACTTGTCCTGTTTTCCTGCGTAGCGAATGGATCCGGCGTCGTGTTGGAGAGTAATCTTTGGAACTACACGGTTGGTTAGCACTAATATGCCGTATGGTTGAGTTTTCCCTGTCGCAGACCTTTTCCATTATCCCTCTTGTATTTCTTCCATACCAGAAGGTGTTTCTTCACCTCTGGGTCCTTGAGATTCTGTTTCACAAGGTGCCGATCCTTGGGTGCCAGAGTCTCAAAGTGGTCATTTCTTCCTACGCCATTAGTGAGGCCCGACAACCGAGTAGTCGGCCACTGATCACAGTTGTAGTAATGCCAGTGGATGAGAATATTATTGCAGCTGCCATGGAGCCCCTCGACAAAGTCTGGGATCGAGTATCGCACCTGTTACGTTAGCTACGTCCTTTAAGGGTCGAGGCCGCCATACACTTGATCCATAGTTAGCTCTCGCATGCCGATACCGATCTGCTGTCATGCGACTCGCTTCGCGCAGGAGTATGAAGACGACGAGGTAGACTGTGAACCACCATCGATTCTTGTCCTGGCTGAATAGCCAATCGATGTCGCGTAGGAGCTTCTCCTTGTATCGCTCGAGGACCTCATTGTAATTGAGGGTGTCGAATTGGGCGACTATCATGCGAGGGACAGACACTTTGCCGTAGAGAGGGTAGGATTTGTCTTCGGTTTCGGGGAGCATGCCTAGTGTTTCGTTGCCTTCGATGTAGAGGGATCCTACAGTGTGCTCTGGGCGGGATTAGAGTGGGATGCAATTGAGATGAGCTGAAGAGGAGCACTTACGGATGGCGCACCAGAGGATAAAAAGGTTGCCGAATATCTCAAGCTCTTTTTCATCGTCCCTCGAGAGCTTTCCGCCGGATTTATGTTCATTCTGCGAAGCAGTCAGCGTAAGGCTCGTGTCGGGACTCAATCGGCCTACGTGAAGGTCCAAATACCGAGCCATGGCCGTGAGGTACGTTCTGATGATGGGCCGTTCTCCAGCTTCTGATTCACTCTCCTCTTGGATAGTGTGATAAAAGGCTGGAAGAGCATTGTCAATGGTGTATTGTCGCACGCTTTCGGCCGTGTCGTAGATATTTTCAAGGCAGTAGTTGGCCAGCTCCTTCTTCTTGAAGATCACCTTCCCGAGAAGGCCATCAGTCCAATATCGGGCAGTCACGTCCCCGTCAATGGGTCTGAATCGCACAACATTCATACGAAGAGGTTTACCACAAAGATTCTGTGAGACTTCAATCGTGACAGCAACCGTATCAAGTCGATCCCCAATATCTCGCATTTCGATGCCCGCCCATCGTCTCGTGAGTTTGAGCCCGCCGCTTCGATAAAGAACGACGTCGGCAATTCGGAGTCGCAAGCATGGAACGCGATGGATTGTCTTTGGCGACGTCTTCGAGAACCTCTTGCATGTTTTGCATTGTCCTTCTGGGTTGTTCTCGTCTATAAGGCACTGTTCATTTCATGTTAGTGTGAACAATTGTGGGACAGAGAGAATGTGTACTTTGATTTTTTGGAAGCGACAACGAACACAAGCGCCGATCTCTCGTGTGATTCGTACAACCTCACGTTCCTCGAATGTGAGGCGACATCTTCCAGAGCTACTTGCTTCGCTTGGGGAAACGATGCCGTTTGTTGAAGATGATGGAATATTCAAAGTAGGCGACTCTTTTTCGTCTTCGATTTCAACATCAGTGTCGCGAGCGTCAGAGATATACCCAATCTCTTCTTCCGACACCTCGTCGTCGTCGGATGATTCGTTCTGGGGACTGGCCTCTTCATCTGAATCATCGTAATCTGAAGGGGATGGATAAATGCGACGCTCCCAACTGGACACGGCCGAGGGACCAGCATGTGTCTCGAAGCCGTCAGAGTCCGAGTGATCGGCTACAACTTCGTCGAATTGTCGAACAAGATCATTGTCTACATTTGACTCTTCATTACCTTCTTCTGGATCTTCTGGCTCGACAATCCGTTCATCATTACCTATTCTGTTGCTCCCACTAAAACCGCTACATGTGTCATCAAAACTTTCAGTATCGTCTTCATCGCTTGTTTCATAGTGATGATTGGGTTCCGGGGAGTGCGCAGTGGCGACGACGCGTCGAATGCCATTCGGAGGGGTTCCCGGAGCGCTACCGTTATCATGGCTTGTATCCGGTGCAGGGACATCTTCAGCAACCTGCCAGTCTTCAAGATCAGAATCCTCATCTTGAAGTCTGCTAGCAATGACCCGGTCTCTTGAGGGCGAGCCAGTGATAGGTCTTCCAGGGTCGATGGACAGCAAATCATTGAAATCGCTCCCTAACTGATCAAGGATGTCTGAGTGATCTGAGTCGTCATCATCAGAGTTTCGACCGAGGCCAACCTGAGCTTGGACTTCTTGACTCGGGGAGTCTCCCAGCGTCTCCGGAGAGAGTAAAGAGCCAGGTACATCTTTCGCACCCCTCCTCAAGGGGAAATCTAGCTCTAGGTCTGTCCTGTCCGTCCGTAGCTGACCCGCATCGTCACCAGGTGGAGAGATTAACTGGGTGCCATTGACTGAACGAGAAGCTTGTTCATTTGAAGAAGTATCAGAACAAGTACCTTTGTCCAGAAGAGATACTTCTGGTGGGGGCTGGCTCCGGAGTGTCTGACTCGAAGGTTGTCCAGAAGCAGGATCCGAACACTCGCTAGAGCTAGAACCGGAGCTGGAATCGGAGTCTGAAGCTGAACTCTCGGGGCTTAATCCGTGTCCGGATGGGATAGTTGCATGCAGAGGGGTACCATGACTTCCATGGCGTGGATTTTCTTGTTCAGATGATGTTGAGAGAGGAGATTCGGGTGATGAAAGAGCCTGAGGAGGACTCCCCAAGCCCTGAACGTTCACAGCTTTGACACTCCCACCAGGATACACGCCCCCTGTGTAAGTGCCACTAGAAGTGGCATTGTCTGACCTGGGGTGTCCGGGTTGCTGAGCACAGTCTGGCGATACACTTGACTGTGACGAAGAGCCTGGATCCTGCCGATTCGCACGTCCAGGCTTCGACACTTCTCCCGACACACGATCTTCGTTATCTGCATAACCGTTAGAACTGTGTCAGTGCCACTGTCGAATCAACACTTACCACTATCAAATCGCTGTTGGTTCAAGCTCGAGCGGTGACGTTTTCGTTTCGGCCCAGCGCCCGTGCCCGTATTCTGCCGTTTCCGAGTTCTCTGGATCGACCTGTTAGAAGAAAGTACCCAAAATATTTAGACAGGGTAAAAAGAATTCATGGCTTGGAAACGGGGTCCTTTCAGTTACACAGCATCGAACCGACACCCACCAACAGGGTCTACTGCACAATTCTCACAGGGGTGCCTTTAGGCGTTGTTCCTAGCGAGCAAAATTGCCGAAGCTGGTAGGCATCCTAATTGCAAAACGTTACACGAATTGAGGCCTGACAGCTGAGCTGAGCTGGTGGAGTCTGGTTCGTTCATCTTCATCCTCTCTCACTTACGTGGATCTCAGCTGGACGAGTAAAAATCTCCATTCTGGCACCTGGGTTCCAAGACCCATGGAGCGCAGTGTCCCGTGCAGACACAGCTGTCAAGTGCATGCGCGTACTTTACCGATATGCCCGATATTGGGGATATCGCTGGCTTGTGAAGCTCAAACTCAAGTCACACGACAGCTCGGCAGAGGTGGTGAAGTGACAACACAGGAGGCAAAATTGCAGCCTCCCTGCGGGAACGTGCCCTGGAATCACCCACTCGTTGCCCTCGAAACCTGATATGAAGGAGGATGCAGGGGCGTCGACGCCTACCAGTCCCTGGCCGTTGTGTGAGACATCCTTGAGGTAATCCTTGCTCGCAGCTGCAGCTTATCATCTTGAGCAACAATCCAAAGTCACAACAAATCAGTATAAATTCCACCATTTTCTTCTCACGAATGTGAGGTTTTACAAAACTCATATCTTCTGGTGTTTAGACCAACTCATGTGGGTTATGGTTCAAGCGTCGAGATTTGCAGCGAGGATTGATCGTCCCTAGTAAGGATTGGATTGTACTGATATCCCTGTCCAACTTGTTCAGCCAATCAGAGATACGACAAGGGGGCTCTACGGACCCATAAAGCTCGTCTTCTGTCCTCGCCGGTTGACCTGAGTGGTCAATTGGTACATACTGTGGGTTTGTCTGGCACGCACTACAAATTACCCGTGCCGAGAGGTCATGGATTGTGACAGTAGTCTATTCGAAATAGCTTCTCCAGAGATGGAGCAACGCCATACTATATGAGCAGCTGGTCTTGTCAGGCACTACAAAAGTTTCAATGGCATTAAGTGTGTGTCTATAGCTGCGAGATGAGAGTAAAGCCACATTCGTGGAATACAAAAGGCAATTGGATATTTCAAGCACAATACCAAACAAAATCACATCCTCAGAGCCACCCAAACAAGCCCCCCGTTCGTGGAGGGTTCCATTTTCAGAGTAGGACAAGGCTCAAATCCTCACGTGAAAGAGCTGAGACATATTATGGGGTAGAACATTTGACAGCTCGACGATCAACCGCAAGTTCGTGACCGGAGAAATTCAAACAACGCGAAAGTGGATAATTAAAGGGCGTGATCGAATGTCTGAGACACGGGTGTTGAGATATCCCATGACATAACAGGGGCCAGTAGGATCGTCAATCTCGAGAGATTGTGCCGAGACATCGAACCAGAACGTCAGCACGGCCCGCAACCGGCTGTTTCTAGTCGACGATATCCACGATGTCACATATGTGTATAGGAGTCGAGATCTGCAGCCTTGGAACAGGTCATGTTTGTGATTCACTTCGGCAGTTGATGGAGACGAAGGCCGAGACGAGGAGGATACTGAAAAAGGACTATGTCATCTCGCAAAGAGTCCGGTTCCTCTCCAAAGTGGAAAGGATCGTGAGATTTGCTTCTGCTGATGTGACTAGAGGCTTCACTTTTCCAACTCTCAGATTTCAACAAGAGAAAAGGAATGATCTTACCGTCTGTTCTCACACAGGGATAACGACTAGCTTGGGGCTAATATAAACTTCAAGCCATTCCCGTGCATATCACTTCTTTAGTTGGTATGGTTTGCTAAGGGCGTCGGTTCTGGCTTCAGTCCTTTCTTATCATCGAGATATTTTATTGTTCGTCGGAGAGGTAACGGTTAAAGTTGCATCGCTTCAATAGTTCCCGGGCAAGTTTACTAGGGGCTGTAGTTCAGCTGACACGAGTAAAAGGGCAGGGATATGATATTGGTGTCATGGTGAAAGGACGCCATAGGTAATAATCTTCTACACTGCTGTCATCGTGCCATGTCATTCCAGAAGAGTTTGATTATATAGTGGTCGATGGGATCATGCTTTGGGATGGCGGGAGGAACGTTCCGTCAACGGTTGTCTCAAACAGACATAAAGATCTGACGATGAATACGAGGACGTGTGAAAAGACGAAAAAGCAAAAGACAGGAATGTGAAAGAGAGTTGGAAGGGGAACTACCAACACGGAGGGTTTTTATCTCAATTCTCACATGATAACGACACGTGACAAGATCTCTCGAGACAACAGCATTGCAAGATGTTGGTTGTATTCTCCAATGAGCGACTAATAGCTAGTATGTAGTCCTGCATAGTGACCTATAGTAGGCTGTTCCTAAGGAAACGACAGTAGATAGACTCTCAAAACCCTTGATAAACCAAAACATGTCATGACTCGGAAATGACTGGGGGTCTCGAACGGAGACAAAATCAAAAAGCGCGGAGTAGTCGGAGAATCATCACTCCTCGTCTGAAGTCTCAGAATTCTCGATCATAAAGGCTGCAGAGCTGGTAGTGTACTTCTGCACAGGGTACTCTACCATGGGCACAATAGGGTAGTGCCTAGCCTTGATCTTGCGGTTCTCCCCATAGGCAGCCTCCCAAGGAGGAAGCATACCGTTAGGAATTGCCCAACCGTACTTCTGGTTACGAAGCCAGAGTCTAACCATGTGACGAGACGAGTTATCGTCGTCAGTGTAGGCGTCTCGACGGTGGACGAGGGCGAGGTTGTTGAAGAACAGAAGATCTCCTGTCTCAAGCTTTAGCTGCAACTCAACACTAGAAGCAGCCTCTGAGACAGCTTGAAGAGCGTGGATTTGAGCCTCTGAAAGAGAGGGAATATTCGAGTTCGTCATACTTGGGTGCGGCCCGAGGCGATGCGGGTCGAGGCTCGCGAGGAGTTTGCCATCGTGGAATGTCAAGACAGGAGCGAGATGATATGAAGCCTTACGGCCCGAACTGTTTGAACCAATTTGTTAGTTTTGTTTCAATGGGTAGAAGGTGCAGTTATCTTACAGCTGGACAGGCCAGTTGGGAGTTAGGAGTGTCTTGATGACTTCTGGCTCTCGGTTGAGGAGGTCGTTGAAGACAGTCCAGGCTGAACTGAGATAGGTATATCCTCCCTTGTTGGCGCTGTCTCGAACTTGAAGGGATAGGATGTCGCATCCCATGTCAGTGTGGAAAGGCTGTAACTAGTAAGTAGAGTAATATTTCCGTGGAGTTGATGTAACCTACCAGAGATCCATTGGTGTGAATACCATGACGCGCGTCGGCAGGAGTCTTCCATTGCTTCGAATCGGTTACATGAGCTGAAAACGTTAGATAAAACTGATGGTTCTTTAATAATAGTATTGGAGGGACTCGGAGTCGTTGAAGGTTTAGACTTCCGGAAACGTACATAGCATGTTACCCTTGCGGTCTTGGAGTCCGCGTTTATCAGCAATGTAGCCAGCTACACCCAAGAAGATAGTAACACTATCCTCGACAGAATATTTCTTGCCATCGATGCCACGAATGACAACAAAGCCTCTTCCAAGGTGAAGAGTCTCGGCGCTGGCACGCAGACGGCGAGACAGGTTTGGAAGAGGGAAATTATCAGGGGAGACTTCGTCGCCGTCGAGTCCAAGAGCTAGTTAGTTTCACCTGTTAGCAACATTTCTTTCCCGAGTCATACGTAGTAGGAGATCTAACTTTTGAAACTAGCGAGGGCGCTGTCGACTTCCTTAGCTTCCTCGATGCTAAGACGGAGAGTGTAAGCTTGGTCCTCCTGATAGTCTGCTCCGGACCAGACTAGGGGACCAGTCAGTGCGGTGTTGGAGGAGTTGGAGTTCTTGATAGGTGATTCCCTGAGGAGTTCAGAGTTTACACCAAGAACGCCATCATTGTCAGAGCGCTGCATGGTAGTTGCATAGTCCTGAGTGGTGCCCCTGAGAGTTGCCATTGCCGGGAATAAAACAAAGGATTTGCTAGTCAAGGGTAGAAAATAGATAGAATTTTGGTATAAAGTTCTTGAGTTCTCTCGTTTTTCGTTGAGTATAACTTCACTTGTCGAGACAACATAGCGGACTATTTGTATCCTTAACTCAACTCCTCTCCTAACCGCCCGACTTCGAAGACAGCATATCCCACGTCCCACGATTCACAAGGCCCATTCCATTTCTCTCAGACTGAATAGCCGCCAAGAGCAAACTTCTGCACTTTTCTGAGTGTTTGTTCTCCGGAAGTCTCCCCGGAGTACACTCGTGAGTTGTCACACTGCATCGAGTTGTGGAGGTCAGTCTCGAGGGAGAAGTACACAACTTGTATCCATCTTTTTGGCCAAACTCGATACTTCCCTGTTATCTTTACATCGTCAGTGTTGGTTGGGCGAGTCGTGGGGCCGCTGTGACGAGAAGATTGCCTTATGGAGGCATGGCGGCTGCTGAAAGGGGTGGTGATGCGCTGGGATGGCGCCTTCTGCGAGGCCTAGTATCTCTGAGTTGGCAAACCCGTCAATTTCAGCTACGATCGTCTCAGAAATATCTTCAACCGAACTTTGACGCTGTGAAGAGGCTCTCTTGGATCTTCATATCCCCCGAATGATCTCACGTCAGGGCCAAATCATCTCGGCAATTAAGCGGGAAACTGTCATTTCCACACGTTCCTCGACTAGTTCTCGCTAATACTCACCGGACAAACATCACCAGAAACAAGGCTGATCCGTATCAAACTAAGGATCTTAGCGCTTGCTAACAAGGACCGGAAGTTTGATGTCGTGCAGCCGAAGCCAGGACTAAGACATGTCGCGGGTACCTGGATCACGCCCGGCCAGCATAGTTTGTCGTTAGTAACCGCAAATACATGCCGAGATAACGATCCACTGTATATGTGATCATCCTACGGCTTACCGTGGCATGGTGGCATGGTGACAAGATCTTGTCATGCCAGTGATATCAGGGGTTGCTGAGATCTTGATGGGCTGTTGGACAGGGAGTCTAGAGTCAATCTTGCAGAGTTAAATCTCTGAAATAAACTTGTATATTATTAACAAGGGAGATAATAAGATTTGCATCTTATTAATACCCTTTTTATCTCCTTGGAGCTGTGTCTACAGGTTTAAGGGGCCGGTTTTGAGGTTTCCGGCTGGAAAGTCATAGCCGAGACAGCCACAAACTATAGCCTTTCTCCATTTCAAATTAGAACATAATTATATCGTCGCTGTATCTAAATGACTTGTGCAACCGCACGCTCGTAAATGCCGCTTCACATCCGGGCCAATGATCATTGCAGCGTCTCTGTTCTCCGACCCCGGAACACCTTCAACTGTCCAGTTCCGCAGCCTGGTCCTGACTTATCGAACTTCCTTCTTTCGATAATACACTGTGTGCTCCGGGATTAGGCTTCTTGACCTAACCGCTCAGCAACAATGACAAGACGGCAATTCTTCCGCACTCAGGGGTGTCCCTGTCGAGGCTATTGTTCGCTAGAGATAATGGTCCGTTAGTTCGTCTGTAACTATGGCGTGCATGATCACCTTGCCAGGTTATTAGTCTTATTCTGTTAGTAGCTGAAGTGGCTAATGCCAGAGAACTAGCTCAATATGGACGATCACTGTTCAACACAGATGTCATCAATTTACACTGTCTTGGTCAACTGTAACCCCAACTCGAACAGGCGTGGGAGTCAGAAACTGCTATTGGCCCTGTCTTTAAATCCTCTCACCGGTATCCATTGCAAAATATGAGATACTTCGTCCACCGCAGAGCAGAGGTTCCGCCTTGGCCCTGAGATGTGACAGTGAAACCCGGTGAGCAGTCCCTTGTAGCCTTCTTCTCTCTTTCCATCTCAGACATCCCACGATCTTCTTATGTTGTACAACATAGGCAGTGAGACTCAGCCGCCAGATGTGCTGTTGGTCAAGCCACTGTTTGCCTGTTCCGGGTTTTTATGACCATTACCCCCACAATCGATCTCTTCGCTATCGGTCGGCACCAAAATATTGGGCCTATTGAATAATATCCATTTGAGTTCACGCGTTTAGAGTCGGCAGTGGTGGCCATGTGCCAGAATGGCCCGTTTTAGTGTTGGCGTGGAGTTTACTTCATCAAGCGCCCTTATATCAGAACTATGTCACTCGGCGGCCGGTCATGACTGGGGTGGCTTTTGTGCAAGTACGTGAATTGAAAGTCTCATAACATGTCATGATCTCATAGTAAGCATATTATCTACTCAACCCTGAAGATATATGTTGAGTTGTCCTGTAATGCCTGCTCTTTGTGACGGTTTTTGATAGCCTTGTTGATCCCTTGGCACATTCCTCCACTTCGGATAAAACTCCGACTCGAAACAAATGGGTCTTAATTTCTCTTGACATCAAAACCTTTCAACTAACTGGGGTCTCGTCTCGAGGTTCTGATCAATCGATTGGGGGACCCCGGGGCAAACACTTGCATCAGGGAAGCTACCCGGTTGCCGGCTCCAGGATACACCTTGGACCTCGTGGCTTAGGGTGTATACAGATTCTTCAGAAGTACTTTGGAGATACCTGATGGACTCTCGCGTCAAAAGGATGGATAGAGCGAGGTGGGCTCGGCGGCAATGGAGGGTATACTTTACGATGACACGAAGGTGAATGAGAGGAAGCAAAGAATGCCCTCATATCATTGAATCAACACTGCCGAATTAGGCATGCATGCGTTATTTGCTACTCTAGTGTATCAAGACGATGAATGTGCTGGCTCGCATAGTAGAGATCACTTTGAGGCCATCCCAGCCACCCCAACTACCGCACAACCTCCAAACCATGCCCCACGCATCGTTCTAGTCATGATCATCTGCTTTCAAGCCTGACGAGATATAACTGGTGCCATGAGATTCCTCAGCCAGCCATGTCTAGACGACTTTGCAAACAAGTGACAGGGTCTAGACGAGGATGGACCTTTTGATAACGAAGCGCTGCACATTTGTCTTTCTGAGCGCTTGCATCACCATCGGCTGATCTTTCCCGGACTCTTTGAGTCAAGATGGACAAGACTGTGGACCTAATTCTGTGTTTGCTATCCCAAGACTATCATGGTACATCAGCCGTCCTCACTCAAAAAAACACTAGCCCATTATGCAACCATCAACTGTTGACGCGCCAAACTCTCTAGTCCATTAACATGATTCAGTATCCAAGCGTGTTCTCCTCCCATGCTCCGCTCCTCAGTTGCTTGATGGAATCAAGCCAATAATCCCATTAGACCAAAAATAGCCCCTATTCCCACAGCTGCCGTCACATGGGCGGCTCCCGCAGTCTGAACTGACGTTGGACCGGCTGTCTCCGTTTCAGCGTGCGATCCAGATTTGGTTGTTGTCTCTGTAAGTGTCTCTGAGTTTGTGGGAGTTGAGCCCTCCGTGCCAGGGATGACTGCAGTCCCAGAGGGAGACTCGGCTGGCACCCATGAGCCCCCAGCAGAAGACACATACTCCTCGACAGTCGTGTATGTTCCCTCGAGAGTTAAAGTCGTCGTCTCAACTCCGACAGATTCAGCGGTAACTGAACAAGCAGCGCAACATTTTCCAGCCTCCGAACAGTCTACACCCGAACTAACAGCCTCAACGGTTGTTAACTCCGTCTTCGTGCCTTCGACCACAACCTCTCCTGTCGACGTAGAATACGCTTCCACGATCACTGTTTCGATGGTGGTTGATATCGTACGAGATAACGTGGCTATCTGAAGTGTCTTGGACTCCCATGTCTCGTAGAAGGTCTTGGTCATTGTAACCGTGATCTCTGTAGTACATGGTTCCGAGACAGGAACCCCTTCAGTCAGCGTTGACGTTGATTTCCATGTCGACGCTGATACTTCTGTAGCTGGAGATGTCTGAACAGACACGAATGACCACGTTGGTGTTATCTCTGTGCCACTAGGATAGACTACTGTAGCGCCCGACGTCGATTCAGTAACACCTGTCGCCTCCTCCGTTGCTGCTGATGTCCATGGAGGTATTCCCAGCCCACTCGAAGCTAGCTCGGTCGATAGGGAAGGCCCAGGCTGATGCCATGTCCAAGGAGACAAGTCCGTGTCAGTAGTTGAGCACGACGTCGATGTTGATAGAGAAGGTGAGGGTACAACTGGAGTCCACATATCTGTTGTGGGAAGGGGAATAGGAATAGGGGTGTTGAATATCGTGATGCAAGAGGTTGCCACTGGGACAGGAGTAAGAGGGGCAATCTTCGATTCACCACTCTTCCTACTTTTAGTTAGTATAGCTTCTACATCGAAGATAGAAGGTATCATACCAAGGAACAGTCACAAAGGTTTGACAATGCGGTGCACAGATTACCGTCCCAGATGCCTCCGCAGACACAATACCTGACGGTTCAGACGGCTCGGGGAACTCGGTCCCAATGCTGAATATCTGTGTATATATCGTAGTGTCCACCCAAGTGGAAGACGAGACCTCCCCATCATCCGTAGAAGAACAGAAAAGACAGTCCACGGTCACAACTGTGGTTGGAATAGAATCGAAAGACTCTGGAAGCGAGGGAAGTATATCCACCGACAAAACAGCATTTCTAGAAGCGTGAAAAGGCTGTTGCTGAGCCACAGCAACGTAGGCCCCTGCAACCAGGATAACAAAAAAGAGGCGAAGCATGCCCATGGTGCATTAGAAGCCACTGTAAAGAGTGAATCAGATTCAGTAATTCAGAGTGTATCCTCCGTCTCCTCATCAAGGGACATTACAACCCCCTAGCAAGCCGCAGGGCCCCTTAAGTAGAGATATAATCCCCTTACACAGCATTGCTATGCCGGGCTCGGGAGGCACTCAAGACTTCGAGTTCTTATCAAACGTTGAGTATGGCATGTTTGCCGTCTCTTCACACGGGTGCTGCGAATATGCAGACATATCACTGCAGGTTCTGTCAAAGCTGCGGTGGTATATTCGTAGACCAACCAATTATGTCCCCTGCTGGTTCTGTGGTGCTGGTGAGGCGGTTGGGTGTTGTACGAATAGGGGTAACGGCATCTGGTGTGACTGCAGTGTGACTTGATCGAACGGTTTGCACCACTTGAACTGTTCTCCAAGCGGAGTTTGCGACATGTTAATCTGACCGACGGCAGTATTGAGGTTCTTCTATGGTAGCTTGGAATGGTTCCATGGTTGGAAGTGCAACGTTGATGTCGGTACAAGTTGCCTGAAGGCCAGATCTTCGATGCACACCGCCATTTAACTCGTTTACAAATGCTCAGAAGAGAATTAGTATGGGTAGTTAGGGTTAGTATTCAAGCTTTTCAGTAAGAATTTGATGGGGGAACACAGAGGAAGTGGTGGTAAGGAAAGGGCCTGATTCATGATGCTGAAGACCATCAAGGTCGAGACTTCAAAGGCCAGTGTCAATCTACGGGAAGAATATTCTGGAATTCCGCTAGATCCTTCCGTTCTTAAACATGCAATCAGCAGCCTAAATTATGCATGAGACAGATCATATCCGAATGTTGCTGCCAGATCTCCGTAAGATCCTGACCAAATTTGACATGGGTTCGCCCACAGGGACATATCAGCCTCCTGGACTTCATTTAAGCTGTTTCCATATATATTAGTGCTATTAATCTATTATTTTTCACTCTCAACATAGCATGATCTCCTATCTCTCATCTGAAGTCGCAGAAGCTGTTACTCGCACCCATCGGGATGACCTCCGAAATCTGAGATTCCCGTCCGAAACAGATGCCGGACCCCCATGTCTTACCTGCATGATATACTATACTACACTGAATAAGACATGGTGAAGAGAAATGTGACATGTCTGCTGAGATTGAGTGCCACGGCTGTTGTTACTGGGGAACTGTCCAAGGGTCTCTGCAAGTTTGAAGTAATATCAACCATTCTCATCACACCAGATCACCGGGTCTCAACGGGAATTAGGAGTTCTAAGAGTTATGGAACGGTTCCTATTCGTGGGCTGACCTGATCTCTCTTCCCTCCTCAATAGCATCGTAGTGTCTCATGCTGCCTTGTCCTCTTCGTTCAACCCAGCTTTCATCCCTCTGATCCATGCGAATAAAATAGAACCACAAGCATCCTTGATCATTGGAATACTTCTTTATGCTTTGGTAGTAGTATTGAATGGAATGAAGTAGGAAGCGGCTGACATTACGTGTATGCTGATAAGGGTCATATCTCCACATAGTGGCCGGGCAAAGGAATTAGCATTGGAAACATTGAGCAACGATTATTTCAATTATCAAAACATAAGACATCTTATTGATTCAATGGGATTATTCCATTCTTAGAATTCACTGGTGACCCTTGTCATTTCCATTCCTGGGTCTGCGTCAGCTTGGGAATAGATACCACCTCAATCCTCGTAGAACATCTTTTCGCTGATCGCTCAAAATCCATCGTGTCTAACTTTATTTCTACTACCCTATAATCTCATTCTAATTCCAATGGTGCTTCAATAAAGATGATTCACGGGAGATTGAAGAGTGTCATCGAGTGATTGATTGCCCAATGTCTGAGTGTTGTTGCTTTCGTGCATATGCGTATCGAACGCCTGTCTCGCGACACTTCATTATCTAAACATCACTTGCTATACACGGTGTTACTTGGACATAATTATTCAGGAGAAGCAGTCTTCAACAAGTGAGATTTGTGGATATTGCCCCTGAAAATACGCGCACTGCCGCTTCACAAACTACCTATGGCTAATTTCGCATGATAGCCATTCAAGAGGCTTTCGTAGTTCTCATGGTCAACTCTACTCGTATTGTACTCATCATCAGTGTTAGTAAGTGATTTCTAACACTCGCATCTCGTCCGATGGCCAGCTACTGTTGACTCTCGTACGCAGGGACTTTCCGTGTGGCCCTAAGCTCTCGTGTTAGACCAGATGTGAATATACGGCATCTGGAGCCTCGAATCAGCGTTCAGAGTAAGAGCTAGCGATATTATTCTAATCTAGGCAGCCATATTACTTCCCCAGCCTGTTTGATATGCATATCGCTTGCAGTCAGTTTAGCCCTATGACGAAGCAAGTCAGGCCATCGGGAAGTTTCGACCACTCCATTAGAGCATTCTCGTATTATTCCCGTCTCTCATCCTAGTCTCCTCTACCTTAAATGGAACCTTAATCGTACAACAACAAGCCTCGAGTACTTGGGAAGAAGTGGCTGGATAAGAACGCCGCAAGCCATCCCCCAGACCTCAACAGCCAAACGTCGAGGTTGGGCTTATACGAAGTCGTGATATCATCATTGTTCGTCTTCAACTCTCGGTAAGTACCGATACCATCGACAAGCATACAGCGGCATATTTGGAGACAGGAGGTCGGAAGAAACTCCGGCAGTCGAGCGGCTGTTGTGGGGCCGTTGACGTCGATCCTGCGCCGCTCATCGATAACTGGCCAGTTTGTAATGGAATGGCTGAAAATGGCAAGTGTTCGTACAATCAGACGAAGCCTCTTCAATGAAGTCTAGCAAGAATTTGTAAAGCATCACACCATATTGGGTTATCCTATGTTGCATGTGAAGAGAGGCGTTCCATCAGCCTTCTTGATCAAATTACCCTAGACACTTCCTCACAAGACTAGAGATAGGCAGTTCCCGTCTTTCGACTATCTTTGAAAATTCCCACTGGCTCCAATAGCTTGTTTCTATGGAACCCCTTAAATCCTTCGAAAGGAAAACCTTTGCTGCCCTTGGCGAGGTCCGATAGTCTCTGTGGGAGGATTGGAGCATCATATCATCGCGAGTCTAGACTGGTATGGAGAACAATGAGCCTTAAGCGAGGGAAATCAGCTCCACTGATCGACAAATGATGTTTGGGCTCTATTCTAATTCGCGGAGTGTCGTTTGACTGTTTTCTCATACGATGGGGATAACCGATGGTGAAAGACGCAATACGCTCAAGAACACTCCAAGATGTGTCAGTGAACCAGATTCGTGTTGAGAATAAATGCTGGCCAATCTTCTCGTAAGAACTGAGCCTCGCCATGGCTGATACGAGGTCAACAGCAAGGAACCGCATAACAAATGCTGATGCAGTATCACGAGAGTGTTTAGGGTAGGCGTCGAGATGGTGGCTGACTAGCTGACTAAGATTTGGAGGACCTGCTCAACAAAACACCTGACGTTCGTGTAGCATTAATGCGACGTTGCATCGCCGTGCCAGTGGGACGGAACTTTGACACATGACAGATTGCAAATGTCCCCAGAACCAATCTCGCATTGCAGAGTTACTGTTGATGATCTGTCATACGAGAAATAGACAGGTAATGGCTGAGCATCCGAAGTCGTGTTCACTCAAACACGGCAATTTCGTGGCTGCGTCACCGCTCAACAAAGACAAGGACAACATCACTCAAAACGCCAAGCCGCAACACAATTCGCTACCAACACCAGCCAATCATCTCCCTTGAACGACAAAGCCTCTTCTCAGCCTTGCCCACCATCCAGACCAAGCTGGCCCTTTCGGACCGACCTTGTGCACACGAGGCTCCTTCGGGTCTAGTCTGGGGTTCCCTGTGCCTTAGCCCGAACCGTGTTTCTCCAGGTTCAGTTAAGTCTAAAGACCTGATGGGGGTGGTAGATGCGCTGTTTGGAAATTGAGCAATTAATTGTTCATTTCAGGTTTCAGGATCGACTGAATGATTTATCTCGTCTGACCGCGACAAAATGAAGCAAAAAACAGGGGACCTGATCGACGTTTGTGCTTTAGTAGCGGAACCACCGCGATTCATGCAAACCCACTGAAAAGCACACGACGAGCGTTCCAAGTTCCTTCGAGAAAGCCGCTAGACACGGCCTGTCCGGCAACTACTGCACGATGAGGCCACAGACCTTGCAGTTTTGTTCAAAGTATACAGTGCGCGCGAGACTGGCCCAGGCAGTAGATTATTGGTTGGCATACCACACTGTGTTTGCTGTGCTGACCCGGAGCATCGCACCGGGTTGCGGGAGCACACCGTCCGGACACCATCGGTATGCCTCGGTATTTGACACCGTCTACGGAAACACGACTGGAAATAACTCCTGTCACGAATTACCATTAAGGGTTCACCTTGATGGAATCAAGTTCAATGCCCTCAGTGCTGTCTTGCTGTGATTAACACGGAATGGTCGTACACTTGTTCCATAAAAAAACAATCGTCGTTGACATACTGTCACTCTGATCACAGAACCTGAATCATCTGATTCTTGAGCTTCAGATGAGCGACGTGGCATCAGGATTTCAGTAGAACAGACTCAACCAATCTGTCGCCAATTAAGCGAACATCGGGAAAGCCATGAACCACAGATCATGTCATAATTGAGGGGAGCAGATATTTCCGTACCTAGTTTGCGATCAAAGAACGGGTTTGCCCTCTCGCCTGGAGGCATACTTTGAAGTTGACTTCGTCAAACCCCTCACTGCAAACTCAACAACGCATGATGCGGCCGGAGCATAATCCTCGACTGGGAGCGCCTCCTTTCAGAAACACTCCGCCTCATTGCTGGGACACGAAAGAAAAGCACAGACGAGCTTGTACGCCCTACAACGCGCAAGCTTGTTACCCCGGATGTGAGGTTGAGCTGATACGCGACACAGCCGCACAGGTGCTCTTGTTTCAAGCGAGATGACAGCTGCGCCGCAAACTTTAATGCACAAGATCTGGCGTTACGCGGAATTCTTGGCAGGTCTGCAGTGGCATTGACAATGAAGATGGTGATTATCGATAAGAAAACTGTCTCGCTTTCGGATAGACGCGAAAAAAGAAGCATACCCGTAGCGTGAAAGTCAATGCCTAGCAGCTTGAAGAGGTGCTGCCTGTGTGTGCAGCTTTGACATATGTCTCCTCGTGATATACTGCGTAGATGATCATACTTTGCGTATGAAGTTAATAGCGAACCATTGGAGGGACTGGTAGAATCCGTGGCTGCGGTAGTTACAGCTCAAGACAGGCAACACAGGCCAACGATATCTGATGAACTCACCATATTTGGTCAATTTACCCGCGAGCTGTTAGCTGGACGCTATGCATCAATTACACTTCAAAACAGTTTTATACCAACACTCAAAGCGTCTTCTCTTCGGCAGCTTCATGCCGAACGGTTGACTAAAATACCACATGGCTCACTCAGCCCCTTGGACAACAACTGGCACTAAAGAAACATCTCCAATCTGAATATCTTCCGAAACCGACATCAAAGTCTATCCGCGCGTTAAAAAGAAACTGTAAGGCTTAGGGCTTAGCTCGTAGTTATAATTGCCTTTATCGTTGAGGTGATCTGCCATATACGCGTATGTCCAGCCCCACATTCTCAAGATCTACGCTACTCAGATCTAGATTATTCACGTATAACTCCCCTCCGCGTATAGAGCGTGGACAATTTTAGATGCATTCAGAGAAAGCGTCAGCTTGGGAAATGTTGTTTACACGTAAAGATATGTATATAGTCTGATCGAGAAAGCCAAGACATTCTCGAGCTTCTACTCTCAACTCATTGACCTTGACATTCATCTGTTTGACATTTAACGACGAAACACCAAAACTCGACCTCACTAACGTGATTGAGAGCTTCAATAAACCGACACTCGAGAATAATTCACCATGGCGGGATACATCTTCTATAATTATAACCCTAATATGGTGGCAGCTGTCATCTTTATTGCTGTCTTCGGTCTCTCTGCATTATTACACACCTACCAGCTTATTCGATCGCGAACATGGTACTTCATTCCGTTTTTGATCGGATGTCTTTGTACGTGGCCGCCAATGTCCAGGTATCATTGCTCCACTAACATTGTCTTCAGTCGAGTGTGTAGGCTACGTCGGTCGAGCTCTATCAGCGCAAGAAGCACCAGACTTCACCAAGAACCCCTACATCATCCAGTCTCTTCTCTTGCTGCTCGGTCCAGCCCTCCTCGCTGCTTCGATTTACATGGTTCTCGGCCGTCTCATTCGACTCCTCGATGCTGGCGACCTTTCCATCATCAGCCCCAGATGGTTGACTAAGGTCTTTGTTGCTGGCGATGTCATGTCCTTCCTTGCACAGAGTGCTGGTACGTACCCCGAAGCCGTTAAACTTCACATTACTAACTGTCAAAGGTGGTGGCATGCTCGCAACAGCAAAGACTAAGAGTGCTGTCAAGCGAGGCGAGAACATCATCGTCGGTGGCCTAGGCATTCAGATCATTTTCTTCGGCTTCTTCATGGTCGTCACTCTCGTCTTCCACCTCCGCATCAACCGCAACCCTACACAAAAGTCTCAGGAGATCACAACGCCTTGGAAGAAGCTCCTCATCGTTCTTTACTCAGCCAGTCTGTTCATCATGGTCCGATCCGTCTTCCGTGTCGCCGAGTATGTCATGGGCAAGGACAGCGAGCTCCAATCGAAGGAGTACTTTATCTACATCTTCGATGCTCTCCTCATGAGTCTCGTTGTGGTCTCCCTCAATGTGTTCCATCCCAGCCGCGTGATCAACCATGATAAGGACAGGAAGCGAATTGTCAGCCAGGATGGATATGCGCTGGAGAGCCAGCCCGTGGGCAGAGATGACAGAGACCGACGATACTCACTCTCACCTGTCCGTCCTAAGCATACCCATTGAGGGATATATGGAGAAGTGAACTAGGAGCGGGACGGATTCGGGATTGATATGGCCATCGAGAGCTAATGGAACCAGTGTTTTGAAGCGAGTGGGACTGATACGATCTCCAGTCAACGTGGGAAGAAAGCGGTAAAACTTCTATAGATTTGAACACTGTCATAATAGATTTCTTTTGTTACATTGCAAGAAGCAACGTGATTCATGACGGGTCTGAATCGTATCATGCATGGATGTGAAGTCAATGCTTCAAGATGCGCAACATGGATTTCTATACGCTGCATCGTAAAGTGGAACACAACATTATTTGGCATGGTATTTGACTTCCAGTTACAGGTCAACATCGATAAACGATCCATATCAATGGACCCTTCTGCAGAACTCATACGAGATACCATAAGATCATGAGGCTCAAAGTGGCACCTCTCCAAAGAGACATTCTTCCGTGTCCTGAATCATCACGATCCCCTTCCATGGAAGCAATTTATGGAGATCAAAAGTCTTGTTCTCATCCCTGGCTGAACAGCGGGGCGTGCATTCGTTGCAATGAGACATGGGGATGCATATGAGACATCCATTTGGCATCCAAGTTCCGAATATGCGGAAACAAAAGCAAACCTGGTCGGGCGATTTCTTTTTCGGGGAGGCCATCGCGGGAACATGGACAATCACGGAGATGGGAATTCAAGCAAGCGGCGTTTATGCCCAAAGCAGTCACTATTGACGATGACGAGATGATGCAGTATTTTGATCATCGCAGGGAGACACTTGTCACACCAGGGGGGGCATAGAGTTATTTTCGGGGCTTGATTTTCTAAACGCGAAATGCGCTGCTGCACCCGATGAGCAAACAACGGATGATCTGACATCTCGAACAGAGATCTGACAGCGGAGTTTTTCATTCGTCGTGATAGCCCAGCAATTGACTTTTTCCCTACGTTCTTTACTTTTCTCAGCAAGCGAAGAACCGTATTGTTTTTGCCCCGGGAACGTGATCGGAGCAAGCCGAATAACGTGAACCCTCAACGCGTGACATTCCATAACATGGTCGGACCGACGTACATGAGGAGAACCTGTTTGCTGCGCGAATTCTTGGTGCAGGAGAAGGTACCCAATCGTCGATCGATGTGTTTCCTGTTAGGCTTCACCTCCTCTTGAGGGCGAGTCTTACCTGTCTCTGCAGAGAGTTCGCCAACAGAGGAATATCTCATTTGAAGTGGGGTCGCACTGTGAAGCTGAGGCTTTAGCGTGGTCCAAACAGATGTCGACGTGGCACAGTGTTTATGTAGGTGGCTATGAGAAGGAGGCTGCCTCCAAGAACTCTCTCTCCGTATCGTTGTTGATGGTTTCCCCTCACTTCAACGATTCTGTTGCAAGCCATAACGCAATATATGCTGAGCTTGAAGCCAGCCAGTCACTGGACTATTAATACTGACGTTCGGTCGGCCAGTTTCTACTCAAGATTTGTCTATAAGTAACGCTCTCGGCCAACCTTCTTGATGCTCCAAGCCTGTCTCCACCCCCATTCAAACTACAGGTCGCTAAACCAAGTTGCACTGTCCACCGGCTATGTACTCTTTGGTCTACTGCACTGTCTTTGCCTGCTAATTTCTCTGCTGGCTAGTCCCCTTTTAGATCCCTCGCCCGTTCGCCAGTTCGGTTGGCTGCTTGTTCCTTGGCTCTTCAAGACGGGTGGTACGAGTAAAAGCTGGACCTCAAGGTCACTCTCCTGCAAAGTTTTAGTGGCAAAGTACTTTACTCATCCTCCTCTTGTGTTCCTCTCGTCCCACCCCAGCGTCAGAAAGTCTTCCGTCTCGCTCTGGCTGCGGTTTGCTTGCCCACCCCCGGTCTTTCCTCGAAATCTCCTTCTCTTGCAAACCCGCTTCTCACCTCATCTTCTCTTCTCGTCTTCCCATCCCTTCCCTAACCTGATCTCTCTCTTCTATCCACACTTTTCTTTTCCTCTTCATACAACCAGCCAAAAAACACCAAACGAATTCTATATACCGCAGATCCACGACCCCTTAATCAACCTTTCCAATATCGAAGTTTCTGCAATTTGGCTCCTGGTCACCCCGAACAACCCCCCGCATTATGGTCCAAGGCGAAAGGGCCGAATAACACCTGCACCTCGTCTCCTGGAATCAAGCCAGCCCTTCCAATCTCCCATACTCCCCGCCCACCCGGTCGACCGACTACCAAGTCGCCCCGAATATACCTTCGAGACGACACCTCTTATCGCGGTCCCCCGCAAAATCCCCAGACTTTTGGCTTGCTGGCTGCTTGCCTTTTCGTCTCCCCCGCGATATCATAATCTAAATACCCCCGAGCTCGACATTCTAGTCTCAACGACCCTCGAGCTTATCGTACTTCCTTAGTATCATCGTCTCTGGAAGTCAATCGTTCTTGTCGTCGCCTACCCCGACGACCCGACCCGACCGTTGATAACTTTCTTTGATACTGACAAGGAAACTCATAATGTCAACGGCAGCAAAACCAGCAATGACAACCGCTGTAAAGAGGGCCTGCGATGGCTGCCATCGTCGCAAGGTCAAGTGTGATAGTGGTATCACCTGTCGCAACTGTGCAACTGCTGGTATCGAATGCACATATCTCGCTATCCCTCAGAAGAAAGGTCCCAAGGGTTCTCGCGCAAAAGTAATCACCGAATTGAGAGACAACCAACGTCAGGCCAGTCTCGCTGCCAAGGTGCAAAACAGACTCGCTGGACAACCCGTTGACCTTACCATTCCTGCTCTCAACCCTACGGCTGGCATGTTGTCCAATGACCTGATCAAGGCTTGTGTCAACTACTATTTCGAAAATGCTTACTCGACACTGCCTTTCCTCGACCGAAACCAAATCGAACACATGATGCTAAATATGGAAAGTGGCCGTGACAGGTACTGTCTCTTTGCAGCTCTCTGCGCATATGTAGTACTTCAGCCCGGTATGATCCTGCCAACTTCATCGGCAGAAGAGTCCTTCAACCTTCAGCAGCATCCCGGCGCCAACATCGCCGCAAGCAATTTGCTTCTTGAGGAGTGCCTACGCGTTCGAAAGGGCTCCGATTACTTTGAGACACCGAACTTCAATATTATGGTCACAAACATTTTCATCTACTCCTGCATCAAGATAATCGACGGACCAGACAGAGCGTGGTACTACCTACGAGAGGCCACAACTATGGCTCTCCTTACAAACATGGACAAGGAAGAAAACTATGCCCAGTTCCCTCAAACTGAGGCTGTCCGAAGACGCCGATTTTTCTGGTTCTTGTTCGCCACTGAGCGCGTCTACTTTTTCAACCGCCGTCGCCCCTTGTCCCTTTATGCGACAATCGCACCTAGCCAGATGCACGACGATCCCAATGATGCCTTGTATCCTGAGCTTCACGCCTTTTTCATCATGTGCAACATCTTCCGACCTATGGACGACTCTTTCCTGGCCGCTTGGAGAAATGGTTGCGACCATCTCGACTGCCATCAAATTACTGGTCTAAAGAATCACCTCAAGGAGTCGCAAGCCACGAACCCCTTCCATCCCGAGAATGCCTATATGGCCAGTCAACAATTCCTCAACAATGCAATCTGGCAGCTCAACAATACCCAAAGTCAATACCACGGCGATCTCGCACGACAAATGACCAGCAAGATGGCTTCTTCTTTCGCGGGCCAGCCACTTGAGCTTGCAAAGTCCTGCTTGGTATGTATCTTATGTCTTGTTTGAATAACACGCCTCTAACAAATTCACAGTTCCCCAAGCTACTCGAGATCTGTCTCAACTTGACTACCTATTTGGCTAACCTGCCTCCGGATCGACACCCATTGGCGGTGGGCCCTCACCAGTGGCTCCAGGATCTCCTCGCCTCTCTCGACCCTGCCCGAAATGGCGACTTTGCATTCACTCCTCTCTTGTTGGCGAAGGTCAACGAGATTCTTCCACGTCTGGCCGACCCACTGCTGCGAAACGCCCCAGAGAACGGCTCTTTCCAAATGTCTGCTGACATATTCGACGGTTTTGGTAATGCCGGTATGGCCAGCATGCCACAAATGAACGATTACAACCAAGGCATGGTCGTCGACGAGAATGAGACCAAGTACGATTTGAGTGGCAGTAGTCCGGACACAATCCCCAACTCCAATTACTCGAATGGTACGCCCCCTGGTACGCAACCAGGTAGTGACATCGCTTCAGCATTTGTCGGCTCACCTGCTAATGTCATGTCCCCTGGCATCGACTACAATGTCGGCAACGTGGGCATGGGCGGTTTCGACATGTCTGAAATGGGCATGAATTCATTCACAGCCTCTCAGCCCAACCCACTGAGCAACATACAACATCAACAGCGTGTTGGAAGTCAACCGCCCTTGCAGGGTATACAGAACCAAAATGTCAACAGTTCAGCCATGAACCCAACAATAAACCAAATATATGGTATACAACAACCCCAGCGGCAGAATAGCTATCAGATGCAAAACCAGCCCCCCTTGTCGCAAATGGGGTCAATGTCTGACATGGACTTTTCAATGCGATAATTACACCAAAATTAAAAACATATCTTGTTTGGGCCTAGATGCTTGGGCAAGCACTGTATGCATTTTTCGTTGTCTTCTCTGGAATTACTATGACATGGGCGCACAACACAGCGCTTCTTTTACCTTGCGTTGTATCTATCTTGCGAGCAAGTTTCTGTCTGCGGATCAAACGGAAATCGGAGGCTGGCGCTTTGGAGTTTTGGATCACCCGTCTTTCACAAGATAAAGGCTGAGGATCATGTTATGCTTGTTATGTTGTCAAGTGACTTGAATCGGGGATCCCTGAAAACAAATGTTATGTTACGGATGGCTCTACATTTATGGTGTTATGCACATTCTTCACTTTGTGGTTATAGAATTATGAATCAAAACTTTACTCTATTCAATTAATCTTGAACTTCTCTCTCGTCGTGCACTGAACCAGTTTGGCCCGAGCATTAATTCGGCCACTTCGCTTGTGATTTAATAGATTTAATTGTAAATTCTGGGTATTTGCTGGTATCTTTGTTTTCGTTCTGTAGGTATCGTAACGCCAAAGTCAACCCCGTTCATTCATTACTTCGTAACCAAAAATTCCAACTCTTATCAATGCTAACGTCTCGCAGTCACAGACCGTACAGCTAGCACCTCTATCCTCGCAGCATACAAACTCATCAGATGGCACACAGGATCTCCCCAAATAACACTCCTCAACCTCTCCTCGGAGCACGTCACTGCCACAACTCCTTCATCGAGACGCTCTCGCACCGTCTTGCGATCTTTGGGCTTGGCGTCTAGGTCCCCTGAGCGCAGCACCGCGATACGGCCTGCGTTGCTCAGTGTGCACGGGGGGACGTTCCATGTTGGTTTCTTGCGTGATTTATTGGTGTCTTTTCGTTGGGATGGTGGTGGTGAAGCGAGTAGATCGAGAAGACTTTTGACGTAGGCTTTGTCGGCGCGGACAACGGGATCTCCTTCGTTGACGAAGCTCAGGAAGATGCTCTTTCTGAGAGCGTGAGCATCCGGTTTTGCTAGTGGGAGGAGAGACACAGGTGGTGCACCGAACGTGACGCAGTGTATTCTCTTAAAGCAATTCGTCAAGACGTTGAGTTCACTCTCTGCCGCATTCGTCTGGGCTACCATGTGCGAGTATAGCAACGCAGCAATAGCACCACCAGCCGAATGTCCCGTGATTAAAAGACTGAACGTCGAGCGCTTGGGGTCCTCTTGAAGAAGCTGTCTCAGCCTTGCAGCTACCGGGCGAACCATCTTCTTAGCAACGGAGAGAAAGCCCGCGTGGCACAAGTTTCCTGGATCATCGAGGAAGTTGAGTGGGCTGATGGGTGCAGAATTGAGATTGACGGCCCAATCCATGAAACTTGCCGTACCGCGGATGGCGAAGACTATGGTGTTCATGTCGTCCATGGAAACGGACTTAATGCAGGTCTGTCTAGGACCAGCGAGCCAGTCGGATGAGACGTGGGCGTCTCGTTCGGTGCCGCGAGGTCTTTCGTAGACACGTTGGGAGTACTGAGCGGCGAGACAAAGGAGAGGCCACGTAGGCATATGCCTACTTCTGTTAGAAGAGAATTGAAACTTGAAGGAGACACATACAGAGATAGTGGAGGAAGTGTTGAAGGAAGCTTGGAGTTTGCGTATTGCTCGACTTTGGAGAAGTAGTTGCCCGACACAACAGATGCAGCAACATTGCATGATGACTTTTCCTTGTTCTTCACCTTTCCCAAACCCTTATCGACTTGATCCGTCTTTGGCTCCTGATCTGCGATGGCGCAGTTGAAGAGCGTATTCTCATTGCCCTTTACTTTCTCGTGATCAATAAGTGTCATGATATCGTTGAACCGATCATACAGCGCATTCGTCGACTGAGCAATCTGCGCACATCCATGCCAAGCCGATAGCCCATCGTCGTAGAGTTGTGGTGGAATTGATTCCTTGGCGAGATTCACCATTGAGCCTGTGAAACGGTTCAACGACGATGAGAGGGTCTGGTGTGAGTTTGTCGTTGCGAGATGATGCGGTGGAGTAAAAGCAGACAAGTTGGGGTGCGATTGCTGCGAGCCGAGGTGATAGTGATTGTTGATCACCACCGGTTGAGTGCTGAAGTTCGGCGGTGCTGGGAGATAGCCAGCGGGCTGGAAGTGAGGCTGTGATTGAGAGGCATGGTGCTGATTATACGGAAGAACGGGTCTCAACGCCGCAGTATTCGGACGCACGTTTCCTGGATAAGGGGGCGGCTCAATCTGAGGTCTAGCAGGACGAAAGACATTAGGAGGATCTGTTATCTTGGGCTTAGAAGAAGCTATCGTTTTATTGGTTTTCGTCCCCTTCTTGGACTTCTTGCTCGACTTCTTGGGCTTTGTGCCACCAAAAAGCCAAAAGGCCATCGTGACTTAGGGGTTTTCAAGCGCGAGTAGAGGGGTTGATTTACATTGCCATCGGAGATAACAAGAACGTGAGGAAGAAAAACAGTCAACAAAGAGTGAAGAAGATGGCGAGAATCATGAAAAGGTCACTCACACATGACCCAGGCCGAGGATATTCTTAGCAACAGCTCTGATTGAGTGCTTTGGGTAGCGGGGCCTTCTCAGCCCGGTCGATCGTTCCCCTGTCGAACCACCTCACGCCAGTATAACCAACACACTCCCTCCCCTAAGAACAGAGGGTCAGTGCTCAAGCTATTATGTCATGTAGATAAGAAAGCCCTTAGCGGACCTCACTAAAGAAGCGAAAGCTGCTGAGCCCCTGTAAAACAGTCGTCATTCGTCAAACGCTAACCAATCAGTGACATACAGCCAAGGATGACTCTACAGAGCGAGGACATTGGATGGAGGTGCAGCTGAATGCAGCTTTGTTAACTAGGATCATTGGAGTCGGCGGCAATGGATAACCCTATGGCTGGATGACTCGATGATTGCATTGTCTGAGGCAAAAATTGGGAAAGGACATGCGAAATTGTGAATTGCACGAGTTGGGGTTTGGGATTTGAGACATTGAGATGGGGATGACGTTATGGAGAGGCTGTGTTGAAAGGGTGTGTTAGCGGGTGGATTTTGGTGGTGGAGGTTAACTAGATGGCCGGCCTCGTCGGAGTTCAAAGACCTTAGACTAAGGATTAGAGGAGTGAAAATTAATTAGGCAGGATTGTCAAAGAATCCGCTAAACTTATCATGAATTATCCTATCTCTGTCTGAATACTTATGTCAGCTCGGTATAGTTCTCTGGTATCCTCTAGATTGGTCATGACATTATCCTAAGTTTATGCTTACAGATGCCCATAGGCACTAAATATCCATAAGACCCCCTTTGTGACCTACCTACTCTATAGACATGCCTTCCATGTTTTGACTACCTGTGATCTTGATGTGCAGCTCAAAAACCCTCCGACCCAGTCCTTCAACCAACGCAACCTTGGCTGCCAAATGCCTCCCGCCATCACTCATCTTATCTTCCGCCCAGTTATTTCCGTAGGAGGAAGGGAACAGTGCCTTCGGACCCGATGGCTGTGGAATCTCGAGCTTCTCATATTCGGCTAGGCAGAGCCGCGACCGCTGGTTCTTCATGCGCCTCTGGATCTCGCCTGCACTGAGACCCTCAACCTCTCCATAGAGCTGATTTGGCTGTAAATCTTCATTCGAGGTCCGGGCGTGTTCTATAAAACTGTGAAGATCAAAGACCCGGCACCACAGATGCCACGGTGACGGATCGGTCCTCCCTTTGAGCACTTCGCGATTTATACCCCATATGACAGCCGTATACGCAAATCGACCAACACCTTGTCCATTTGGCCCTTGATCCGAGTTTGATCTTTCTGGGACTTCAGGCATAAAATTAACAAAGTGAATGCCGCCAAAATACCTCTCACCGTCTCCTTTGTGCTGGCACCTCTTAAAAGCCCAGCGTGACGGTATCTGGGTGGCGCGACCTTGGTAACGGCTAAAAGGAGGGTGACTGCCTCCACTGTCCATTGTAAAATCCAGCTTCTGCTTATCCAAAACGAAATACACAGGTCCAGTCTCCGGGCCCTCTTCAGGAGAAGGACCGGCCGTTGCATTGATGGGGCTCTGCTGAAGCAGAATGCTGATGTCCTTCTTGGTGGCCTCGTCGAGAGATGGAGTGAGCGAGAGACGTCGATCGACTTCGCCAATCGATGACTCTACAACGAACGAGCCTCGAGTTATCCTGGGATTAATGGGAACAATATGCTGATGGTAGACTCTTCGATACATATCAACAGTGCCCATATACTCTAGCAGCAAGGCAGGTCGCACAAGGTAATCATCGTCGTATGCGAGATGCATGATACCCAGCCAGAGGTTTCGGGAAGTAGCCTGCGTCCCGTCAGGCACTACCTTACAGGGGCAAATCCACAAGCTGGTGCGTATAGCTGTATCAGTGATCTCCATTGTAGCCAAATTCCCAAGGAAATTAGCCTCATACTTCTTGTCGACCCTGTTGAAAACCCGCCGGCCAAGAATGTGAACGGGTTCTTTGAAGGCGCTAGATGAAGGAGCCAAACAGCCAGGTGCAAAGCCCTGAGGTGCAACATCAGGGCGAGCGCGCCATATCAGGACTGACTGGTCTTTGGACTGCCTGACGATGGCCTCTTGAAGACGCAGCAATGCCTTGTCACCTTCGCCATATAGCAATGGCATGTTTAAGTTGAAGAGGCCGAGGAGACAATAGGCCGCATCTTCTTTGCGAGTCGTGATACGGGACGATGCCCAGCTCATTTTGATGGAGACGGCGAAAGAGTCCAAAGTCTGAGGGAGTGTGTCAAGTCCTTGACATCCAGCACAGATACCGTCGCGAACTGCAAAGGCAGAATGCCCCCTTTCGCTTGGGCATGCACATCGGGGTTCTCGAAACAACTGCGGCCAAATGCCAGTTCTTTTGCAAATACGATCGAGGAGCGTTAAATCTCTCGAACCAAAGTAAATCCAGTTCTTGTCGTAAAACTCAACATTTCGTGGTGCTATGAGCTCCTGTAAAGTCCATCCTCTGGTGAACCAAAGGCTATCGAAGAAGGAGGTCTCCGATTCATCGAGGATAGCAACTCTATCGGAACCGTCAGAAGATTCGTGATATATGTTTTTGCGGTTCGATAAAGCGTCAAAATCGTCGAGGTAGACATAGCACTTTCTTGACTGCTGATACCATCTGAACATAGAGTTGATGGCCTCTGAGAGTTCTGCGCTGCTCGATTTATCGATGCAGCATGTGTCTACCCAGACATAAGATAAACCATCTTTATCGGCCCGGTCGAGCAGATACCAGATCTTGGAGAACGACTGGCGATCCTGAAAGTCCTGTAATGACCCTTGTGTTAGGTCCTGGAAGGTGATTTCGTCTTTCCCCCATCTATGCGATAGAACACCGTACGGTGGGATCTCATTCTCGTCGAAGAAGCTCTCGAGCCGTTCGTCGACGACATTTAAGAGCCGCATTGCGCAAACACGTAAGTTATGGGGATGGAATCTGTAGAATTACTACTGTAAGGATTGAAACCAAGAATTGAGATGGAACTTGTAAACCGGCTGATGATTCCTCACTCGGCGAGGCTTTCGAGAAGGCATTCTTGGGGCAACTGCAACTGCAGGCTGCTTCAGTGCGGCCGATCCTATTGGCTAGCAGTTGCACTCCAACACAACCAGGGCCAAAAGTCTGGAATATCCCTTATATTTCTATAGATCTTTAGTATATATAGCCCTATTTAAGTATATACTTAGGATAATATTATTATTAGCCTAGAAGATAGTAAAGATCTTTACCTAATTAAATAGAAATACTTAAATAATATTAGGATAACTTGGGATGAATTAGAGGTCTTTTAACTACTTTCTGGGAACTTACAAAGAGGCTGATGATTCTGCCGTCATCTGACGAGGCTTTCAAGAAGGAATTCCCTGGTCCTCTATTGCAGTCTGGTATAAGTACCACCTGAGACCTCTGGTAGCGTTGCCGAAACTCAGAGGTTGCACAACGCCTTCCTGCTCCGCGTTCATGTACGCGACTGGGAAATCACAGGCCATAATTGCCAGGAAACAATAGAGGATAATTAAAGGACAATTCTAATATTGCCTAAGCTTAATTTTTGTGTTATTGTTGATCCTTATTATAAAAGAGTGACTCCTGTAGGCTGGCATTCATCATCATCCGTCCAATCCCTGATCCTACAAATCACAGAATCATTTCCCCTACCCAATCTTCCTACATAAATCTTCCCAGGCAGCTCTGCCTAATCTCTTAGTATTTCTGGATCCAGTTGGTAAAGATAAGTCAGTCTTGGTTGCGTCGAGGTGGTATCATCGCCTCTTCAATCATAACACAGGGGATCAATTCGCCAACTACAAGCCAACATTAGCAGATAATCTAGCATATCACACATCGAACCCAAATTGAAGAGACATTAGCTTACACCAAAGGTTGCGATCTGCACGGCCTTCAAGCCTATCTTGACTTTCATGCCATCTTCGCAATCCTCACAAAGGAAGATGATACGGAGGCCCGCCCACATCTTCAACTTTTCCCTACCACATTTGCCACAAGTCGGGGCATCAGTTGCTTCTTTGATCACATACTTGACGCCTGCGACTGCGAGGGCTGGGATGAGGTGGAAAACCATGTTGATCCTTTCTTTATGTAGACAGGAGATGTCTTGAGCGGGGATTATTGGTGGGTAGGATGATCAGAGCTGTATCTCTGCTAGAACCTCAGCAAGGGAGATCAAGGTCAGATTTGGGGTATTGGGAAGTAGGGATACAACTTATGTGAACTGATTCTTTGTGTCTTGGTTTGACCCAGATGGATCTCCTTTCTAGAGAGGCAATCTCAGTCATATATAATCCGCGTCGAGTATCAAAACATGCGAGGCTGAATCCAGACACTTTTTGGCGTACAACCACAATACTGCAACTCCAATATAATTCATAGAGATGTGGTCCCTATACCGTTCTAGGGTCTTTGATCAGTATGCTTGCTGATAAGGTTATTTCACAAAGCAAGGGTAGGTCTGTGAGATGGTAGCTGCCACTAGAGACGCCAAATATTTACAGAAAGCCCATGCATATGCGAGCTGAAGAGAAGCTGAAAGAGCGACTTTAAGTGCGACGTTTGAAAAGCAGTTCTTGTGTCGTGTCGCTTGTGTAAGTCGTCTACACTAATGGAAGACTGTGGCCGTCTAAAATCGCTAGTTTGACAGAACGCCCATGCATGACCAACTAACGAACAATGCCCATACATTAGCTACCCTGGTTAAGGCTGAAAGCGTCTTGAGAGTGAAAGCTCTCCGCTTTAGGACGGGGATAAGGCACAGCTGTGCCTTTGCCCGGGCACTTTTGGCGCGTCGATGGTCTACGCAGTTTCCCCCGTATTTCCGTGTAGGTCGTGGAGTAAGGTAATGTGTATACATGTATATAGTCTTGGTCCTGACTCCGTCACGATCGCGCTCAGGCTACCTACAGCAAACTTGACTCAATACCTTACAACTCTCAGCTGAACAACCCATCTATTTCAGCTTCGCAAGCAATTCACATCGCCTGTCATCAAAGCTCTGTCAAACATGTCTTCAGAAACTCCTCCACCTCCTCCAAAGGTCGAATATCCGACCAGCGTTGACAAACCTGAGTATACAACAGGTGACAACCACACAGTTGGCGTTGACTACAACAATGGCGCCAGCTACGTCGACACAACTACAAATCAGCCAATCCATGACTCTGACGTTCATACGAGATTCTCGGGGTACGGTGATAGTGACGATGGTGATAGTGGTGGGATCGTGGAGGAGATCGTTGATGCTGTGACGGATAGCTGTGTGGTAATGTAGTCGGAAGGACTGGACTCCGTTTGAAGCTGGTTCTAATTACCCTACTCTGCTGTTTTGGTTTTATCTTCTTTCTTTCTAAGTGCTGAATAATACTCTGTCGCTTTCGCGAAATCGAAACGGAGCACTCATAGATCATTATCTGCCACCTGCTGTGTGTTCTTGTGCCTGAAGAGCTATAGTGGTTGCATTCTCGGTAAAGTGACACACCAATTGAGCTTAAACTCTGATACACCGGGTTGAAAATCAATAAGTAGATCAATAGTGACCTCCTCGTTACCGTTGATTGGGCCGATGTTGCAATTTACGCGCTATCGCAACTCAGCCGTACGAGCTGAACCCTCGATCTTCTTCCCGTTCCTCAAGTTTCAAGCCCAAATGGGCTGGTTTCAACTGCTGCAATTGCCGAATGAGTCCTACACTAGAACAAGGCTGCCTTCTCGTGGCTAGCGTAGGCATATTTATGGAAGAACGCTACAAGAATGCCTCCTCACAAATGTGCACTTTGAGGGGTATCCAATGAGCTATCAGACTAATGCGTCGTGACAAGTTGCTCGGACATCTGGATCACTAGACCTGCATATCGCTAATATGCGAGGGGTTCCAAGTGCTGAAAGACCCTTGAGCCCCTCACTGCTTAAGACATGGAATGGGAAGGGCCGGACATTTGACAGCCATGGTGTGGTCTAGCCCATTAAACGGAACGCCAATATACTAACTACAAAACGCCCATGCATATATATCCAAATATCCATCCATCACAGACTCTGCATGCCTTCATTCCTAAATCAGTCGCCCTAATGGATCCCCTCGTAAATCCCCAATCGGTTCTTACGATACCATCAAGCGAGGACTGGTCTCGTCTGCGACCCCTCGTCAAAGAGCTCTACCACGACCGCAGGTTTTCTATGGCAGAGGTCAGGGATCATCTGAAATCGCTAGGATACTGGGTCAACACGCGCATGATCAGGGCTCGAATCAGCCAATGGAATCTGCAAAGAAACAACCAGTTTCACGGCATGGTTGCGGCTCTTCGCTTACTTGATCCAGACCCTGCGTCGTGGCCAGTCCCAGAACCCTGGTTCGTGATCCGAGGACGCCATGTCCCGTTGCATGAGATCCTGCGATACTTTAGACGGAAGGGCATACAGAACCCAATTCATTGGTGTCGTTCAGCTGCAGTGTCCCAAGAAGAGCCAGCTGTCAGGCTTCTTCAAGAGGGAGATAGTCCTGTGGAGGGTACGAGCGAAGGTAGTTCAACACTCGCTGCGCTATCCTCAGCCAGCAGTGTGGCCATGTCAATGTCTCCTGTGAATATTCCCACGCCTATATTCACCCTCGAGCAAAAGGCAGCTGCCAGTCTAACTGACTACTGCGGAGTCTACCTCAGCCAAGACATACATCCAGAGCCTGAGGTTCATCAGTTCACGACACATGGACGTTTCGGGAACCGCATGCAAGAAGGCCTAGCACAGATGATGCGTGGAGGCCCAGGCGCATTTCCACACTTCCATCAAGCTTTTGACCTTGTTCAGCCTCTTCTCGCAGACTGCCATCCAATGAGTCTTGCCCAACTGTTAGCCATCGTTTGTGAGCTCTCGGCGTGCAATGCACAGGAAGTATTGACATGCCTACTCCGGTATTCGGCAGCAATGGCTTCGTCTTTACGGACACCCTCCCCTCTCATCCAATTCTTGGTGTCCCTCACCTTGTTGCCACCTGGGCTACTGCAGTGCACGGCTATCTCGAGTCTTCGGGCCGCATTGGCAGTGTTCTCCGATAAGTCTCCCCACACCTGGCATCGTCTCTATATCGAGGAGCGACTTTGTGACTGCCTTTACCACGGTCGAGACCGTATTGAAGGTGGATACCGCCGCGCTCAGCTTTTGCGGAACCAAGAATCGTTCTATGGACCATTCGCACGAAACGTTGTCTGGACTGTCACCAATGTCGCAGATGATCACCTAGATGGTGGTGATCTAGACGGCGCAGAGTCGTACTACAGGATGGCTTTGGAACGGGCTGAACAACTCAGTGGTTTTCCAAGGGCCAAGTTGCGCTACGCTGCTCTAGAGGGCCTAGGCAGAATAGAGCAGATACGCTTTGAAATCACGCGTAATGATCGAGAGACTTGTTTACGACACTTACAGGAAGCATCTCGATATGTTGATGAGTCATTGAATGAAGCACTAATATGGTTTGAGCCAACAAGTAGGCGTGTAGGTCGAGTGACAGAACAACAGGGGTATATCAGGAGTATTTTACACCGCCTCGGTTGAGATTTGTCAGGTGTCTGCTAGATGACCTCTATTTCAACAAAATTGGAGCTCTCCAGAATCCATGGTATCCCTTGATCATCATCATCTACCTCCTGAATGTCAATGTGGAAATAGCCCACGCGTCTGTATCGGCGTTCATGTTCTGGGGAATGCGTCAGAACAATCCCCACGTGCGTATCTGAACTTTGAGAAGAGCCCATTCTTTGTTGAGCTCCCGAAGCACGAGCTATAAGTAAGCTGTACAACTCGATGTTGTTTGGGAGGTCGTAGTCTGGGTGAAATGGGCATTGTCGGTGGATATGTTGTATCCCTTGGCAATTCCTATGGACACGAATATCTTTGTTCATGCTAGAAGCAGAATTTTGACCATATTTTAACGAATCCGGAGCGCCAGGTCGTAACAGGCCTGAAACCTTGACGCAATGTTTCGTTGCATCTACCAGTAGACCACGGCGTACAAAGTCTGTTGCATCTGGCAGACCAATGATGTCCGCGAGAAGAGAAACTCGTGCGGCGGGCTCATAAATGATCTGCGGTCCCTGTACATCAATGCTGGCCCAAGACCAAGTCGGCGACCTCTCACGACAAGGCGCGCCTCTTCCTCCCCTGATATACCATAGCATATCTCGGAGGAGATACTCTTGCCATAACCCAAATGACCAGGTGAGTTGTGATTTTGTCTGAACTTGCTTTGCAAGACCAGCCAAAGCAACCAGCAAGTCTGACTTGCGGCTCAGATTCGTAGTCGAATATCTCCTGACGAGCCCATGCCAGAAGGAGAGAAATGCGTCTTGGGCAGATTCATCAAGCCCGTAGGGTCCAAACATGGAAAAAAGTACTTGATAATCTGTTTTGGCAATTGCGCCGCTGTGATAGCATGCGTCAGATCCTCCCATAGCTCCGCAACGGAGCTCAGTCCTACACTCAAGATGAACGAAGTTGCGAGTCAAGTGCACCGTCCGAGGCGACAATATTCGCTCCTGGAAAACCCATGCTCTGGTATCGAGGTGAAAGCGCGCTTTATCGAAAGGGTGTAACAAACAATGTGGAGTGCATGATGGAACGACTTCATAGTAGAGATTCGTGCTCGCGTCCAGTCGACAAGATAGTTGACTCAACGGATTTCGCGGCACGATCATGCTTGAGTTGCCATCAAAGCATTCGGCTGCCGCGATGGTGACAACTGCGTTCCCGAAGATGTCGTTCATCTTGCCTGCCTGGTCAACCCAGTCGTCCGAAGCTGCAGAAGATTGGCTTCCATCTTGCATTATGCAAAGGGCATCGATCCATAAGTACCTAAACCCGAGACCCCTAACGACTTGAATAGAGTCTTGTATTAGTTTCGGCAAATCTTTGACGTGAATTTCTTTCTGAAACGCCGCGAAATTAGACGACGTCATAACATAGGGCTTACTGAATCCCCAGCTGTAACTCAAGGCGCAGTATTCCTTGGTGTGGTCATCATTGGCCTCGATAATTCGTATTTTCTCGACGTCCTGGAAGGCTAATAGATCTAGCAAGCGCCGGGGTCGTGATTTTGTTTCCGTGGAACCAAGAATCAGGCTCAAAAGGTCGTCGCCGCACAGGATATGAGTACTCTGACATTCAGTAATCCAAGATCGGATGAAGTCAGCAGTTGCGTCGGAATAGGTTGTTGACTGCAGCGTCGATAAAAGGTGTTGATTGTCAGCTTTTACGCCTCCGTAACCCTCTGAAATGGATTAGCCCAGAGAATCTAAGGACCCAATAAGTTATACCTGTGATTGGGCGCAGTTGTAAGGGATAATCGCTGAGTATTTGATCATGACTGAAAATCTTTGACTCTTCGCAGGGAAACAACGTAAGGAGAAAGGTACCAGCATCTGTGTCCAACATCGCTATTGAGATATAGACAGGGTCATTCTTGTCACCAGAGAACTGCCGATCACCATGATCTCCGGTGCATCCTACAACAGCTCCAACGATGATGGAGCAGAAGTGGCAGCCTTGCGAGGCAGCGGATAGAACATCAGTACGGCTGGGAGTGAAGAGAAGATGCTGTGGCATCGATGGGACACCTTCTCCGCCGCTGAGAAGAACTTCAGGTCGGAATCTGAGGCATGTTGCACGTTCCCAGAAAGATGTACAGAGGGAGCAGAGAGTATGAGGTTGTAAAGTTTTGACGTCAGATTTGTTGTCTGACATACCGGGCGAGCTGGCTCGGTTCTTGTGAAGAAGGCGACACTATCTGATACCGGGAGATTGCCTATGCCAAGAACCTGAAATGTAGGACTTGGTGTTATCACGCATGAAGCCTCACACGTGATGTACCAGCCAGTTCTCTTGGGGGTCGCATCGCCTAGCGCATCTTGTTGACATGGGATAAAGGTGTGGCGGCATCACTGAACATGGGAGGCTGATTTTGTTGCCAAGGTTCATCGTGTCGGGAGAACAAAAAGAAAAGGCTAATGAGAACGAGTGCGTAAGATGCTAAAACCTGGCGACGCAGGTTGTGAGGATAAACATATGAAGGGAAGCACCGAGGACCCTTGTGGTGGGAATGCGCTTACCCCAGCTATTATCCCGTTTTGGTGGAACCTCGAATGCGATCGCATTCAGAGAAGGATCCACTAGCAGCAACACCATGGGCAAGGGTCCTTTGACAGGAAACGAACCACTAGCATGAACGTCACGACGGAATCAATGTCATCATTCATGGACTTTCTGTTATATAAATACCCTTTCTTCTCTTCCTCGTAACTCATACCTGACAAGAATCTGCAATGTCCGACTTCCACGACAGCAATGTCACAAACAACCTTCAAGGCGCCGGGGCCATCCACGCCGATTACACAACTTGACGATGTTCATATCAACGACAGGGACTCAGAGACATGCCAAGTTCGCAATCAACACCGTCCTGTCCGAGAAACGCCGATTCATAATTTGAGCAACAACCATGACGCTTCAAGCTCCAATGAACCCGGCATCCAGAGTACCAAATCGAAGAAGACTCTGCTTCAGATCGCAACAGTGATGTCCTCACTCTGCGCCTGTGTCTTCCTTGCCGCACTTGAATTGACAATTGTGTCAACCGCACTTCCAACCATCGCCGCCCATTTTGCATCTGATTCGGGTTATACTTGGATAGGCACATCTTTTGTCCTCGCCCATACTGCCTCGACACCACCGTGGGGGAAGATTTCCGATATCTGGGGTAGAAAACCTATATTACTCGTCGCCAATGTCATATTCTTTGCGGGTAGCCTTATTTGTGCTCTGGTTGATGACCTGGATATCTTTATCGCTGGGCGGGCCATTCAAGGATTGGGCGCTGCTGGGATGCAGACGCTGGTGAATATCTGTATCAGCGATATGTTCTCACAACGGGACCGGGGGCTATACTATGGACTGACATCGATTATCTGGGCCGTTGCGTCTGGGATTGGTCCCGTACTTGGAGGCGCGTTTACGGATCGGTTGAAGTAAGGTTGTGTCTGTTGGAAGGTATTCTTACTAATAGTGTCCAGTTGGAGATGGTGTTTTTGGATCAATTGTAAGTTTCCATTACAGATGTTCCGAGCTGTAGCTGATATCCCTAGTACCCATCACCGCTGCAGTCTTTGTTCTCTTGGTCTTCACCCTCAAACTCCCATCTCCCAACACCCCTGTTTGGGCAGGTCTGAAAGCCATCGATTGGCCCGGCAGCTTTCTCATCATAGGAGGGACTTTGATGTTGCTGCTCGGTCTTTATCTTGGCGGCGTGTACGAGCCTTGGAACTCTGCAAAAGTGGTATCTCTCATAGTTTTTGGGGTGGTCACTGGCGTATTATTCATATGGAACGAGTGGAAGTTGGCAGAGTTTCCTGTTCTACCAGTACATCTCTTCAAGACCTGTTCATCCTCCTCAGCATACGCCGTCACATTCTTCCATGCGTTTGTGTTTCTTGGTGTCGCCTATTACCTACCGTTATACTTTCAGGCAGTTCTTCTAGCGAGCCCACTGCGCTCGGGTGTGTATCTTCTCCCCTTCATCTTGCCCATCTCAATTTCTGCTGCTCTTACTGGAGTCTACATCCAGTTCAGTGGCAAGTATCTCCTTGTCTCCCGTGTTGGGTTAATGATCATGACACTGGGAATGGGCCTAATGATCAGCCTAGACATTAACATGAACTGGGCAAAATTGATCTCTTTTCAGATACTGACAGGAATTGGGGTTGGCTTGAACTTTGAAGGCCCCTTGTTGTCTGTTCAGGCTGTTGTGCCGCACAAGGACGTTGCCGCCGCGACCACGGCGATGGGCTTTGTCCGAACACTGGCCACAGCGATATCCGTTGTCATTGGCGGGGTACTGTTCCAGAACGAAATGAAAGGTGAATATCAGATTCTTGAAGATAGTCTGGGTTCCGGCCTTGCCAGGTTGTTCAATGGTGCATCTGCGTCTGCGAGCGTTGATCTGATCAAGACCTTACCGACAGAGTCGCAACTTGTCGTGAGGACAGCATTCTTCAATGCTATTGACAAGATGTGGGTAATGGTACGAAAATCGACCGACTTCTAACTCCTCTTTCATACTGATCCTCGATAGTATACCGCATTCTCCAGCGTTGGCTTGTTGCTCGGTTTCTTTATGAAAGCGCATCATCTCAGCAAAGATCATCAGGAAGCACACTTGGGCATTGTAAATGAGGCGCGGGGATCGAACCAGGCAGACGAGGTTGACTTTTCGATAGGCACTAGCGAGAGTCAGGAAATGAGACGCGTTACTCCTAGACATCGAGGTGCATCGACGACTTGATATAAAAATAGGCATGTAGGAGGATAGCATGACACCGCGGTTTGATTATTTGGAAATTTTTGAACAACAATCATTTGGACCAGAAGTTAAATAAAACTATTCTCATCAATTTCAGAAATATCTCCATGCCTGCTTTGACTGATCAAGGCGAAATCATTTATGCAATTTGGGCCACTTACTCCTGTCCGTGCTCAGCACAGTATCAGGGAGCTATTCGCACCTGCAAGCTTGAATGTTATCTTTCGACCACGACGTAACTTTGTGTTCCCTCAACAGTTATCATTTCTCAGAAACAAGTGCAGATTGAAATTTTCTCATGCCAATAAAGCTATGGAAATAGATTAATTCAGTGTGTATCTCTTTTCTGCTATCACTCCATCCTGCAAGAGCAGAGATGAATGAGCCATGTTCAACCAACACCTCCGACAGAAGAGATGCTTCATCATCGCTTGACGGTCAACCAGACGGCTTCATAGAGCATGAAGTCGACAACAATCCAAACCTTCCGCTCTTAAATAGCCATAGACATCCTTCTGCGGCCGGCAGTACCCTGTTGCCTCAAGGGAACACCATCGACGATGAAGAGGCAAACAAGGTATTGGCCAAGATTGACAGAGCCATCATTCCATTACTGTTCATAACCTATATGTTGAATTTCATGGACAAGGTCATTCTATCCAGCGCCGCTGTTTTTGGACTAAGAGAGGATACTGTATGTCCACCATTCGATCCCAGCCCTTCACCACTGATATTATTGCAGAATCTCAAAGGCCAGCAATACAGCTGGGTCGGCAGCGTCTTTTACCTAGGCTATCTTCTATGGACATATCCAACAACTGTTCTCGTTGCACGCCTTCCAACTGGGAAATATCTCACAGTAAACACACTATTTTGGGGCTTGGTCGTTGCACTCACTGCGGCATGCCATAACTTCGGTGGCCTCTTGGTCATGCGATTTCTTCTAGGAGTCGCAGAGGCCACGATAACGCCCGGTTTCATGTTTTTGACTTCAACTTGGTATACGCGCGATGAGATGCCGACTCGTGTTGGAATCTGGTTTTCTGGGAACTCTGTTGGGGGCTTGGTGGCCAGTTTGCTTGCATTTGCAGTTGGGCATGTCCATGGAGCGTCGATACGACCTTGGAGGTGGATGTACATCATCTTAGGCACCACGACTTTTATGTGGGCAATACCTTTGTTTTTCCTTCTTCCAGACAACATCTCTAAAGCTGCTTTCCTCACGCCAAAGGAGAGAAGAATCGCGGCACAGCGTGTGGTATCTTCCGGTACTGGTACGACTGAACATACGAATTGGAAATGGGATCAGGTCCGTGAGTGCTTGATTGACCCCAAATCTTGGTTCATCGTGGGTATTGAGTTATTCACGCAGATTCCAAATGGCGGGTCACAAAGCTTCGCGAATATTGTGGTCGAATCTTTCGGATTCACGAATTTGCAATCCACACTCATCAACATACCTTACTCACTTCTATCAGCAGGTATCATATCAGGAAGCGGATACCTGGCTGGCCGATTCCGCACGCTGAACTGCATTTTGATCGTTGGTGTCATCATACCATGTGTCATTGGCAGTGGAATCATTTACAAACGAGACAATGTGCCTCACGGCATCCATCTTTTCGCTTACTTCCTTCTCTCGAGCGGATCTGCAGCCATGCCTCTCAACATGGCCCTAGTACAATCGAATTATCGAGGGGTTACTAAGAAGATGACCATAACAGCCATGCTGTTCATCACATATTGTGTTGGAAACATGGCAGGGCCACATTTCTTCCTCAAGTCCGAAGATCCACTGTACGAGACTGCTTTCAAGGCTATCACTGTCTGCTACAGCCTGGCTACAGTCTGTGCTATATGCTTAAGAAGTTATCTCAAAAGACTGAATGAAAGACGAACAAGAGAAGAGGGTATCGTTGGAAGTGCTGGCTTAGGGGGTGTTGTACGAGGGGATGTTCAGGGGCATGGAGATTTCTCGGACCCTGAATCAGATGTGACGGATTGGCAGGTTGTCGGTTTCAGATATAGACTTTGATCAATCCTCTTTTGCTCACTCCGATACTATTGAATTCACACATTGGTGTTTTTCTGGCTGTCATTGCAGGACGCTGTGGCCTGGTACTGTCGATAACATTGTCTGATATGTCAATAGAATGATTGAGGCATCCTCCTATCAGCATTCAAGCTTTGTTTTCACACTTCGAAGCAGCATAAACTATACATATATGATATCCAATAAAACTGCAAAATTCACGCCGTTGTTATACCCATTCCCAGAAGAACTTTAATTGTTCACTGTTATATAAGACCTCCTCATTTCCTTCGGTCACAGTGCTAGTCTCGTCTTCAACTGATTCAGGTAAGTCACGTGGGTCTCCGGCTGAGTGTTTCACCGACCCGTCAATCGCCCCATATCATTTGAAAGCACCAAGGCACCCACTTTGAACTTTCGACATCCACAACGAAAGTCCAGGTCTTTTTCTGGACCATCATATACCTTTTTCCCAGCGCATCAGAAGTTTGATCGCGTATCGCTCGAAAATGTCGTGGAGAAGCCAAGGAATCACCGGTTCCAACAACATCCCTCTCGGGAAGCGTCGCTTCGGAGATGAGGAGGAGGAGTTTAATGGCAACGCTGGAGTCGATCGCGACTTGAAGCGTGGACGCGATCCCGAGCCTCGCAGCGAAGCTGATGGACCTCGACGACGAAAGAAGCGAAACCGATGGGGTGATGCATCCGAGAACAAGGCGGCTGGCCTCATGGGCTTGCCCACTGCTATCTTGTCCAACATGACAAGTGAACAGCTTGAGGCCTACACACTGCATTTGCGTATCGAGGAAATCTCCCAAAAGCTTCGCATCGACGATGTCGTCCCAGCTGACGGCGATCGGTAAGTTTTTTTTTCCTGGTAATCTCCTTCACTGCTAACTAATGACAGATCGCCTTCTCCCGCTCCTCAGTACGACAACCACGGTCGACGTATCAACACACGAGAGTACCGATATCGAAAGAAGCTTGAAGATGAGCGCCACAAGCTTATCGAGAAAGCCATGAAGACCATTCCTAACTACCACCCGCCACAGGATTATCGTAGGCCTACTAAGACTCAGGAGAAGGTCTATGTTCCTGTTAACGATTATCCGGAAATTAACTTCAGTATGATTGCTAACCCTTTAACCCTACTTACCAAAATTATCCCCCTGTTTTTTGTTTTCCTTTTGGAGTTTGATCAGACTCACCATCACACCCTCGGTGGTGTTTGGAGGCCTGGTCCTTCATCGAATGGACTAACCCTTACACGTTCATCTAATCTTTGCAAATCAGACACTAACACTAGCTCTCTCGTACTAAAGTTGGTTTACTTATCGGACCTCGAGGTAATACTCTGAAGAAAATGGAGGGAGACTCAGGCGCCAAGATCGCCATTCGTGGCAAGGGCTCCGTAAAGGAGGGTAAGGGTCGGTCTGATGCCGCGCACGCCAGCAACCAGGAAGAAGATCTGCACTGTCTCATCATGGCCGATACCGAAGAGAAGGTCAACAAGGCTAAGAAGCTCATCCACAACGTCATTGAGACTGTAAGTCTACCCTGAAGCCCCACAAGATTTATACTAACACTGTCCAGGCTGCGTCCATTCCTGAAGGCCAGAACGAACTCAAGCGAAACCAGCTCCGAGAACTCGCCGCACTCAACGGTACCCTCCGAGACGACGAGAACCAGGCTTGCCAGAACTGTGGCAAAATCGGTCACCGCAAGTACGACTGCCCTGAGAAACAAAACTACACTGCGAGCATTATCTGTCGCGTCTGTGGCAACGCTGGTCATATGGCGCGCGATTGTCCTGACCGACAGCGTGGTGCTAGCTGGCGCAACAACGATGCTGGCGCTCGCCCTGCTGGTCGTATCGGTGGTGGAGATGATGTTGACCGTGAATACGAGGTAAGAAAACCGCTATTTTTCCTACTTATACAATACTAACACACATTAGCAACTCATGCAAGAGCTTGGTGGAGGGTCTTCTGGAGCTCCTGCGCGTATCGAGGCCGGCCCTGGCGCTCAGAACAACGGAGACGCGAAGCCTTGGCAACGAGGTCCAACTGGTGGTCCTGCACCATGGCGCAGCCGCAACCAGGATTCTAACGAAGGTGGATCGGCAGCTCCCTGGGCTAGAGATCGCGGTGGTCGCAACGAAGATCATCACGCCGGTAACAGTGGTGATAGCTACTACGGACAAGCTTACGCAGGTGCCTCAGGTGCCGCTGCTCCATGGGCGCAACAGGCTCCTGGAACTCAGGGTGGGTATGCTGGTTATCCTGGCTACGGTGCCTACGGGGCTGCTCCCGGAATGGGAGCTCCCCCTGGTCTTGGTGCTCCTGGCAGTGCGCCTCCTCCTCCTCCTGGTGCTCCCCCAGGCCTTGGAGACATTAACGCCTTCATTCAGCAGTATGCCGGCGCTGCACCACCTCCTCCTCCGCCTTCTGGAGATGCCCCGCCACCACCTCCCAGTGATCAGCCTCCACCTCCTCCACCTCCTGGTGCTTAAATGAGCAGACTAACGAGGCTTTTTGGTTCTGAGAGGCTTTCTGACACAGCTTTAAACATCGACTATAGTTTAAGAATCGTTATATAACCGGACACCGACAACGGAGGATAAGCGATCGTTTCTAACGTGGCAGCAAACTAACCACTGACTGCAATATGAGACTTCGTTTCATTGCTTCATATCAACGAGCTTTGATGTTCAGCTTGTGTTTTGCGAGATAAATCATTAAAGCAAGGAACTAATCGCGTAGGCAAATTGTACTTGATAATTGAGTCGTTTTAGTTATGATCTGTCCCTCCTATTGCTGTGATCTTGCTGAAGAAGTCTCCAATTGTGAAATGCCCTGTTTATGCACGTAAACTCATTTAATGCAGCTCATACATGCGTAGACCCCGCATTGCAGTGGTTCTGGCGTCATTGTACGTATCTTTTTACCTACCGGAACAGGGAGCTTGGGCCATGTGACAAGGGAATGGAAGCAACGCAATCAGCAACAGTTGCCTCACTTTGGCTCATCAAGTTCTACAAACTTCATCTCAATTTAGTACTCGACGATATCTCAGTTTTTGGTGCACTTGAGTGAGGTGACTACGACGCCTTGAAGAAGTCGCGTTCTTGAGGTGTCTTGTGCAGTGCCTTCTTGTTTCATTTTCATGACGGGGGTCATCTGATCTAACTAGATCCCTCTTCCGTCTCGTACTCTCCCTCAACTGCCTTGTCTTATCTTCCATCTTCTTGGCTCTTTTCTTCGTGATTCTCAGCCTTTGCACTACTACGCGCTGATTCAAGACCTGACCATGATCCTACAACTTTAATCGTCATATACTTTTCACCTATACTTTTTTTCCACTCCGCGACGCACTGACGTGGGCGCGTCACCTAGGATTACCTCAGCTTCAATTCAAACCAAATCATCATCTCATCATGAGGGCTAAGAATCCTCTTGCCTTCCGGCCAGGGCCTGTGTCGTTCTGGACGACTGCTATATATCTCGCTCTTTTTATTCCTCTTATTTGGGTCCACGAAACTGTTCCTTCAGCTCCGGCTGATCGATCCCTGTATCAGGGTCTCAACTTGACCGAGGCATGGCTCGATTTACAGACCATTACTCGCGCCTATCATCCCTACAACAGTCACGAAAATGACCGAGTACGCGAGTTCCTCATTAACCGCACCAAGGAGATTCTCGATCGCAATGACATGTCGTATACTACCGAAACGATTGGTGGTGTAGAATGGCACTCGAGGTCAGTCCCAGTCGCGCTCTCACGCGCATATCGTTAACATGAGTAGAACATCTTCTATGGAGAATCAAGATTCGCTGGTCTCAGCCCAGGATAAGCCTCGTGGAGCAACCCTCTTCGATGACAGGACTTCCAACGTTTCCTGGACTTACAACACTGCTCGGCGCATGGGCTCCAACATTTCCAAAGGAACATGGTTGGGACAGTACTTTGAGGGCAACAACTACTATGTCTACATCCACGGCAAAGACGATCCCGAGGGTGAATGGTGGCGTGATGAATCCAAGTACAAGAAATTCCGTGGCCAGGGCGGTGTTCTTGTCAACTGCCACTTTGATTCGTACGTGAAAACAAGATGTTGCATTTCTTTAACTGACAATGTTTCAGCGTTTCCACCGGTTATGGTGCTACCGACGATGGTATGTCCTGCGTGTCGATGCTGCAGCTTTTGAGTTACTTCACACTCAAAGGACGCCAACCCAAGAACGGTATTGTTCTCCTCTTCAACAACGCCGAAGAGGATGGGCTTCTTGGCGCCAGAGCCTTTGGTTACAGCCCCTTATTACTATTTATTCACACATTCGTCAACCTTGAAGGCGCTGGAGCTGGAGGCCGTGCGCTGCTTTTCCGTACCACTGACTTGCAGGCTGCAAAGGCCTACTCCAAGAGCCCTCATCCGCTGGGATCCGTCGTTGCTGCCAATGCTTTCGAGAGAGGTGTGATCAAGAGCGCAACCGATTACGAGATCTTTGCAGATGCCTACGGACAAAGAGGACTTGACATTGCTTTCTATGAGCCTCGCGCTCGGTACCATACCAACCAGGACGATACACGGCACACATCTGTTAACAGCATTTGGCACATGCTCTCAGCTGCTCTCGCGTCGACTGAGCACCTGTCGAAGACGACTGGCACCATCTTCAACGGTGACCGCTCCGATGGCAACTCTGATCTTGCTCAGAACGGAAAGCAAGCCGAGGGTGTCTGGTTCGATATCTTTGGCGCTGCGTGGGCCGTGTTCGCGCTTAGAGGACTCTTTGCATGGTCTCTAACACTTCTTGTCGCCACGCCACTGATCCTAATTGCCTTTACGTACATCCTGGCTCGCAAGGATAAATACTACTTCTTTGCAAGAGATATCAAGATGCATCATGACATTAACGATGATCCAGTTGTGTTGGGCGGCTGGAAGGGGTTCTTCCGCTTTCCATTCGCCCTTGCTTTTGCTGGAGCACTAACTATTGCATCTACTCTTCTGATTGCTAAGTTCAATCCGTTGATTATTTACAGCAGTGGATACGCTGTGTAAGTGGCTTTTCCTGTTGGGATATCAGAAGCTAATATCTTTCAGGTGGTCTATGACTCTCTCTATCTTTTACTTCTCGTTTTGGCTCATCATGCGTGGAGCCAGCTTTGTTCGCCCCAGTGCACTTCATCGAGGCTTTGTTCTGATGTGGCTCTTTGCCCTCGGTTGGGGTGTACAAGTTGTGTGTGCTGTGGCAGAGGACCGTATGCACATTGGTGCTCTTTATGCAACCGTTTTCTTCCAATCGGCCATTTTCCTTGCCCTGTTCATTTCTCTTTTGGAGCAGTTCGCGTTGCTTGGAAAGCATGACTTTGCCATGCAGCTTCACGACGCTCATCAGGCGCGAGATGTGTCTAGCCGCGATAATGAGCATGAATCGAGACCCCAGACAGAGAGTGAACCTGCTCGTGCTGAGGCGGAGGATGACGAGGACGGATCTGATGATGCTACCGAGACTACGCCGCTTAGGGCCGGTGAATCAGGATATGGGTCCAACGCCCCGACCTCGTTTGCCAACACATACCGCCGTTCGGTTGCTGAAAACTCGCCCTCTCCGCCTAGTATGCGACGATACCAGCCTTTCGAGCATGAGCAGAGCTGGTCTGGACGCCTTCCTACGTGGACTTGGATTCTCCAGTTCCTCTTTCTGGCTCCCGTACCTGTGATCCTGTTTGGAAACATTGGCCTGGTGGTGATGTCTGCTACCCAGATGACAGGTACTGATGGGGGTAGCCTCCTTGTTCCCGTCCTGTCATTGGGCATTTTGAGCATCTTCCTGTTGCTCCCGCTCACGCCTTTCATCCACCGTGTTACTCACCATATTCCGCTGTTCCTCTTTTGTGTTTTCGCCGGCACCTTCATCTACAACCTGGTCGCATTCCCGTTTTCCGATAGTAACCGTTTCAAGTTTTACTTCCAACAAGTCATCGACTTGGATAACGGCACCAACACGGTCTCCATCGTAGGAATTGAGGAGTATGCGCGATCTGTCATCAGCACCCTACCGAGCACTTTGGGTCAGGAGATCAAGTGCCAGCCAGCTGTTGGACGTGATCTATCAGATTGCCAATACGATGCCTCGTCATTGACGCCCAGACTGTACAGGAATAAAACTCCGGATGATTTGATCTCAGTTGAGACGGTATATGGCAGCGACGGAACCAAAGCACGACTTCGAATCGATGCCATTGACTCGAGGCTTTGCTATGTTCGCACATCACGACCCATCTATGGATTCGCTGTGGATGGTGCAAGCTCACGAGATCCTCGTTTTGGAAAGTTCCCTTCAGAGGGTTTCAGCAGCGTCCAGCTCTGGCGCCGCGATCGAGATCGACCCTGGACATTGAACTTGTATCTGAATGAGCGAAATGCTCTTTCTGCGCTGGAGGACGCGACTCGGAAGGAAATCGATTCACAGGGAGACCACGAATTAAGAGTGCGGTCAGCGGAACAAGCAGCTGATCGTCTCGAAGTCACTGTCAGTTGTGCTTACAGTGATGCTAACACGCCTGGAACGATCCCAGCGCTTGACGAGCTTCTCAAGTTCATGCCGACTTGGGCGGCAGTTACCAAGAAGAATGTTGGACTTGTAGAAGTTCGCAAGACTCACAAAGTTTGAGGTAGGATAGATAGTACACGAGCATGACCGGAACCTGCAAGAATTGGCTGAAGCATTTCTAGAGTCGCTCCTGAGTATGGTTTCAAGGCATGGTGCTAGCCATGGGTTGGAGTTTGGGGTTGGTTTGATGCATTGGTTTGGCTTGGCCTACTGTTTAATGATTGAGTAACCTGAGTGCCGTAACGAATATGACTGTCGAATATGCTTAATGGTATGAAGGATGTATGAGTGAAACTTGGTGCAACAATACCACGATAAACATTATTTGACACCCAACTTAGGGCCGGTTACCTAAACTAGAAGTCATTTCTAGATATAAATGTATGAATTAAACACCAGTCAGTCCAACGCTGTGGATAGGTATTTATGTTGCCAAGTTTCGTTATCTGACTACCGGGTAGCTCGGGTTGGTCGAAAACTCCGCCGATAGATTTCGTCATCCCTTATCTCTATTATCACAGCTTCACTTCAACATTTACCAAACTCAGCAACATATAATGGCACCTCAAATATGGCTGCCTTCAGAGCGCTCTGGAGGAGCTCCAAAAAAAGCGCTCATTCACTATATCTGTGGTAACCCGGGCCTCATTGAATACTACACCGACTTCCTCAGCCATGTACGCGGGCTTTTGGACAAGATCGAAACGGACACTGCTTATGACATCTACGGCACAAACTTGCTCGGCTTCAGCGACGACGACCATGAGCCTTTCAATTCCAAAAACAAACCTTGGGATCTGGAGGGTCAGATTGAGGGTATGTACGACATCGTTGCGGCTAAAGGAAAAGGTTACGACTTTGTGATTCTCACGGGCCATTCTGTCGGGTCATTCATCACTGTTGAGATCTTCCATCGCCATATGAAGAATCCGGAGAGAGCACCGCATCTGAAGCTTCGACATGGATTCCTGATATGTCCAACGCTTACGCACCTCGCTCGATCATCTAATGGTGTACAATTCGAGTTATTGCGTCGTTTCATTCCCTTCCTCGACACTGCAGCTTGTTTACTCGCACGTCTTCTCCTTGGTCTTCTGAGTGTCGCAAGCGTGACATGGATCGTTCAACGTCTTCTGGGCTTTACGCCTGCGAGCGCAGACATCACTGCACGATGGTTGAAGAGCAGAGATGGCGTGTTGCAGGCAGTTCATCTGGGATTGACGGAGCTGGAGATGATAACTGAGGAGAAATGGAACGATGATCTATGGGATGCGACTGGAGAAGAGAATGGAGTACCGAAATTCTTCTTGTTCTATGCCAAGAAAGATCACTGGATTCATGATGCCGAGAGGGAGGGCATCGTGGAGAAGAGAGGAGGTAAAGCGAGGATTGTGCAGGATGAAGGGGATATTCCTCACGCTTTTTGCACGAGAGAGGGTAAGTTGACGATTGAAACACTTGCGGCGGTTGCTAACAAGTTAAGACGCAAGCTTAGAAGTTGCAAGAAGAGTCTGCGGTTGGGTCGAAGAGATCGAAGCAGCCAAGAAGTGAAACGAGGTGAAACAAACTTGGGTCAAGAATACGGGGCCCAGTCCTTTGTTCAAGGGCCTTTTGACAAACAATAATAGACGTGTACAGTGAGCATTGGCCCATAACTGAACATCACGAAGCTGACCCCAAAGACTAGACAAGTTTGCCACGAACTTATGCATAATAGAAATGATTTCCATTGGATCTCGATCGAAACTATATTATCAACCACATAATGAATGGTTGGCCTTGTCTATTTACGGCGTGACATCGCTTGCTGCACTCCCCGCATGAGGCCGCGTAAGGTTTTCGGGCCCCGGTGCTACCAGAAACGGCGACAGACGTCGACCACTTTTACTTGGAGATGACTCGTCATGTTTTTGCTTGGGCTACTTCTAGAAGGTGAGTGTTTACTCGAATGATGAGGATTGTGGTCACGACTTGGGTGGTATGATTCTGACTGTCTCAGTTTGTTGATTCATGACTTTCGATTACAGTTTTGAATTCACGATCAATCAGGGCAGAGAAATGAGACAAGTGTCACTGGTATATTTGCTATATTCTGGTGGTTCAAGACCATTAATTATTAACCCGTGATATCAATCACAAATCCGAATCCAATTCCCATGTACACATATCCCATTCCTCCTCATCACTTTCCTTTCAACTCGTAACAATGCCTCTCATCTCAATGTGCAGACTGAGTAGTCTTTTCACAATGAGGAAAATTGGCGTCTCATAATTGACTCCATTTACAGAGCAAGGGCCATGAGGGCAGCCATGGCCATGGCGCCGAGACCCTTGAGGCCAGCAGCGCTGTTCTCGCCGACGCCTGAGGGAGCGGGAGTGCTGGTGGCACTGCCGGCAGCCTCGGACTTGGTGGTGGGAGTCTCGATGACGGGGGGAACAGCGGTGGTCTTGCTCTCAACGACAGGAGGGACAGTGGTGGTCTCGACGGCGGTGGTCTCAACAGCAGTGGTCTCGACGGCAACGGCGCTGGTGGTGACGACAACCTTGGTGGAGGTCTCGGCCTTGGTGGTGTCAGCCTTGGAGGACCCCTCGGAGCCGCTGCCGGCCTCGGGGTTGTCGCAGAGCTTCTCAGTAGCGGGGAGAACCTCGTCTGAGATGAGTCAGTATATGAATGTCTTATCAGGTATTGGTGATTTGAAACTTACTGATGGCAACGTCGGAACCACACTTGGTGATCACACAAGAGGTAGCGGCGCTTCGGACATCGTCGAAGTTCTTGCAGACGCAGGTGAGATCGGTCTTGTCACACTTGGTCTTGCTGGCGATGGCATCGTCAAGGCAAGGAATAGCGCACTTGGGAACGTCGCCGAGGGACTGAGCCGAGACGGCGGCGGCGAGGGCAGCAATAGCGAAAGAGTACTTCATTTTGAAGGTTGTTCTTGGTTGTCTTTAAGTTGATAAACTTGTTGATATGCGAGAAGACACAACGAGTGTAGAGAGGCAAGGCTGAAGCTGATGCTGAATTGGTCCAATGGAAGCGAGTGGATGAGGAGGAAAAGAAAGAAGGAAGCTTGAGAGATGGATGAGAAGAGGCTTTATGTATCTGAAGATTGGAAAGGGAATCAACAAGTCAACTCGACTTGGTTAGAGCGTCACGGTGCCGTTGCCCGTTAACCATTACAGGAAAGACCAGCCTCTTTTCCTGCAGACTTGCAGGTCAACTTCTTGTTCTTGATTCTGATCCTCGTCCTTTCTGGAGTCTAGTGTGAGTGGACTCGGGGGGGTCGGGATACGCTGCGACGAGCCGGAAGCTGAAGTGGACGAATGGGAGGTTCAAAGAAGGACAGGGAACTCTTACCAGGGAGGGGGTGCTAGCCACGGGGGTTTCTATTCTCGCTGTGGTAACTAACTGAGGGCGTGTAAGAGCTTTTGTTATGCCGTTGTGAGAGCGGGGCGGGCTTCCGGATTCGATACACACGGCCGAATAGATCGACGAGGGGTGATGCCAAAGTCCGGGGGCGAGATGCGGAGATGGGTATAGCGCTAGGGCATGTGAAGTTCTCGGTTCTCTCTCAGACTCTTGAGAATGAACTTTTCGGAGATTGAGCTCGAAAAAGAACATGGACGAACTGTCTAGTTCATCAAAGCAGAAAAAAAGCTGGAGATTTCGATCCACCCCCGGATATTGGACAATGCTCCCCTTTTTTTCATTGAGATTTATTATTACGATCTCCGGGGTAAAAAAGCTTCAATACCTGGCATTGGAGAAGAGAAAATATGTACTGTAACAGTTGCAGTGAGTTGACGCCATTAGGAGAATCCTTCAACGGGGACTTTGGACTTGGACTTGGCCAAGTCACATGCTGGACTACAAGGGTATCCGAGGGCCGATTGATGGGGGAGCTTGGAACTAGGCCCGACTTGAGCGGCAAAGCCGAAGAGAAAGAGGAGGAACTAAATAAAAAGAGGGAAAAGAGAGGCGAAGAAAACAGGTTTGATGGTGAGGCAACCATCATTCATTGCAAGGCAGGCAAAAAACTTGGGGATGGGACGCCAATGATGCAGGAACAAAAGATGCTAATGGGTTGACAGTTGTGACTAGAGTTGAGTTGATGGTAGGTCAATTGACTACTATAGTACCATTATTTGCAGTACAACTCTAAGATTTTGACATGCCTTGGTCTACTACTAGACAACAAATTGACCGCTAGTTCCTCTATCTTTGACCAACTTTCTCAAAGTCAATGCCTGATCTCTCTTCCTCTCCTTACTCATCAGAGCTTGACCTCAGTGCACGGTGTCCCAAACTCCCCCGCATCTCACATCGTACACCACCACCACCCACTAAAACACACACTCACACCCCTGTAGCCGGGAATAAAAGGGGACCCTGTCAGACTTGCAGGGATCTTGACCAACTGCCTTCCTACACTGGACAAATGCGCTCGAATTAACCGCTCTTTTCGACCGCCACGCCGAGGCTCACATGCGAGGCAAAGGAAGTGTCCGATTTTTCTAGCAGGCTCTACAGCACAGGAATAATTTACGTGGATTATGGAGGAGTGTTGCTGGGTACAGGAGGAGCTGAGCAAAGAATCTGGAGAAAATGTTGTTTAGCGGGATCTTCTTACGCGGGAGGGAATCGAATGGTCTGATCGCAATAATTGTGGACAATATCCGCTGTTGCCGACTTGGCGAACATGCATGAGAGACGAACCGTCGCGGTAGCATTTCCCATTAAAAATCATGAGATTCAAGATCTGATTAAACACATTGAACATATGTAAGCTGAACTGATGAGGCGTGGATAAGTTATGTAGCACAAGAGATCTCAATCTTCATAATGCACTTATACATCGTCAACTATATGCCCACCTCCTGCACCATGAGACGACGGTGACGACCGACACCACACCCTCAATGAGCGGTTGTGCGGCGTAGTCAGTGAGTGTTTTCCAGGGGCAGACGAGGTTTTGCAGCGATTAAAATAGCTGTATGCAACCATCTCAGCTCGGGTTTGCATGCCCACATACTCTGCATGTCGTGTTGGTTGGTAGATCTGCCTTGGTTGGTGAATTTTTTGAGACACGGCGAATCTCCGTTAATAAATGTAAGGAGAAGGCTGAGCTATAACTTGACTTTGAGTTTCAAAGGATTCTGTAGACCGAGGCTGAAAGGCCAATTGAAGCATATGAAGTTTCCTCCCTCACGCTGAAGTTGACTGTTCCTGAGAGTAAGGTAATCATCACCAACATGCACGGGGAGTTCCCATCTTGCTTGATTCGCTAGGGGGTATTTACCACCAATCACCCTCGAACCCCTGCATCTTGGTGGGGGGAAAAGAGCTCAAAAACTTGGACAACGTCATTTCAACCCTTTCCAAGCTTCGCTGAGGATTGGTTTCATGGAGAAGATAGTCTGACGTCGAATTTTGGAGGAGCCTTGATATTCGAGAATATGGGGATGAAACATGCTGTGATGCAAGGTAGGATTGGAGCACTTGGCTGACGGTGTTGGAGATGATTTACAAGTTTTGGAGATTTCATGCAGGAACTCATGATGAGAATTGTTGGCATGCACCCCCGATTCTTGGGTTGGATGAATCTAGTTGAGATCTATCTGCAATGAACTGGCAAAGTTGCTTGCTGATGCTTTACACCAAGGGATCTAAGTTCTATACCTCCAGCCCTTCAACTCTCACGCAATGCCCGCAACACCATTTTACTCCCATCGCTCATAATCAGGAAAATACCTCTCATGAATCCTCTCCACATACTCCACCAAACTCGAATGCTTCCTCATAATAGCCGCTGAAGTCGGAGCTCTAAAAAACACCATTAGCATAACACCAAACTCACCAACAGAGTAACTCACGCTTCACAAATCAACGACGAGGCAATAAACCCAAAGAGTGTCGCATCAACCTCTGTAGGTTCATCACCACCAAGAGCCCAAAACGGTCCATCGCCTTTCTTCCGCATCCTCGCCTCCGCTAGTAAAACTTCAACGCTCTCCCAAACTTCCTCTCTCAGCTCTGTAACTTCTTCGTCTGTCAAACGGCCCGTTCCTTGTCCATACGCGGTCCTTGCGTTTGCACGAGCTGCCAAATATCCTATAACGACCTGTAGAAGCCACGGCATAGAAGCAAAGATGTTGGAGCGCATGGTATAATAATTATCGCACCATTTCTCGCGAGTACCGTAAAAGTAAACCTTTTCTTCCATAAGAGCTCTAAATGCAAGATCTTGTGCTCTCTGAACAGGCGTCAAACTTGCATTTAGATCAGGAACAAGACCCTCATCGATAAATCGTTTGATAATAAATGTCGAATCGCTCAAAGTCTCCCCTTCAGCTTCAATGTATGGGATCTTTCCTCTTGGTGCAGTTTTCGGTGATCCTTCGGCTACCCTGTAGGACACGCCAGCGAAGCGAAGACGAGCTTCGAGTTTGATGACGAAGGGGGACCACGTAAAAGCGTTAGGCTTTCCGGGGCCACGGAATATTGTAAATTGTGAGACTTTGTTGAATGCCATTGTTGTTATTGAATGGTTTGATGAGTTGCTATACTATTTAATTCGATATATCGTGACTTTTTATAATTTGGTGTTTTTGGACTTCGCGATTCGGTTGTTGGCCGGACTTGAAGCGTTGTCCGGAGACCCACATCGGGACGCGAGACGCAGAAATGTCGAGTCCGGCACGGAGCCATAGTAAGAGAAACGGGTCCGTAATCTTCGGCGTCAATTTCAACCGCTTTATCACTGTCCGGCCTTATCATGATAAGATGCCGATGGATGATTGTGTTCGGACCGACCAGTGTAAATCAGCTCATCATGCTCGAAAATTACCCAAAACGGACACTCCGCATCATAACGAAATCTCTTCAACAAAAGTAGACTCATATAACGCCATTTCAGATTACAAATATTCTCATCTTGTAAATAGCTGCTAATAGATATAAAAGACTGAGCCACTGACTAAGAAAACCGCACTTTCTCGCTTGGACCTTCACTACATCTCCGACTTTCTCGGCCAAATCCACTGTATTCTACCAATCGTGGCGTTCAGCTCGTCCGGAGTCTCCAAGAATGGCGAAGCATCCGTGGGGAACGACTCCGCACCCATGACGGAATTCATCTTGTGGAGGCTCTTGGAGAAATGGTGAGAACTTCCCTCATAACTTATAAAAGTCAAGAACATCCGCCGTGAGAAATATTCTTCAGAAATAAACGTCGAGTTAAATACAGTCGGTCAATATGAGCGGAAAGACATTCAACGTCGGTGTCGTGGGTTATGGGTAGGTTCCATCAACCTCTTCGTGATATCATCAGCTGACACTCAATAGCATGTCTGCCAAAATCTTCCACATCCCCTTCCTCACTCAAACTCCCCAATTCAAACTCCACGCAATCGTTCAACGTTCCCCCAAAGAGGGCAACTCAGCACCTGCTGACTACCCCGATATCAAGCACTACACAGACTACAAGGATCTCTTCGCCGACTCTGCAGTCGATCTTGTAGTCATCAGCACTCCTCCCAACAACCACTTTGAGCTCACAAAGGCTGCTCTCGAGGCTGGAAAGCATGTCTTGACTGAGAAGCCTTTTGTTCCTACTTCTGCTGAGGCTGATAAGCTTATTGAGATTACCAAGAAGAACGGAAAGCTCCTTATTGTTTATCAGAACAGACGATGGGATGCTGACTTTGTTACTCTTCAGAAGATTATCTCTGAGGGAACTCTTGGTCGTATCATTCAGTTCGACAACCACTTTGATCGTTATCGTCTTGTGCCCTCTAAGAACTGGAAGTTAGACCTCCCCCTTTCCCAAGGCGGCAGCGCTCTTTACGATCTGGGAACTCATCTCATCGATCAAGCCTACGTTCTCTTCGGCAAGCCCCAGTCCGTCCACGGCCGTCTTCTCTCTCAACGCGAGGGCAAGTTCGACTTTGAGAACCCAGACGGTGTCTCAGCAGAACTTACCTACCCCGACGGTCTCCTCGTCAACATCCGCATCAGCGTTCTCAGCGCCGAACTCGAGCAGCCTCGCTTCTGGGTCCGCGGCACAAAGGGAAGTTTCCGCAAGCTCGGTCTCGACACACAAGAGGATGCACTCAAGGCTGGTGCGAAAGCTACTGATGCGGACTTTGGAAAGGAGGATCCTGCTCGGTATAAGCTGGTTGTCGTTGATGATAACGAGAAGGCTAAGGAGCAGACTATCTCATCTATTGAGACACCTACCTACAAGGCTTTCTATGCTCAGCTTGGTAAGGCTGTTGAGAGTGGGAAGGAGGAAGATGTTCCTGTGAAGGCATCTGAGGCGAGGGATGTTTTGCAGATCATTGAGGGTGTTTTTGAGAGTGCCAAGACTGGCAAGGATGTCACCTTTGCTTAGAGTATTTAGGAATAAGTAATGAGTTAATGAAGGAAAAGTTATGGATAGGAAGAACTAGTGTTTTTGAGCATGAACCAGTGTCGCGAGAAGTTGTCGTGTGAATCCACCTGCATCTAAGAGCTTGAGACCTGATCAGAGGCGAAATAGCAAATACCTAGATAACATTACATGAGGGAGCAAACAACAAGTATATAGCTTGTGCGTAGTCAACATAGAGCGACGTTGCTGACGGCCCTCAATGAGCTTTAGTAGACGGTGAGGTCCATTCGAGAAGGTCCTCATATCATTGTACCTGCAAATCGCAAGTCTGGTAAGCTGCATACCGAAGGCTAAACGTCACGATAAACTTCACAAGATCGTGCCAATATGGAGAATTCCGAGTAAATAATAAGACGAGTCTCCGACTCATCATCTATCCAACCCCTATATAAACTTCCTCATGAATCCATGTCCTCAAGATCACGGCGCTTCAGATAGAACAAAACTCCAATGCGGTACTCCCATAAGCAAATATATATATATCATCTTTTCCTCTACTTTTCATTCATTTTTAAATGGCGAGCATAAATCCTGCAATAGCTGCAATAGCGATAAAAGCGCTGCTGGCCTTTGACGCTGAGCTTTCCACCTCGATCTGCTCGCCGATGAAAGTAGGGTTATACTCGCTAGGCTCTCTCTCATCAAGAGTTCCGTTCCAGCAGTAATTCGTGAAGCATTCCTGACACTTGTCAGGAACAGTGGTGTTTGTACGGTCGAAGCTGCGAGAGAGCATTGCGCAGCCAACGCAGACGGGCCAGTCCTTGTCGCGCGTGCCGTTTAGCATGGTAGCTACGGCGTAGCCGTTCTCGATGATGGCGGAGAGCTCGGAGGTGTTGATGCTCATTTGGAAGGTGGAGATGTTGGAGGAGTAGACATATGGGTAGTTGGGGATGTAGACGATGAGGGGTGAGGGGTCGGTCATGTTGGTTGCGTTGCAGCCGAAGAAAGTTGGGCGGGTGTTGAGGCCCAGGTTGAGGAATGTGTTCTTGCCGGGGACGGATGGGAATGATGAGCCCTCTGAGATGTTGGTGAGAGAGCGCTCGTAGGTGGCGATGGGAGATGCGCCGTTGGGCCAGCCGTAATCGGTATCGGCGGAGGAGTCGAAGGAGAAGACGACATCGACCTCACGATCTTTTCGGATGTGAGGATAGTAAGGGATGTTCTGGAGGTCTTCACCACCATCGACGAGAGTGAGTCGCTCAGATTCGGCGCTCAAGTTATTCTCGTCATTCCAGCCCTTGAAGGGGTTAGGAGTCCAGTCAGCAATATCGTTGTTGTCAGAGCCAATAGCTTTGAGAACAGAGGTTACGGCTTCGACTGCGATATCCGGAACACCGTCAGGAACGTAGTTGTTGTCGTCTTCGTTGAGATACAGAACAATCTGGTTGAAGAGACTGCTAGAAGTTCCCATGACGAAGCCGGCGTTGTCGAAACCAGCAATGCAGGACTTGTCCTTTGGTAGCTTGCCGTTATCGAACTCTGAACCGACATACTTGAGAGGAACGAAGCCCTGAAGAACGGGGTCGTAGGAACCAAGCTCCCAGGGGGTGAACTCGAAATTGGTCGCGTTGAGACTGATAATAGTCTCGTTTGGCGCACGACCATCCGCAATGATGATGGGCATAGGGGCCTTGCCCTCAGAGAAGTCAGGATCGTCGGCGATTGAAGACCATGTATATGCGGGACCACCATCTGTTGCATTAATAAGTTGGTACGACAGCATACGGCCCCAGTAATCAGTCAGAGATCGTTCATAACCAGCATCCTTCTTTTCGGAGACGGCGTCGAAAATCGTATTGTAGTACTGGAGAAGAGAGTAATTCTCAGGGCCCTCGAGGATCGAATTCTCCAACTGCCAAATTCCGGGATAGTTCACGCTTTCCTGGACAGAAGTAAAGTTGTTCATCATCAAACTGCCCACAAGCCATCCACCACCGGAAAGACCTGAAAGATATGTCGCACTTTGTAGAAGACCACCAAGATTTCCATCCTTGTCGCTTCCATCGGAACGAATATCCCAAGCTGCCAGCGCACCAGCACCGCAAAGCATAGCACGGTAGCCACCTCCAGAGATAGCAATACCAATATTAGGAAGGGCAGTAGGATCTGTCTCAGCATCCTTGAGGTACGCCTCGCTGTCGAAACCGGGAATCGCTAGACGCTTCAAGAGGGTTCGGATAGGGGAGATGGTTTCGTTGCGACGCTTCGGGATCCAATCGCGCTCCATGCTCGAGATGGAAGAGCCATTTCGAATCGTCGGTCGTGTACTCGGACAGTCGACTTTGGAGGGGACGTAGCCATCGGGGGCTTGAGGCGTGCCTCGTTTTGATACTGATCGGGGAGAGAAATCTGAATTGGAGATGGCGACAAAAGCGTCGTCGACTGCGATCGGATCACGTTAGCTCCGATCCGCGATCCCAAGATCTGGGTAAGAAAATGCATGCGATCGCGCCACACCAGCTTCCATGCGCTCGACGACGACAATTGTGAAGCGACATGCGCGCTCGCGAAGAGTGTCGACTTACTAGAAGGTGCAGCAGCGACGGGATTCAATGCGGCGCTGGCAGCCAGCAAAAGGGCGAAGCCCGAAGAAATGGCCATGGCAGCGGCCTCGGGCGGATAAATGAGCGATAAGAAGACGGAATCTATTCACAGCTTCGGAAGGAATGGAAGCGAACAATTCGAGTTGCTGCTGTGCTGTATCGATGAATTGGTGATCGAATCGGCGAAAGGGTGGTCCAAGATGAATAAATGCCAAAGTCAATGTACAAATAAGAAGAAACTGGCCCCGAAAAGAAGAAATGAAGCGAAAACAAGGGAATAAAGAAAAATCAAGAAACACAAGGTCGAGGTTGTGATGGGTATATGAGTATGTAGAAGAAAGGAAAAGAAAGGATTCAGTGTGGGGTGGTCAGTTTAATTGGCAGTATCCGTATCGTCAACGGTTTCTCGATCCGTGCTTTTGCGTTCAGCCAAGGCAAGGGTATTGATTGAAATAGAGTAAGAGAAAAGAGGTCATGGTTCGTATTATATTTAAGAGTAATAGTTAAGCTTGTCTCTCTCATTCCTTCAGTCATCAATTAGCCAAGGGCCACCATTTTCTTACAGGCGTTGCCCTTCTTCTCCCTCTGCCTCATTGCCAAGAATCCGCCCAGCCCTGCGCCGCCTCTCTGAGCTGTATCGGTCTGATGCAATGACACGGGCTGTGTGATTGTGTATTCTGTTCTATTTGAAGATGCTCCGCGGAACGGAGAAGGATTGGGGCGAACAATCTATTGTGAGGATCGATCATCAATGACAATTGTTTGAATAATCATGTTTCAAGGTCAACTCGCGTATGATAATTCCCGTTGCCCTTGTATCGAGTTCAAAGTTACTGCCCACCACCCGCCAACACCCCTGCATCACCCAGCCACTAACAAGCCTTAAAACCGTTCCAGGAACACCCGCTGCATGACTTCAACAAGTCCAACCACGCGCCGAGTCAAACAATGACCTCACCTCAGACTCCTATTGTTATAGGAAATACTCAGTAAAGTAAAGTAAAGTAGAGTAAGCAAAAGATCACCAAAGGCTGAGTATTGAGATCCGCGGAACAAAAGACCCCCAATGACATTACAATGGAACATCAAACAACTGGAGTTAGCTGATCATGGGTCATCAAAATATCCCGATCCACAAGGACTCGGAATGTTTGAGGAAAACCCCTGGCGGCGAAATTAAAGGGAACCCGCCCAGCTCAAACCGCCGTTGCTAATCTCAGAGCCAAGACGGCTTGGCGGCTCTTTTCCAATGCTTCTTCACATGGAATATGATCACAAGAGCGCTTAGATACTCGTATTGTTTGAAGCTGCCCTCGCTAAGTATCCGTAAGACAGATGATGCATTGTTCTGCCACGTATCTGAGCCACTTGTCAGCTGTTGTGGACCATCGACAAAGATCTTCTGCTTCGGTTTATGCACTGCCATCTGTCAGCGCGCAGTGAATCCATCTTGGATCACTGTTGCCTCTGAAAAGGGTAGTTGCTCACGCTGAGTGGCTGAATCCACGTCCGCGGACCGACCACCCATGGCTTCACCACTCGGCCGATCCGGAGTTTTGTAGGATTCCTGCCGCTTACTGCTGCGCGCCATCTTGCTGAATTGGCTGCGGCTTTCAGCCATAAGCCTGTCATCATCTTATTCTATCTCGTGTTGAAAGCTCGGCCCAAGCAGCTCAAGAACAGAGAGCCCGAATTGCATCTGTGTTACGGAACACTGAGCATGGAGTAAGACATTCAACAACAAGCCAGTGACCTGCCTACTCTGGTATTCGTTTAAAGTTGTCTATAAGCTTATTGGTAGCCTTAATCTTGCTTTGTAGAAGCATTTCGAATTCTTACCGCACCCTAAGAGTGCTGGCTCTCCTCATGACTTCATTATTATCCAAACGTATGGGTATCAAATAGGATCGTCTCCATATGCATCCATCCATATACATATAAATCTCGCCAACTGCCTAATCGGCATACTCATCCCCACCAGGTTCTCGTCCAAAAGGATGATTGAACTTGAGTAGGCCAGTCAAGCCACCCACCCAAGGGTCATCATCCTCAGTCCTGATCATACATGGTACACCGCCATGCCACTCCTCTCCTGGACCGGCTCGTCCAACAAATTCGCCTTCTACCCGAATCTCTGTCCCTGGCGATACTCCCACACACCTCTTGCCATCAATGCTGAGGTCAAGCTCACGGCCACGATTCTTGCGACTCATTCGTAAGGTGACTTTGGTGTCTAGCGGGAGCACCAGGGATCGGAAACTTAGACTGCAAGGACTGATGGGTGTAATGAGGAGAGATTTGACAAGCGGATGGACAATTGGCCCCCCTGCACTTAGACTGTATGCCGTTGAGCCTGTGGGGGTGCTGATCAAGATACCATCAGCAGTGGTCTCTGTAAGAAAGTGACCATTCTGGTAGATGTCAATGATAGCCAGGTGGGGATGAGAACCCCGATGCACCGAGATCTCGTTGATAGCTCTCAGCGATGGTGATGGCTCGTGAGGCACCGCTAGAGCCTTAGCCCCCGTCTTCGCCTCGCTTGACAAAGTATCTGACAACCAATGATTGATGTTGTTACCAGACGGGTCAAACACATCAGCCTTGATGCGATGACGGAGTAACACCTTCGATGCTCGTTGTGCTCCCATGCTTTTGCCTCTATGCCTTTCCCATGCTGTGTATGACACTGGACTTGTCTTGTCCCAATCACCTCGGGGGTAGTTGGCCTCACGGGTAGCAACGTCACTGCCACTCATAAACGTCTCCCTCCAAGCTTTTTTGTACTCTCTGAAATCCCATTCGCCAAGGAAGCCTAGTGTTCCCATGCTGAACGATAGAATCGGAGGAACAGAACCATGGAGCTTGTAGAGACTTGCAGCTCGTAGGACAGTACCGTCTCCTCCGAAAGTTGCAATGATGTCAATCTTGTCTGCCATATTGGATCGAGAGTCCGAAGCATAAATGGGAAAATCGAGACGATCTTTTAGCGATTGGGCGATGCGTGGCTCAAACACGAGGTTGACTTCTGGATATTCATTATGGAGGTAGTTCGAGAATTTGACAACAGCCTCGACAACGGCATCTGAGTATAGCTTGTGGATGATAAGGAGATTTCGAGGAGGTTCGGGCCAGTTCAGCGATAACAGCGACGACCCGGGCTTTGTGCTTTGGAGATAGCGTGGGCTTATTCTATTCGGAAGTTCTGCAATGCTGCGAATCTCGGATGTTTGATGAGTCGAGGTTGTCGATAGAAGACGGCATGTTTGTGGTGCCAGAGTGAATGATGATGGCCGAGTCAGAAAGCGACATGTTGGTAGTTGATTACTATTGGGCCTCAAGAGGGTCAGGCCTCGTAAGAGGGACCTTCTAGACATGGTGCCAGGAATTCGGCATGGCATGTGAAAAGAAAAGAAACCGTTGAGGCTGATTAAATCTGCCTACAGATGACGCCGAGGACGGGAGCTACTGTGATGCCCCATGCGGCTTTGCGACGGCTTTGGCAGAATACGATGAGGAGCTAGAGGTGGGCTGATCTTCACCGCCTTCCTGTTCCAACATTCGACTTGAGAACGAAAAGAAAAACTTTTCGCTGCAAGGGACCATTTGACAGTGTCAAGACCCTGAAGATTGACTCAAACTTTAAAAGCCTTGAGAGCAGAAGCCCCCGATCAGCTGGAATCTGCGTATGACCTGTCAAAGTGTCTTATCTTTCCCGCGATAGCTTCTATAGGATGCAGATCCAACAACTTTATGCCAAGTGATCTCATATTCGTAGCTTCTCATTGGCCAAATCTGATCGGCATCTGTAAAACACCGTGCACCGTCTTTAGGCGTCATAGGACCTCCGCCCTCCGACGCATCCGCCTGATGTCACCTGCGCTAACAGCTAACCACACACAGGCACGTCAGAGCAATAAGGTAAGCTCGAGCTGAGCTTAACCTTGGACTTTTGACCTTGAATCACATGCACAATGTCTCGCAGCCTCGTCAGATTTCTTCATCTTGAGCTTCGATAGACTGTGTATTTTTCTCTCCTTATTTCTACGCCACGAGGCTGGAGGTTCAGGTTTCTGTCTCTAACTGTGTAGACTGTGCCACGCGACCCCTCGCATTCTCTTAGCTCGAACGGCGTGAACAAGGCAGACACGAGATATAACAGTCCAGAGGGCGCCTCTTCGTTTATTTAGTTTTGGTCGACGTAATACCTCGTAAAGAGCATATAACAACATCTGGGAACCAACACAAACGAACAGAGACACCGCCATGGCTGACACCAAAACCGATGGCCCACCGGAGACGGTGATCCCTTCGCCGGAGCTACTTGCTGGTCTCGCAGAGAAGTCTTTAGCAGAGAAGCAGAAGCCCAAACCAAAAGAGGAGCATCCTTCGGGGAAAGAAAGCTATGGAACTCTGATGCAGATTGTGCGCGGCTCCTTGTTCGCCCTATACTTCAACACATGTTGCATGATGTATGAACGAAGAGCCCCTCAACAGGTACAGGCAACTAACATGGTGGTAGCATTTTCCTTACCCAGCTTGTCGGCGCTCCCTTGTACTTCGTCAATCGTGACTGGTACTACGCTTACATGGCTATGACGAAACAATCTTTTTGTCTTACGACAACTTCCATGACCCAAATCTGGGGCCCGACTACCATCCGAATCAGCGGTGACGAGTCGGTCGCTGGTCAGATCAAGTTGCGGCCCGATGGGGGAGTTCAGTTCGAGTTCCCTGAGCGTTTGGTGATGATTGCCAACCATCAAGTACGGTGACTTGCTTTTCACGAGGTTGATAGAAACTAACCCTTGCGCAGATCTATACTGACTGGCTATATCTGTGGTGGATTGCTTACGCTAATTCCCCTAGCATGCATGGGCATATCTACATCATTCTCAAGGAGTCTCTCAAGCATATCCCTCTCATTGGTTGGGGAATGCGCTTCTACGGATTCATCTTCATGTCACGAAAGATGGCCTCGGATCAGCCCCGCCTGGCCTACCGTCTCAACAAACTCAAGCAACGCAAGGTTGATCCTAATGGAAAGTCGTATATGGACCCCATGTGGCTGCTCTTGTTCCCCGAAGGCACGAATCTTTCCAATAATGGGCGTAGAAAGTCGGCCGGCTGGGCTGCCAAAAACGACCTCAAGGATCCAGACCATGTCATGCTTCCACGGAGTACTGGTATGTTCTTTTGTCTGAACGAGCTCAAGGGAAGCATCGACTACGTCTACGACTGCACGGTTGCATATGAGGGAATTCCGTAAGTTGTAACCCGAAGCCCCGTTACACAGCATTGTAACTGTCGACTGACCGACGCGTCTAGCCGAGGTGGATTCGGTGAGGAGTATTTTGGTTTGGTGAGCACCTATTTTCAAGGTCGCGCCCCTAAGTCGGTCAATTTCCACTGGCGCCGCTTCAAAGTCAGCGATATGCCCCTTCACGACCAGAAGGCCTTTGAGCTCTGGTTGCGTGAGGAGTGGTATAAGAAGGATGCACTCATGGAAGAGTACCTGACAACCGGTCGCTTCCCTCGTATGGCTGGTAGCAAGATCGACTACATCGAGACCGAGGTCAAGACTCGAAAGCCTTGGGAGATTCTTCAGATCTTTGCGGTTGTTGGTACCGCTGCGTTAATCTGGCACAACATCAAGAAGTCCTTCTCGACTGTGTCATCCGCGTTTCGTTGAACCTGAGCCGAGGTTCGGTCAGGAACAAGCAAATAAGATTATAGGACTCGGTGCTTGGCCGCCGCAGGTAAAATGAATTGGAGGATTGCGTGAACGCCGAAGGTTGCACAAATCCTTCGAAATGAATAGACAGGGTACGAGACGGGATACTGAAGGTGTGGACGGGACGTTCTGGCTTGGATTTGATCTTTTTTGGTAATGTTTACGGCGTGGATGAGATACCGAGGCGCAAACTGGTCTGGGACGGTACATGAGAGAGAACGACATGATGAGATGACGCGTGTAAGGATTCGGGCAGTGTCCGAGATATGGACATTCTTGATGGTTCAGCTAGAGTATGGTATAGGGAGAATTGGCAAAGCGTTGAATGACACATTTTGACTACTGGAATCTAGAACTGTGAAAGGATATCACTGGATATCTTCGGTGCGTGCCGACAGCCAAGCCAACGACCCGCAAGAATTGCCACAAAAAGAAATCACTGCCTCAACCATGCTAGCCCTGGATATTTTCTGTGTGTCTGCTCTACTGCAAGCCCTCGACGGTGACAGCTCAGTGATGAGCCCAGGTCAAAACAACCATAAATTAGCGCCGCGGCGAAAGCGCCCAACGAGAGACTAGGAATTCAGGTTCGGAACTTAAGCTTGACCTCTAGAGTCGAAATTGGAGAGGAGCCTCGGCATCCAAGGTCGCTCTTTGAGCCGTTATTGGCTCGGGACGTGAGAGTTGATGCGGGGGTGGGGGAGAACGCGGGGGAGGACTGAGTAGCGTTGAATCGAGTGTGTCTCGAAGGGAAAAGAAGATCGAGAGGAGAATAATTAAGGTGTTGTTTTAGGTATTGACGACGCATTTAGATTGGGCTTGATGGACAAGGACACTATTTACTGTATCTGATTTAAAAA